TTTTTCATTGTGTGTCGCCCGGCTTCGGTTTTCCTTTTTAGCCAGGTCTCAAGTCATGGCTTTAGTTGTGGTTTAGTTGCGCTTGATTATGCTTTTGCTTTTAGCCTTTGCTTGTGCTTTTGGTGCTGCTGAAGCGCAACTGCGTCGAATGATTGTCATGATTATGGCAATAATTATGCGGCCAGCATTTAATAATCATGATGCTGCCACACCACCACCGCGGCTGATGATGATGGTGCTTCGTTGCCAGAAAAAAATGACAATGTTAATTTCGGGGGGGGAAGCCACTTTCCCGATTCCAGCTCTATATAACTATGCTTCAGTTACAGTTACGCCACACACTGGGCGAAATAATTTAAAACCAAGAAAGGAAACTAATTTCCAGTTACTAATAGGATCATCTTAAATCGATAATAACAAAGCCAAAGATGCATTAATCTTAATTTAGAAAGCTCTCTTGTGTTGGCCTGTATTAAGAATACCAGAATTTTGGACTAAGGATTCCTTCACAACGTTACAAGCTTCTGAATAATAATAATATTGTAATATTGTAATTCATTCAGAGGCGGTATTTATATGACAATTTTCTCTACAAATCAAAGTTTAAAAAATTCATAACTATGCCAAAAATGCATTAATTTCGATACGGAATTCAGTTCTGTGCTAGTTTTTAATAGGTTTATAAATCTGCATACTCAAATTGAAATCTTAAAATATTTCAATTTTTGGTAAAATTTCCAAAATGTTAAATGTTTTTTTAACCACAAAATTGTGAAAAAAAATTTTAAAATTTTTGTTTCCTTTTTTTATGCCTAGAAAGATTCGCCAGTTCATGCTGATCAAGAAAATATATGATTTATGAGGTCGGAAACGATTCCTTCACTGTGTTTTAAGCTTCTGACTGAATTTATGATACCCTGCCAGGGTATAAATATTCGATATGTCGATATTACTATAACCAACAATTTTAAAAACTCACAATTCGGTCAAAAATGCATTAATTTCGATTCGGAAAGCTGTTCTGTGCTAGTTTTTAATAGGTTAATAAATCTGCATACTCAAATTGAAATTTAATAGTATTTAAAATTTTCTCAATTTTCCAATGTGTTAAAATATGTTTTTTAACCACAAAATTGTGAAAAAAAAAATTTCAAAATTTTTGTTTCCGTTTTTTATGCCTAGAAAGATTCCCCTGTTCATGCTGATCAAGAATATATATGATTTATAGGGTCGGAAATGACTCCTTCAATGTGTTTTAAGCTTCTGACTGAAATTATAACCCCTGCAAGGGTATAAATATTCGATATGACCATTTTACTACAACCAACAATTTTAAAATATCACAATTCAGTCAAAAATGGATTAATTTCGATTCGGAAAGCTGTTCTAGGCTAGTTTTTAATAGGTTAATAAATCTGCATACGCAAATTGAAATTTAAAAGTATTTGAAATTTTCTCAATTTTTCAATGTGTTAAAATATGTTTTTTAACCATAAAATTGAGAAAAAAAATTTCCAAAATTTTGTTTTCTTTTTTTCAGCTTAGAAAGATTCGCCAGTTTATGCTGATCAAGAATATGTATGATTTATAGGGTCGGAAAGGACTCCTTTCTGACTGAAATTATAACCCCTGCTGGGGTATAGAAGTTAATAAGTATTTAATCCGATTTAATTCCAATTTTTTCGGTCAGTGCAGTGGCAGTTACAGTTGCAATCCCCGCAGAGTGGCAACATTGTCAACGTCCAACGACGACGTCTCCTTCGCTGGACACTTTTCCAATCTGGAGCGGCAGTGGCGGCGTCTGAGCTTTTCCATCGTCGCGTCTCTGTCTCTGCCTGACTGCGTTTTTCGCGGTTTTACAACTTTGATTTCACTTTTCTTTGCAACATGCGACGCCGCAACTTGTGTCTGCATCAGTATCTGTATCTGTGCCTGTACCTGTATCTGTATCTGTATCCGTTGGCTGTGCATCTGCAGAGCGCTCTGCCTGAATCTGTATCTGCGGACGTACCTTCACCGTCCGTTTCTTGAACTGTTTGCTGTTTGCTTCATTGCTCTCGTTGTTGTCGCCGCTTAAACTTTGTTACTCTTTAATTGGTTTTTTTGTTTGTTTACTGTTTTATATATATATTACTTTTCGGCTTTCGCAGGTGATGGTGATGGTGATGTTGGCCAGCTCAAGACGAGGCCTTAATTGTCAACAAATTATAAAATGATTGCACCTGAAACATCACTCAAATTAGGCCTCATCTTTATGTTTTTTTACTCTACATATTTTTCCCCCACTTTTCCTCCAAACAAAACAATTCCGTGACATCAGTGTCAATAAACTTGTCATCGATGTATTGAAGCAGCTAGGCAAATATTTTACATTTCGAATGCTGATACGCTTTGTTTTTATTAAATAACCATAAATATTTGCAAAAATTATTATGCAAACAAAACCTGTGGGAGAGCAGTGATGAAACCAAATACAAAATAAAAACAGGTGTGCAATTTTATTGAAGAGAATTTATGTAATTATTGGGGAATTATGTCAAAGAGGCGTACAGGAAATTGTCTAAATAATTTTGAAGAAGAACTTAGAGCTGAGAAAATATTGAAAAAATGGAATTAAGAAAATGATAACATTTATACATTAAAATAACTGAAATAAAGTCATCTTGAAATACAAATTTTTCGCTTCTTAAAAGATACCCTCAAATATATTATCATATTTCACACATTTAACCCATTAGAAAAACCGTTAAAAACGCAAAAACCAGCTGATTGTTGTCTTAAAAAATGTAGTAATCTTTCTCAACCATTCTCGCGATCTAATTACAATTCAGTAACAATAATTTTCAACTCCATAAACACCGCAGACAACAACAAATCAAAGCCAGCAGCAAATGCGGCTAATTAACTTTTTTGGCCAAAAAAAAAGACAGCAACAAAAGGCAATTTGTTGTCGCCAGACGATCGCTAAATGCTGCAGAAAAAATAACAAACAAAACAAAATAATATAAAGCAACATCAGCGACGACAGCCAGACAACCCACGAAAATGTCTCGTGAAAAATTCTGTTCTAGATAGGAGAACAGAGCTCCATAGATCAACGCGCCCACCTGAATGCAGGCTGTCTGTTTGAGCCAAGTTCTTTGGCTGTTTGTTGTTGTTGCTGCTGGTCTCTTTTGCAGTTGGCAAATATGCAACTTGGTTCACATGATGGCTTGGCGGAGGAGGCGGGAATCGCCTTAAGGTCTCTTCTTAACGTGCCATCTGCCAAGAGTTGAGTCTGGGTTGGTGCACTGTGAGGAAAAGTCACAGGGAAAATTAAGGAAATCTATCTTTGGAATTATTTCAAGACATGTGCAAGCTATTCTTGTACAGTAAAGTTAATTAAAATGCCTTATTTGGGTAAATAAATAAAAATATATAAAGAATATATTTAAATAAATACTAGGGAACATTATTTTTGTTACATTGCACCGGAATATTCTTTTTTAAAGTAAGGGGATTAATAAATAATGAAAAGAGTTTTTAATATAATTTAACACATTTAATCACGCTTAATTATTTAATAGTATTTTATTATATTTAAAGTGATTTACCTTATTTATTCTACAATAAAGAATAAAGAGAATTCCTTTCAAGGCTTTAAAGTTCTTTAAATATATGTAAAGATCTATAGGTGTATAGTTCATTAAAGTTTTATAACCCCTATTTTCTTGTTCTGTATCATTTTTCTGTATTTCTTTCCAAAGTAGTTAAATCCAAAGAAAATTGCGTTTAAGGCTTTATGATATTTTAACTAATAGAAGGATCTACCATTCTATAGTTCATTTAAGGTTATAGTCCCCATTTTCTTGCTGTTTTATTATTTTTCTGTATTTTTATTCTGCCAATTTTCTTCTCTCAGTGTAAGCTTCCCCTCCTCAAGTCTTTTTTTTTATGAGACCCACGCATTTTCCGTTGCCTTGCACGCACCTTTAAGTGAAGCTTGGACGACCTCCACATGAGGTGCTACTGTAACCGTACCTTACCCCACACCCCACACCCCACTCCACAAACACCACCCCCTCGGAGATGTGTGTGTGTATGCTTAGATGTTTGTCTGGCCGTCTGTTTGTCTTACATAATCGTCACTCTAGATACCGTTAAGTATTTTTTGTTAATTTTCATGACTTCTTTTTCTTGTGTCGCTTTTGTTTCTTGGATCTCCTCCAAGTATTTTTCCACCCTAAAACAACAGACAATAGAACAATTGTTTAAACATTTCGGTGGCTTTTGGCATTGCGCTAAAAGAACCACAAAAGGAACACAAAAAGGGTACAAAAAAATAAAAACAGAAAATGATCCAAAAAAAGATGTTCTTTGGCTTGGCACTATTATTAGTTTGGTATGCGGACAGGCCCAATATGACGTAGATGGGAAGTTCCATATAAAACATATAGTTAATGTATATAGACCGATTTGGCACAGCTGTCAAAGCGTTGAACCCTGTGACGCACCCAAAGAACTGGGGTTTCACTTGGATAAAGTCTGGATTGGGGTAACTGGAGGAATATATTAGCAGATCTGTAGTAACATCTTTGGTGGCCTTGAAGGTACATTGTCTTAGATACCAGAAAAACCCAAGGTTAACTAAGAATTGGTTACAGTATTTAATTGTTTGAATATGTCTGGAAGTCTGATAAATATTTAATTAAATGTTGGTGAAAGGAATACAAAATGTAACAGCAAGGGCTTGCTCTAGACTTTAGTAGTGTTACAATTTATATATTACCTAATCTATAAGCTTTAAGTTTTATTAAAATTTTAGGAAATAGAATTGGTATTTCTTTGAAATATTTGTATCTTAAGGATATAATTCAAGCTATAATATCTCCCAATGGCTTTTTGTTCATGTTTAAAATGAAGATTACCCACTTTTAGCCTAGAAACTATCTTTTCCAAACATATAATATAATTTTAAATATTTAAATTAATGTCTTAAATTTCTTTTTCCATATTTTCAGGTACATAACAACCCTAAAACGAAGGCTACCCTTGAACCAGTAACTTTGTTGTCATTACCAGACCCAAAAACCTAAACCCCTAACAATCTGACTTTCCCTGTGAGCAAGTGCACTCAGTCAAGCCGCCAATCAAACCACCAAGCAACCAACCAATCAATCAATCAATCAATCAATCAATCACTCGATCAATCGAGCAAGAGAACAAGGAACAATCTGAGGAACAACACCATCCGGTTGCGGCCACGTGAGCGACTTAATGAGAGTTATGAGAGAGAAAGACCACTCACCAAGAAAGATGCTTCCTAGCCCGAAACAGGGCTGCGTATACCCTGCCTTAGGATTAGTGCCCACATCGTATATATCACACGTACCTTATGAGCTGGCCTCCTCGCTGGCGGCCACCACCTCCTCCTCATCCTCATCGTCCTCGTCCTCGCCAACGACGACGGCGGCAGCGGCGGCGGTGGCGGGTGGCAGGCTCTCCAGCCAGCTGCATCATCACCATCACACCCACAATAGCCACCATCACCACCAGCTGAGCCACCATGCCAAGGGCAAGCGGAGGAGCAGCTTTGACCAGCCGCTGGACCTGCGACTGGCCCACAAGAGGAAGACGGAGCCGACGGGTCCGCTGGAGGATGAGAACAGTAACCTGATTGTGTTCAAGGAGAAGGAGCTGAAGGAGCTGAACAACAACCATATAGCCGCCTCGCTGGCCGATCTGGGCTTCGATATGAGCCGGAAGATGCTGAGGGCACTGCGCGAGGGTGCTCCTCCAGTGGTTCCTGCTGTAGTTCCTCCGGTTGTACCCGGCACAGGACCAGGTAAGAACTAGAAAACCCGTCTTATTTATTGATTTATTGTATTTACTTTCCTTTTAATCAAAGGTCCCGCCTCGTTACCCGCCGTTCATCCCACGCTGCTGGAGGCCATGACCAAGAATCTGCCGCTGCAGTATCGCAACGTCTTCGCCGGGGTGACCAGTCCGGGTGCAGGAGCGACGGCAACGGGGGCAAGTTCGAGTCCCACCGGTCCGGACTTTCCCTTTCGTCATCCGCTGAAGAAGTGCGAGCTCACCTGGCCGCCGCCCACAGAGCAACTGTTGCAGGTGCAGGTGGAGCTGCCGCATCCGAATCCGAAGCTAACCCAGCAGCATCCCCAGTTGCAGGACTATCAGACGCGAAGGAAAAACAAGGCCAGAGCCAGTGCTGCCCCAGGAGGAGCCCCAGGCACCACGAATCCCAATCTGCCGCAGCGGAACAAGGATCGGTATACGTGCAAGTTCTGCGGGAAGGTATTCCCGCGCTCTGCGAATCTCACGCGACACCTGAGGACGCACACCGGCGAGCAGCCGTACAAGTGCAAATACTGCGAACGTTCCTTCAGCATCTCCTCCAATCTGCAGCGCCACGTGCGGAATATCCACAACAAGGAGCGACCCTTCAAGTGCGAGATCTGCGAGCGATGCTTTGGCCAGCAGACCAACCTGGACAGGCACCTCAAGAAGCACGAGTCGGACGCGGTGTCGCTGAGTGCTCTGTCCGGGGTGAGCGAGAGGATGCATTGCATTCGCCGCTTCTGCGAGAATCCCTCCGAGGAGTCCTATTTCGAGGAGATACGCAGCTTCATGGGCAAGGTCACGCAGCAGCAGCAGCAGCAACAGGAGCGGGAACAGGAGCAGCAGGAGCAGGAGCAGGAGCTGGACCGGGAGCGGGAGCGGGATCAGGAGCAACGTCAGTCAACGGCAACATCGGCGGCCAGTTCGTGTTCCTCGCCCACCTCCTCGCAGACGGAGGAGGCCACGCCCACGCCCTGCCAAGAGGAGGAGGACTCGCAGCCCATTCAGGAGCTCAAGAAGACGCTGGCCTCCAAGCTGTTTCCACCAAAAGAAGAAGTCGCCGTCAAGGCCGAGGAACTTTAACTTTAAGATTCAGCCACCAGCCACTTCCACCACCAAGCATCCTAAGCCAGAGAGGAGAGAGGAGATCTAAAGTTAGAAGGGATCAAGAAAGATAAAGTATCCAGAAGAAAGCTGAAGAAAGCAAAACTATGTCTAAAGTCTAGCTGTAAATATAAACCTGAAAACCTAAAGCCCCGACCCCAGAGGGTTCTTTTACAAGCAAAACTGCAACAACTATGTGTAAATCTAATTGTACAAATCGAAGAATTGGCAGATCCCTAAATAAATCCAGATCTACATATATACATGTATATTCGTATATATGGAAGTACTTAACTATTATTAGGTGTATGTCTTAAGCATTGGTATTTTTTGTACATATTCTACAAAATGACAAAACGAAACAACAACAACAACAAACAAAACGCGCCCACTGTTTAAATAAAAAGTTACAAGTTTTTGAAATTTACTAAAGTGTATTTCTGTATTTTAATTTGATAATAAGGGACATATTTAAGCTTAAGATCGAACTACTATATTATATAGTTGCCATAAAAACGCACGTTAAATGTAGAGGAAAATACATCATTATTCCAAAATAATCAATGAGACCTTTCCTACGCTTCTCAAAAAAGCTAATTTTGTTTGCCTCTCTTTTACTCTCTCTCAAAAATAATACTTTCCTCGCATTCACTATCTCTCAAAAAAGTGCCCTCCTCTGCGCTTCTCAACCAGTGTACTTAAGCACCGTAGCAAACACAATTATTTTGGTTCTTCTTCTTGAAACTATAAGTTTCTAATGAAATTTGAGTTTAAATCTAACCTTTGCCTATTATAAAATCTGTGTTAAATCAAAGTTTTCTATCACTTTTACTCTCTCTCAAAAATAATACTTTCCTCGCATTCACTATCTCTCCAAAAAGTGCCCTCCTCTGCGCTTCTCAACCAGTGTACTTAAGCACCGTAGCAAACACAATTATTTTTGTTCTTCTTCTTGAAACTATAAGTTGCTAATTAAATTTGAGTTTAAATCTAACCATTGGCTATTATAAAATCTGTGTTAAATCAAAGTTTTCTATCACTTTTACTCTCTCTCAAAAATAATGCTTTCCTCGCATTCACTAAGCACCGTAGCAAACACAATTATTTTTGTTCTTCTTCTTGAAACTATAAGGTTCTAATTAAATTTGAGTTTAAATTTAACCTTTGGCTATTATAAAATCTGTGTTAAATCAAAGTTTTCTATCACTTTTACTCTCTCAAAAACAATACTTTCCTCGAATTCACTATCTCTCTAAAAAGTGCCCTCCTCTGCGCTTCTCAACCAGTGTACTTAAGCACCGTAGCAAACACAATTATTTTTGTTCTTCTTCTTGAAACTAAAAGTTTCTAAATCTCAGAAATGTGTTGTTACAAAAGTTGCAAGTCATTGTTATTAGTGTTCAAATTTAAAACCTGATCATACATACTTACTTGTAATAGATACTTACTGATCATAGTTGCTTAATGTTCATTGATACTTACTGTTCAGTGTTACTTACTGGTCATAGATACTTACTGATCATAATTACTTACTGTTCGGAGTTACTTACTGCTCATAGTTACTTGCTGATCATATTTAATTAATAGTCATAGTTAATTACTGATCATAGTTCTATAAATCGTCCGATTGTTCCTATGTTAGCTTAATATGTATATGTATATACATATATTGTCCACCGATTCGCCATGCTCCGACTTATATACTACCCAACTAGTTCTAACCTCCCCGAAACGAAGTGACTTCTGTCGGCCAAGTCTTAGGTATGTGTTGTGTTACAAAAGTAGCAAGTCATTGTTTATTAGTGTTCAAATTTAATTACTGATCATACATACTTACTTTTAACAGATACTTACTGGTCATAGATACTTTTGTCCAGAGTTATTTACTGCTCATAGCTAATTCCTGATCTTGCTTACTTACTGATCATAGTTACTTAATATTCATTGATATTTTATTGTAGTTGAAGGAGAAGAAACACATGTTGAAAGTGTAAAAGGTTTTACAAAAATCAATAACACGGGTAAAAGAAGTGTTGGCTTGAGCCCAAACAAATTTTATGTTTAATATTTTAATATATTTACTTTATTTTAACATACGGTTCCTCCCTTCTCAGAGCAAATTTTGTTGTAAATGTCGCTAATATCGACTTATGTAGAGTGTCAACTACGTAGTTGGAATAAGAGGAGAACGTGCAAGTTAGCAGTGACATAAACCTTCCTATAAAAATATTTGGTTGGTTATAATAAAATTGTAATAAAAAAAAAGTATATTAAAACAACATTACAAATAAAAATATATAATAAAATATATAAATATTTAAATAAATAAATATTTTTGGTCACCGTATTAAGTGATTACAAGACTTTTCCATGAAGTAAAAATAAATTATCAATAAATCTATTTTAATATTAAATCAAAAATTGTAAATATATTTTTAGTATTTTCGCCACTGATTTAAAAATCCTTCGTTTTTTGATTTCCTCGATCAGGTCTTACAACACATGTTTGGCATAAACAAATCAAAAAGTAGCGATAAGGCTTTAGAAACCGAAGTTTGTATACTCTAACAGTGAATTAAAAAAAAGTTCATAAAGATTATACTATATTTTTCCATAATAATAAACAAATAATCTTAAACTAATCAACTTAAGACATACACGCTGAAGAATAATCAATTATCTTTATCTCTTTAAAAACTATTCTTTCAAAATTAACAATCTTTTGCTTAGGGCATAAAAATATTCCCTACATCTTATCAAAACAAAAATAAATAACAACAAAACACGGAAAGAGAAATAACGTCATGGAAAGAACACACCTTCAGTTTCACATTTCTGCTCGACATGGCAACTGAAATACAACTGACAAAAATCGAAGATATACAGGATCTAAAGGATCTGCAGAGCCTGTATCTGAAGGATTGGCCCAGGCATTGCGTGGGCTACTTCTGGCTGGATAACTATCTGAGATGGCTGATCAAAAATTCCAATTTAAGTCATTTAGCCTTTTATACTCTGGATAATGATTGGCAAGGCGATGGCTTGTTTTTATTGGTGGTAATTATACAATTTATAAATATATTAATTATTAAATGTATATATTTTCTGCTTTTAGCATCGCTATCAACTATTTTTTAGCAACCTGAGCAGAGAGAAATCAAATCTGAAGCTAGCTCTAAGGTTATTGGATTGGTCAGGAGGCTATAAAGTCAGTGCTATACACAAGATGCATCACAGAATCTACAAGGATCTGGTTTCAGAGCTTAGCCTGACCATGGATCGTGAGATGAATACGAATATGTATATTCTGAGTTGCGAGAAGGCCCAGAAATTAGATATAGAGTGCCCCAAGGGATATTATCTGGATAAAGTTAGATTGCAGCATGCTGACCTTATAAATGATTTATGGTCAGCGCGTCATCCTGGCTCCCTGAAGCTCATACAAATGTTAATTGAAAATAACACCAATATTGGTTTATATGAAGAGAAGACGGGCGAGCTATGTGCCTGGTGTTTGAGGTGGGAAATTAATCATAAATTCTATTATATATATTTACAATTCTACAATATTATTTTACAGACTCCAAAGCGGATTTCTAGGTGCCTTGGAGGTAATCTCAACCCACCAACGTCGTGGCTTGGGCCTACTAGTTGCCGCTGCCATTGCCAAGGCTATAGCCACCGATCTTCAGCAGGATGTTACGGCCTTAGTAAATATGAATAATGCAGCTGCCTGTCGGGTATTCGAGAAATTGGGCTTTCAGTTAATGCCTGGGGAGCACTACTACTGGAGCATGATAAAGCCAAGAGCTGGTGGTCAGATATCTTGGCCCAACAATGAATAATACATATGAATATATATAAGCCAGACGGCAATTAGACAGTCTGAGATAGAGAAATCCAAAGAGATGTAATTGTATTAAGACCTAAGCCCAGACATCCATAAAGCTCACATTGAGATAATTTTTTGTATAAATTGGATCACTCACCGGTTACTAGGGAGCAGTAGTTGGAAAGATGAGTAAACTGCAGCAAGTCGTCGGCCTGCAGCAGCTGGAGCAACTGAAGAATCTCTACAGCCGGGATCCCAAGTACCTCAAGGAGTTCTACTGCCTGGACAACTACCTGGAACTCCACAGAAAGGATGCCAAACTCAGAAATGTGAAAATTTACACTCTGCCGAACCTCGAACTGGGATTATTTGTGGTTGTGGTAGGAAAAGTGTTAACTGTGTGTGGCATCTGGCCATGGTTTTTATAAGTGTGTTGGTTGAAACCTTTAAGGATCGCTACCAGATCTCCATGGGTTGCTTGGAGAGTGAAAGATCTGAGGAGCTTTTAAGGGATTCCCTGGATCAGTTGCCTTGGTTTGGGGGTCTTCAGTGCGCCTCGATGCCTCAGAGATACTTCAAGGCAGCCTACGAAGTTATTCAAGCCAGGAAACTTCGATTAAAGAGTTTAAGAACACATTCTTTAGTTCTAAGCCAAGAGGAAGCTCTGCAATTTGAAGTGAAGTGAGTTTAAGCCCAAAGAATGTGTCCAGACTTATAAAATTCAATTTAAATATTTATTTAGCCCACCAGTTGGTTTCTATTTAAAGAGTCTGGGTATAAAGGATGCTCAGGTGATAAATGATAATTGGAAATGGAGTGAGCCGGGCAGCCTGTTCTTCTTGCAAAGACAAATTGCATTCAGCATTTGTGTGGGTTTGTATGAAGAGGAAAGCAATGAACTCGTCGCCTGGTGCATTAGGTAAATAAATTTTTTATATTTTACTTTAAATTTTATACAGAATATAATTTTAAATATTTTTAATATTCTCATAGAGCTCCAGATGGCTTACTGGCAGCTCTTCAAGTCAAGGACTCGCACCAGCGGCGTGGCTTCGGTGTCCTCATAGTGAAGGAGTTTTCCAGAAGAGTTGCCCTGCAGGGTCAAGATGTAATGACCGAAGTTGACCAAGATAATGAGGCATCGTCCGCTCTTTTCCGAAAGATGGGTTTCAAATTATTCGATCAGAGCAATTGGTTAATGACGAACGCCGAAAATGGGGATTTTCAATGGCCAGATGGCGAGTGATATGATTAAGGGAATGTTTATGAATTGTTACTGGTTTTATTTATTGTGAAAGAGTTAAAGTTATGAAAAATAAATATTTTATTTGAAAACATCTGGGAAAATATGTTAAGTGTAGAAAGTAAAGTACAGAAATCATATAAAACTGAATTTTTCCTTGGCTACTCATTCACTTCCCTTGCGTTTGCGGTTACCCATAATGAACAGCATGTACAGTCGAATCGATCTAGTCAAGTCAAGTGAAAAGAAGTATTTACTTATATTTTTTTAATTTTTTAAGTGTTAATATACAGATTTGTTAACCCTAAAAAAACTAGCACTGCAAAGTTTTCCGAATCAAAATTTTTGACTTAATGTAAAATTTGAAAAAATGTGATTTACCAATTAATTAGCATAAGAATGCATCGATTTAAATGCACTTTTCAAAGTTTTGTAATGTATTTGATGTATTTCCGTATTAGTTAATATGTATATGTGCTGTCTTCTGATTTAAAAATAAGATTGTATTATTTCTGAAAGTAATGTATATGAACGGTTTTAATATTACATTTTAATAAAGCAAAGTTAATTTAGCCATTTATACTCTGGATAATGATTAGCAAAGCTATAGCTTGTTTTAATCTGTGGTAAATGCACAAGTTAACATTTCTCTAATTAATAAATTTGTATTAATTATATATCATCTGTTTTTAGCATTGCCATCTACTATATTTTAGGAACCTGGGCGGACACAAATCGAATATGAAGGTTACTGGATTAGTCATGAGGCTTAAAAAGTCAGTGCTATACACGAGATGCAACACAAAATCTATAAGGATCTGGTTTCAGGGCTTAGCCTGACCATGGATCATGGAATAAATACGATTATGTGTAGCCTGAGTCTGAGAGAAGGCCCAGAACACCTACTACCAGAGAATGATAAATGCAAACACTAGCGTTGAGATATTGTATCTTGGCCCAACAGTGAATAAATATATTTCATGAATATATATACCTATAAGCCAGGGGGCAATTAGACAGTCAGAGATAGAGAAATCCAGAAAGCTCACTTTGAGATCATTTTTTGTATAAATTGGATCACTCACCGGTTACTAGGGAGCAGTAGTTAGAAAGATGAGTAAACTGCAGCAAGTCGTCGGCCTGCAGCAGCTGGAGCAACTGAAGAATCTCTACAGCCGGGATCCCAAGTACCTCAAGGAGTTCTACTGCCTGGACAACTACCTGGAACTCCACAGAAAGGATGCCAAACTCAGGAATGTGAATGTTTACACTGTGCCGAACCTCGATCTGGGATTATTTGTGGTTGTGGTAGGAAAGTGTTAACTGTGTGTGGCATTTGGCCATGGTTTTTATAAGTTTGTTGGTTGAAACCTTTAAGGATCGCTATCTGCTCTTCATGGGATGCTTGGAAAACGAAAGGTCTGAGGAGCTTTTGAGGGATTCCCTGGATCAGTTGGCTTGGTTTGGGGGCCTTCAGTTGGCCTCGATGCCTCAGAGATACTTCAAGGCAGCCTACGAAATTGTTCAAGCCAAAAAATTACCATTTAACAGTGTAATATCAAATTCTTTCGTTCTTAGCCAAGAGAAGGCTCTGCAATTTGAAGTCAAGTGAGTTTAAGCCCAAAGAATGTGTCCAGCCTTATCAAATTTAATTAAAATATTTATTATATATATATTTAGCCCACCAGTTGGTTTCTATTTAAAGAGTCTGGATATAAAAGATGCTCAGGTGATCGAAGATCATTGGAAATGGAGTGTGCCGGGAAGCCTGTTCTTTTTTCAACGGCAAATTGCATTCAACATTTGTGTGGGTTTGTATGAAGAGAAAACCAATGAACTTGTGGCTTGGTGCATCAGGTAAATTTAGTTAAGTAATTTAAAATAATTTTCAAGTATATTTCCATTTTATCATATTTTTACAAAGTATTTCTTATATGATTTACTTTAAATTTTATACCGAATATAATTTTAATTATTTTCTACATTATAACGACAGAGCTCCGGATGGCGTACTGGCAGCTCTTCAAGTCAAGGACTCGCACCAGCGGCGTGGCTTCGGTGTCCTCATAGTGAAGGAGTTTTCCAGAAGAGTGGCTCTGCAGGGTCAAGATGTAATGACCGAAGTTGACCAAGATAATGAGGCATCGTCCGCTCTTTTCCGAAAGATGGGTTTCAAATTATTCGATCAGAGCAACTGGTTAATGACGAAAGCCGAAAATGGGGATTTTCAATGGCCAGATGGCGAGTGATATGATTAAGGGATTGTTTATGAATTTATATGTGTAAATAAATGGATTGTATTGTTGTTATCAGTAAAAGATTAGAATTGTTGCTAGTTGGAAATTATGAAATAGTGAAAGTAAGGAATAATAAATATTTTAATTGAAGACTTCCGGCAAAAAATGTTAAGTGTATAAAGTAAAGTATAAAAATCATATAAAACTAAATTTTTCCTTGGCTTTTCATTCACTTCCTTTGCCTTTGCGGTTACCCCTAATGATATTATATCCATATCCGGTAAATATCTCTAATTTCTACTGGAGACTTTCTGTGGCCAGATGTTTGGGTTATAAGATGTGGATTAAGTGTTCTCAACAAGTAAATATTATAAAATAATATCTTTAGGGTTTGTAATAAAAAGAATAACATTTTCGCTGCTGGAAACTAGTTTCACTAAATGCAATCCACTCAAGAGTGTTTTTATTGCTGATAAAATACTCTTCATAATATTTATTTAAGAGAGTTTTTAGAAGCTGTTTGGCAAGCTGCCTGATTTAATCAACCAGCCATTAGTTGTTTGTTTCTCGCGCGAAAAGGTTGTTGTTTGTTCTTTCGTTTAATAAAAAATGAGCGCAAAATTGGAAGCTATTGACTTGCCAGATCTGCAGCGATTTCAAGAGCTTTTCAAGCAAAATTGGCCGAAGTATTGTCAGGAATATTACTGCCTAGACAACTTTATAGAGTTTCTAAAGAAACAACCTGAAATCAAGCATTTGCAACTTTATACTTTGTCCACAAAGCAAGCCAGAGATGAGGGTCTATTCGTTATAGTGGTGAGTTCTCCATAAATACTATATACTCTATGGATTTTTGTATCTGAGTACAAGAGAGAGGGAGAGTCAATGTATCTGTATCTGAATCTCTTAGGATCGCTATCAGCTGTTTGCGGGTAGTTTGAACAACACGAATGGTCTCTTGGAAAAGGCTTTGGACTTAGTGGATTGGTCGAAGGGTTTGAAATGCAGTTCGATTCCATCGAGACATATCGAAGCCTTGGACAAAGTGGTTGCAGCTAAAAAGTTGGATTTAGTATTCAGAGATCCCACGGATTTGTTTTATATGAAGGCAGAGGAGGCTCTCCAGCTAAAAGTTGAGTAAGAAGTGATATTATATGTTTTTATTTCCTAAAGAGTATATAGTAATTTTGGATTATATCATTCTAGAACCCCTTCTGGATTTGTTCTGAGATCTTTGCGTGTGGAAGATGCTCCCTTGGTGAATGAGGAATGGCCCAATCATCACTTGGGTTCTCTGTACTTTATCGAGCGACAGATTAGAATGTGTGTCAGTGTGGGTTTGTATAATGTTGAAACCCAGGAGCTGGTGGCCTGGTGCATAAGGTAAATCCTTATAATAATTATTTTAAAAAAATATATATATCAAGAATTTATATTTATTTAGATTACAAGGCGGCTACTTGGGGGCTCTACAAGTCAAGGACTCGCATAAACGTCGCGGATTTGGCAGCCTGGTGACCAGAGAAATCTCTTACCGACTTGCCGCCCAAGGACACGATGTAATGGCCCTGGTGGGTCACACGAATACCGCTTCCGCAGGCATGTTCCGGAAACTGGGCTTCCAGGTAATCGATCAATGCCTCTGGCTAAGAACAGAGCCCACAGAAGGGGACTTTGTATGGCCTGAGGGAGAGTAACTCAAATCAAAATCCTTCGCAACTAATGTTTATGTATAATTCTGTACCATAACCCAGAGAAGTAATTTAAAATAAATTTTTTGACTTTAAATACATACTATTTGATAATCACAATCTCCACAAACAAAGATTTTACAGATTAAATTTTCTTTAAACTGTATCTCTTTTAACACAATCGGAGCCCTAGCAAATGTCGCAAAGTGAGGACTGCATTTGGTAGTACTCGGTGGACTTAGGGATAAATTGAAATGAATTAGATTTTCAATATCAATTTGAGACAATTACGGGCAAAATATACCGGACTCACCGACAAGTATCTTGGGCTTACTTTTAAATTTGGCGCCTTTCAAATTATGGCAGCGCCGAAAGTCATCGGCCATCTGTGATCGATTTTAGTGTGACTGCTGTATTTACGATAATAAAATGCGGAACCGGACGGTATTATTTATCTATCACAATGCGGTCACACTGCCTCCAATTCTAATTACACGTAAACTTAAAAGAACTCGCCGGCCACAAGAAAGAACGAAGATAAGTCCAAGATAATGACATCCAGAGACTGTTGGCCAGCCGTGCTGGCGTTCCTGGTCTTGGCATTGACCGCCACGTCGGCGGACAAGCCGCCTCCACCGCCCTGCCGCGGCTGCAGCCAGCTGGTGGCATCGTTCAAGGCGGGACTGGAGCGCACAAAGCGGGGCCATGGAGGAGGCGACACGGCCTGGGAGGAGGAGAAGCTGCGCTCCTACAAGAGCAGCGAAGTGCGGCTAGTGGAGATCCAGGAGAGGCTCTGCTCGGACCCCGAGGTGGTCAACAAGGATCACTGTCACAACCTGGCCAACGAGCACGAATCGCTGCTCGAGGATTGGTTTACCCACAAGCAGACGGAGAGTCCCGACCTGCACGCCTGGCTGTGTATCGAACAGCTAAGCGTCTGCTGCCCGCCAAACACATACGGGGCGACCTGCCAGCCCTGTAGTGACTGCAATGGAAATGGTAGGTTATTCTCTTCCTCCTGTTTGTCTTCCTTAACTCGGGTTAATCTTTATGTTTCTTGTAGGCAAGTGCAAAGGTGCTGGGACGCGGAAAGGCAATGGCAAGTGTCTGTGCGACGCCGGCTATGCGGGACCCAATTGCAACGAGTGCGGCCCGGAGCATTATGAATCATTCCGGGACGAAAGTAAGCTCCTGTGCACCCAGTGCCATGCGGCATGCGGCGAGGGTGGCTGCACTGGCGGTGGCCCAAAGAGCTGCCGCAAATGCAAAGACGGTTGGAGTATGGACTCAGAGGCAGGCTGTGTTGATATCAACGAGTGCCTGGATCAGCAGCGAAGGCCAAACTCTTGCCGGCCACAACAGTTCTGTGTAAACAACGAGGGCTCCTTCAGCTGTCTGGAATGCGATCGATCCTGCGACGGCTGCGAAGGCGACGGCCCCGACATGTGCAAGAAATGTGCCGAGGGCTACAAGCTCAAGGATGGCAAGTGTCACGGTAAGTAGAGTTGACCCTAAGGCTTCTGCTGTTCCGCTTCTAAAACTATCAACATCTATCATGTCTATGTCTCGCGTATTAAGACCTTTCCTCGGAGCAACGCGACTCGTATGTGAACTTTACGCGCCTGCTCACCTACTTTGGCATGTGCGTGGCCACCTGCGTCATATTCCAGAGCTCCACCCACATTGCCTGGGGCTGCATTGTGGGAGCAGCGGTGGCCGTGTACATAGCCGCCTCCGAGTACTGGCTGAACTCGGCGGGCGAGGGCGGCGGCGGCTTGCACAAGCCCGAGATCGACACGAAGCAGCTGGAGGAACTGATTATGAAGTCCCTATAGGCAAAAAATCAGGGAAATTAAGTTTATTCTATGAATAAATCGCACCAGGGCATTGATTGGATCGACAGTCAGTATTCTTCGTTCTAATGGAATTTATGTATATTTTGCTTGCAGTCAGTAGCAGCGACGGTACAGAGGAGGAGTCCTCAGCGTCCCTGCACGACGAGGAGGAACTGTAGATGGCACACACGCACACCTTTTGTAGTCAATTTTAGTTTAATCTAGATCTTTATATTATAAATTTTTGTAATTAAATATGATTTGCCAAAGTGTATTCACAAAATCTTATAATTCCATCTACAAAGGGGTTTTACTTGTATCCTTGTTTTCAAAAAATTCAATGTTCTTCCTCCTGTTTGTATCACATTTAGATATTTATTATATTTGGTTTAAAAAATGTACAAATTCGCAAATACAGCCACACATTCAAGTACGAAAATAACTATTTTAACACAAGTTTCTCCGTTTTTTCGTCGAATACTGCTTGAAGCGGTTAAATAATAAAGGAACTGACATAATAATACGAACAAAATATATATATTACTAGAAATAAAAACAAGGTATCAACAAGCACCACCACCACCCATTATGTAGATTAATAACTAGACAAAAACTTAAGCCATAACTACGATCGATTGTTTGGCCACCCAGGTGTCGTTAACACAGCCAGAGAGTTCTCGCTCCCGTTCCCTAACACAGCCTACGATCGCGTCAAATGAGTCTGACTTGTGGTGGACGACAGCCCTAATTCCTCGTCCGACTCATCCGAGTCCAGGGGACTCACGCGAATGGCCTGGTACCACTTGTTGGTCAAGTCCAACATCTGGGACTTGCACTCGTGCAGCTCCTGGCTGTTGAAGCGTCGCGTAAAGAAGGGTATGAAGTACTTTCTATCCAGGCGTCCGAAGCGATCTCGTGCCTGTGTGAAGGTCACATCCTCCTCCTCGGTGAGCTCGGACAAGTGTTCCGAGTCAATGGCCTGGCCCCATTCACGAGTCTTTGACAGGGAAATGGACTTGGAGCGCTTACGGCCACTGCCACCACGGCGGCCACCCTCCGTACCTGAGGAACTGCGTGGAAGAGAGCCACGTGCGCGGCGTTTCTTGCCCGGCTTGAGGTACTTAAGCAGCGGCATAGTTGAGCCGCCGAAAACCAGCGTGGTGAAGAGCACAATTATCAACCTGAAATGGAAGTGATTGCAAATATGAAATGACAAACAGAGGCGCGTGTCTCTTACGTGGTTGTTATGATGACGCGGCGCTTCTCCTGACTGTCCAAGTTCAAGTGCAGCGACAACGCGTAGGAAATGGCACCGCGCAGGCCCGAGAACCACATGATGAACTGCATCTTGTTGTTGATTTTGTGCTCACGGAATTTGTTGACCAAATAGGCCAGCGGAAAGATGTTACAGGCACGCCCTATCAGACACAGAACGATGGCCCAGATCACAAAGGACAGCTCCACTTGATGCTTGAACGAGAAGATGGCCAGCCCGAGGTAGGCAAAGACGCAGGTCTCGGCAATGAAGGCTAGGGTTCTCATCGTCTGTTGCATGGTGATTTGAGTGACCTGGAGTGAAAGGGTTAGGTAATCTGCTTCGATATGCTTCAGAGTGCGTAGTAACTACTAACCGTGGACAGATTAAAGTGAGTGTAGTGGGACATGACGATGCCGCAAAACAGTATGGCCATAATACCTATTTAAAAATGAATTCATTACTCAATCCATTCAATTAATAGGAAAACCATATCCTCACCGCTCAAGTGTATTCCCTCGGCCAAGACGTAAGGAGCATAGGTAAACATAAGCATCATGGCAAACTCCAAAGACGGATGCTTTCTCAAATCGATGTGCTTCAGCAGTAAAGCTGATATCAAAGCGAATATCACTCCAATACCCGCTGAGGCAAAGAACATGGCGCAAAAGGTCTTCAAGGCACTGAACATGGCCTCTCCAGTGCTTGCCTGAGCATTGGCACTCGCCGACTCGGTAATGGAGGCCGTGAGCACAATCGAAATGGCATCGTTCAGAATGCTCTCGCCAAACACCAACATGTTGAGTATGGGATCCACGTCCAGGGCATGGAATATAGCCACAGTGGCCACAGGATCGACAGCGGAGATGAGCGAGCCAAAGGCAAAGGATTCGGAGAAACTAAGGCTACAAGAGGAGATTAGGATTACAGAGATTAAACAGCTTGCACTGGAACTTACCGATAAGCCACCTCGGCCAGACCCAGGAGGTATATCCCCGCTCCAATTACCAGTGCCGAAATGGTTGTCCCAAAAATGGCAAAGACCAGAATGGAGCCAATGTTCTGGAAGAAGTTTCCTTTGTGCAGATTGTACCCAGACTCGAAGATAATCGGCGGCAAGAGGACCAGAAAGAAGCCCATGGGTGAGAAGACCTCCTCGCGTTTCCAGCTACCCGTCTGGCCAGACATGACGTTGAGGGACAGGCCAATGAATGCGCCCAGAAACACCACCACAATGCTCTCCGGCAGGTATTGAAAGCCAGTCTGGAGCATGGAGTGAATCAGCAGAATGCCCAGCATGATCACACAGATGACGAAAAACAGGGACAACGAGGAGTTGTGCTCCTGCTCCACAGCATGCGAATCAATGAGCGGTGGCTCCGTGGCCACTGTGGATGCGTTGCCCGTCTTCTTGGTGGTACCGCCACTGACTGGAGAAGCCGTCGAAGCCGATGTAGAGACATTGAGCAAGGGGCTGCTAGTATTGCTGGGTGACAAAGCCACATCTGGATGGGGTTGAGCGCTTTTCTCAATTCCTGCTGAGCTGGAACTGTTGGCAGAGACCTTGTTCGCTTCCTCCTGTCCACCGCTGGTATCCGTAACAGATGACACCGCAGACGCTTGAATGACGAGGCATATCACAGCCGCTTGGCAAAATAGTCGCAGACGCCAAGAAATCATTTTGTGCGACGACGCGGCATTTATTTTACACGACTTCCAACAATTGTTTTCCTCGCAACTCACAACCAAAACAGCTGTTTATCTGACGTTTATCACCCGTGCCAGGGATGCCAACTCGAGACAAATGTAACGTCCAGCTGGAGGGAAATAATATTCAAAACGGAAATTGTGCATGTAATAGCGTTTAATTGATTTTTATATACACAAAAACAAGATTATTAATCATCAGATTCAGAAAATAAATCTGTCAAGTCACGCGCTGGCGCTGGGGTCGTCCAGCTGATAGCCTCTGTGCAGAAATTTAGCTGAAAACTGCAAATAATCTCATTCGAGATGAAATTAGATTTTTGATCTATCAAGGAAAACAAGCGTTTAATGCCATTGATTTAAACAACACGCATTTTATAATAAATAACATAATTCTTTAATGAAGTAAAAAGATTGCAAATCTTCAGAGACAACGATTTATTCCGTCTATGCATCACAAGTTTAAGGATGATTAATTTAATTAGGCTCTCACCTTGAAGATCGTTGCTTTTCTATGTTTCCAAGCTCTTGACTACAAATCCTATTTCCGTTTCAGGAACAATGTACGCTGTACTTGCACATCTGTTCATATTTTTCCAGCCACACGCGATCGGGATCTTCCCCAGACCCCGGGGGGTCAGGTCCCATATTATTTGAATGATAATGGGGCCTGTTGTTTTCGGTTATTTTCAGTGGGCATTAGAATTTTAAAACAAATCTATATGCACAGAGGAGAGCTGATAGCTTGATTACCAAGCGCCTTGATCTTGGCAGACCTTGTTTGTCTCCATAGCTTTGCCATGACGTGGGCACTTTTTGGTTGCACAAAGATTATTTGAAAACCATAAAAAGTGGTGTACGGTTTCTCCTGGCCACTGACCAGACCAGAGTGTCGGGTGATCCCTGCGAAAGGGTCGATCACATCGACTAGTGTAGAAGGCTACAATTTCATTAACAATAGTCATCAATATATGTAGCTTCGCATCGTATTGCGTTCCACGAACCGATTTCAAATCCATATTTAATTATATATTAAAGAGACACAGGGAGGCGGAAAGATTGAGAACGAGAAAGAGAGCAATTACACCCCAAAAAGTATATAAATAATAAAGTACATTAGTATATAGTTTTCAATTGATAAGCTAACGGTTCGTGTCAAATCATCTCGCCAAACAAAAATTTATAAATTAGCGTTCGCTTTCCCAAGTCAGTCGCAGTCGAACTTTGTCGGAGCAGGAAGCAAGTCGAGTACTTCGAGCGCTTACAGGTCGAATCCCCGGATCTTGTGAATCCTTCAAATTCAAATTAAAAGTGAGTAGGAAACAGGATTTTCAAGCAGGTTGGCAGTGCCGCCTACCACATGCCTACGTCTAGTGTGACCAGCTGTGCCTAGTAGCTTTACCTCGCATCAGGTGAGGGATTCTCGGAACGACCCGAGAACGGTAGAGGAAAGTTCCACCAAATAAACCCCAAAACACGTACCCCGCAGAAGAAAACCGGCGCACGGCCCCTGCCCCCACTCGCAACGCGCTCCGAGGTATAAATTGAGAAACTCGTGAAAAGTGTGCGCTCTTTTTCTACAAAAACCGTCGCCAAGATAGGACGTGTGTGTTGGCTGCGCCGCTGATTTGGTTGCCGTCGCTGAAAACAGTACAAAAATCAGTAGAATCAGTGTGTACTATATAATTCTTAGACCTAGGAGCCAACTCGAACTAAAAGTAACACAAACTATCTGCTTATCGCAACGTGCGCGCCGCGTGTGTAACTGCCGCCGCCCCCCTGCAACGCAATGCGTAAACATCACTCGGGTTGCCCGCCGCATAAGAATTGAGTGAAATATTCACTTTTGTTATATAAAAAACTATTCACTATTTAAAGAGAAGCGTGCGAAAAAAACCGGAAAACCCCCGCGACCGCGACGGAGGCGACGGCAGCAGCGACATGCGAAAAAGAATATAGTTGTGTTGTGTATGGGAGAGTTCGGAAAATCAATTTTGTCAAGCGCTTTAGCTATCCTCCTAATCTGTGGCTCGTTCTTTCTCCATTCCCCAACAGCTCCACCTTTACACCAGCTCCAGACTCGTGCTAAGAGCCCTACTCCTTCAGCCAAGAACAGAGACCAACCAGGACCTACAACAAACTACCAGCAAAATGCCGCAGAAGACAAATGGACACAGCAGCGCCAATGGTTGCAATGGCAGCAATGGCAACTCCTACGACATGGAGGATGGCCAGACATTCCTCTTCACTTCCGAGTCCGTCGGCGAGGGACACCCAGGTGAGTCCGTCATACCCTACCCCTCTCACTCTCCCTCCCCCATCTTTGCTCTTGCATCCCGGCCATCTCCGATTGCATCATAGCGGGCCTGCATGGCCCCTGCATGTGCGTTATGTATACATACATACATATACATATGCATAAGTGATGGTGAGTGCTACGTCTGCGTCGCTGCTGGCGCTGTTCCTAACCTAACCGAAGCGCTTCTCCAGCGCCCGTGGCCTGTGGCCCCTGTGCCTTCTAATACCTTCCACTGTCTGTCTGTCTGTCTGTCTGTGGGTCTGCCTGTCTGGCCTGTCTGCCTGCTGGGATCTAACAAAATGGCGACAGACTGCTAAGGCTTATACCTTTGCCCGAGACCGAACCCATTGTTGATTGCTTCCCAATTTGCGCTTCTTTGTATTGGAAACTGGTAGCGAAACGAAAAAAAACGTGCTTGTTTACTCAGCAGGGGCCGCTCTCCTCAGGCTTGGATCGAGGCAGATCAAATCTTAAGGGAGAGCCGGTGAGAAGGGCTTTCCCCTTGGGAGTTGCATCCTTTGCCGGCTTAGCCTGGGCCACCAGCAAACAGCTGGCCGGGTCACTCTCCCCTGGCCACCGCACACACAGAGACAACAGCTGCGGCAACGGTGCCAAAACCTTGCCGACGCAATTTATAGACTGGTTCTTTATCGCCGCCTCTCCCGCAGTCACGGAATTTGCGTCATGCGCACCATGTGCTTCTGTCGAGAGTGTGGAACTGCGGAACAGCAAACTGAGAAGCTGAGAACTTGGAGAACTGAGCACTGAAAACTCTGAGCACACAGAGCACTCGGAGACCCCTTGAGCAAGGTCTCTCTCTCGTTGGCACTTGCACTTCGCAGAAAGACGATCAAAACAAGGGCCCAAAAAACTAAAACAAACCCACCACGTTGCCCCTCGTTCCTACCCTAGGGAGCCCTGGCCACAGCTCCTCCTCCGCCATCCCCTGGCTTTTTTTCAGAGCTTATCTTTCAGGCGAAATGGCCAACCACGTGTTTTGTTTCGAGCTGCGAGCTCCGAGCTTTGTCGCTCCTCGTTTGTTTATATCAACGGGCAGCAGCGTATATTTGACTTCATCATCTGCTGATAAGGGAGAGCGACCTTTTATACATCGGATTGATTACTTTTACCATTCCGTTTCTATATTCCAATAGTTCTATAGTTTATAACGCTAATTAAGTTAGCCCTAGACAGGCGCACAGCCCTCATGATGACTGATAAGCCACGAAAGCCTCTCGAAAACTACTTCCGGATGTGGCCAGCTTTAATTTCACCTGTCTTACCATGATGAATATGAGTGACATTGTCGGAAGGGGGAGGAAATTAGGAGTTATTTTATATGAGACATTCCCTGTGGAAATTTTGGTTTCATTCGCTTAGATGCGGGGTCAATCAGAACTCCATGTCTGAGAGAAATATCCGTCTAGGAAAGATAGAGATTTCTTTATGAAACAATCCCCCGCTGAATTAAGCTTGTATCTCTAAGGTCAACCCCATTTATGGAATTCTATGACGCCTAAGGCAAAGTTCAAATGGGTTTCCTTTTGGTTTTCTTACACAAAGCCAGAACTTGACCTATAACTGAAACTCTGCGATTACACACTCCCAGCGGAAATCGAGACGCTGCGCCATTTGAGTGAGTCAACAATTTTGTCCAGATTGTCGCCAAAATCACTTCTATATGGTAATCCATAGCTGCTGACGCAATATTCGAGTTCAATAGCGCTTGTTTTTCCACTGAAGAACCTGCCAAAACTCAAAGGGTTCACATTTCGTGGACAAGAAAGCGCTGGCCATGCGACTGGTGTCAAGTGCGAGTGCAAAATCAAAGGATCCCAGGCAATCTTTTTGGACGTCTCGTCCATCATATATCATCATATATTTGTTGTTTGCACAGGCTCGTGTTCTCGGCGAGTTATAGACATAAAAGTGGCATTGAATTTCGCTGTCAACCGCAGACTGAAATTTAAAATAAACTGCATGGCCCGGCAATTTTCGCTGGCGCGCCTAGGCGGCGGCGGCGGCGCCGCATGTGAAGGAAGGGGACCAAAAGAACACACATATCTGGCACACTAGACATTCTCTCATGCCCCTCTCTCCTTGTTTCTTTGCAGACAAAATGTGCGACCAAATCAGCGACGCTATCTTGGATGCCCATCTGAAGCAGGATCCCAACGCCAAGGTGGCCTGCGGTAAGTGTCAAAGCCTCGTCCAGGGAACCCACACAAGCCCAGGCTAGTGACCTTTGAAGCGGCTCCGGAAATCGGTTTTTTGGTAGTAACAGCGGCGGCAGTACATCAAAAAGGCGCCGCACGAGTCTCTCATAACAGGGACAGACCATCAAGAAAATAAACTCATCCATAAAGTAAACATTGGCGCAACCATCGACGCGTGTGCAGAACCCCCTAAGACGATAGCCTGGACAAATAAACAAAGTCCAAAGTCAAAGCCGAAGGCATAGCGATGGTTCTGTGGTTCCACTAGAGATGGAGGACTTAATTGATTTGGTTTGAAATTAATTCAAAATTTCTCTTGTTTCCCAGAAACTGTTGCCAAGACCGGCATGATCCTGCTCTGCGGTGAGATCACATCAAAGGCCGTCGTGGACTACCAGCGAGTTGTGCGTGAGACTGTCCAGCACATTGGCTACGATGACTCGTCCAAGGGTAAGTACTAAAGACCTAATCTAGGTTAAATGAGAGGAAAAGAGACGTTTTGTGGGAGGGCTACAGGATCCTACATCCTTTGTACACAATATATATATTAAATTGCAACAAAATCAATCAAAATTGAAAAGGTTTCGATTGGAAGACCCTAAACCTGCTTGTTGCCATCGAACAGCAGTCGCCCGATATTGCCAACGGCGTGCACATCAACCGCGAAGAGGACGACGTCGGCGCTGGTGACCAGGTACAGCTCCGTTTTCCTACTGCCCACCGAGAGTGTGTGTGTTCGTTCGTTCGTTACGTTTCCATTGTTGTTCAGTGTTTCATTGATGAAGCGGTTTAATCATACCTACTCTCATACCCACAACTACTTCTGCCTCAAAAGAAAAACATACACTAAAGAGAAGCTATAACCTTTGGAAATGTATCCATAAAGTATGAGGACTCGGAGTAACAGGCATCCACTGGGCTCAAAATCATTGCAACCTTACCATTTTGAACTCCTAAAGGGGTCGCTCTAACCTCATATACGGCATATAACCCATAAACGGATTTAATTGAACCCCTTTTCAGAGGTTTTTACTAGAGTTTAAGAGACTCAGACAACAGCTAATTTTGCATGCGGAATTCCTCCCCAAAAAGAAGACTAAGATGCAGCCACATCCAGCTATAAGATACCTTAAATTCCACTTAAGAAATATATAATTATAAGCTAGTTTAAAGGGTGAATTTAAACATATTTTAAACATTACTTACAGACCTATTTCCTGTGCGTGTGCGCTCCTTTCTTTTATCTTTCTCTCGTTTCATAAACACGATACCAATTACGATATTTTGTACGATTATCTTGCTATTTTGCAAACCAATAACACAAAAAAACAAAAGGTTTTGATTTCAAAACGTGCAACGTGCTCTTGGCATTGGACCAACAATCGCCCGAAATCGCGGCCGGAGTGCATGTCAATCGTGCCGACGAAGAGATCGGTGCCGGAGATCAGGTGTGAAATTATAGCATCAGGGCGGACCTTAAAGGCCCCTTCCAAAAGAGAGCAAAGATCATTTAAGTCACTTGGTTATGGTTCATGGTGGAGCTGGAAATAGTCGATGCTATATCGATATTTATTTTAGCTCTAATTCATGGTGGTGGGGCGTAGCCTAAGCTCTTTTGGAGGGGGTCTCCCACCGCCACTATTGTGCAATTTCTGTGTTCCTATTTGTTTCTTATATTATTTTATATGCGTAACTAATCGAAAATGAGTATATAAGAGTATTTATTGTATTGCTAATACCTACTATTCAAGTCATTTGTAGTATCCTATAGCCTGTACACTATACCACACACACACACACATGTAGCAAAGCACTATATAGCCTTGATTGTTATTTGAAATCCTTTCCCAATGCCTGTTTTATGCTTTCTTTGGTTAACCAGGCTAGTTTCGAATAACCAAGGCTTACTTTACTGCATTTTCATTCCATATAAAACGAAATTCAGAACCTTTTTCCTTTGGTAACTCATCCCAACTCAGTCCACATTCATTAGCTTGTTTCATCTTGAACTTTCCTAACCCAAAAATGTTCCTTACTTACCCGCAACTAATCACCAGTAGGTGTATCGATATATGATGCAAAGACCGATATAGTAATCGACATATTAATATATTTTCTGTTTAAAATATTAAAATAATATAATTCAAGGAAAGAATTAAAAATTATATGATAACTATTTTCGTCGATCTATCATATCGGACTTTGCCGCTCGGTATACATTCTCACTCACCACTTTGTTTGGTTTGGTTTTCTCTGTTCTGTAAAACAATCATAATATATAAATATATATAACTAAAAACTCGTCTAATGTTTTCCAGGGCATCATGTTTGGCTATGCCACCGATGAGACCGAGGAGTGCATGCCCCTCACCGTCGTCCTGGCCCACAAGCTGAACGAGAAAATCGCCGAGCTGCGTCGCTCCGATGTCTTCTGGTGGGCTCGTCCCGATTCCAAGACCCAAGTCACTTGCGAGTACCTCTTCAACCAGGGTTCGGCCGTGCCCAAGCGCGTCCACACCATCGTTGTGTCCATGCAGCACTCGGAGAAGATTTCGCTGGAGACCCTGCGCTCCGAGGTGATGGAGAAAGTTGTCAAAGTCGTCATTCCCGCCAAATACATTGATGCCAACACCATTGTCCACATCAATCCATGCGGACTCTTCGTCATCGGCGGCCCCATGGGCGATGCTGGTCTAACGGGCCGTAAGATTATCGTTGACACCTATGGAGGATGGGGTGCCCATGGTGGAGGTGCTTTCTCGGGCAAGGATTTCACAAAGGTCGACAGATCGGCGGCTTATGCCGCACGCTGGGTGGCCAAGTCGCTGGTGAAGGCCGGTCTGTGCAAGCGATGCTTGGTCCAGGTGTCGTACGCCATCGGTCTGGCCGAGCCGCTGTCCATCACTGTCTTCGACTACGGCACTTCCCACAAGTCGCAAAAGGAGCTGCTGGAAATTATCCGGCGCAACTTTGACCTCAGGCCCGGCAAGATTGTCAAGTGAGTTGGGAAAATGATATCATATTCCTTGGTTTCTTATTAATGGTCGTGTTTTCTTCAGGGACTTGAACCTGCGCCAGCCTATTTACCAGCGTACCAGCACATATGGCCACTTTGGACGCGCCGGCTTCTCGTGGGAGGAGGCCAAGCATTTGGAGATCAATTGACTAGACGCCGACGAGTCACCGTGTGCTAAAAGGTTGAAGACATCGTCATCATCATCCGCGTCAACAACAACAGAAACAGCAACCGCAAAAGCAACGTAATTTTTAATTTCGTTTTGTTTAAGTTGCAAAAAGCGGTTCGAGCTCTTTGCTATCCTTAAAACCAATCTGATGTAGTTGTAGTCGTCATCCCCCACGCATATATATACTTAATAGAGAGCTCTCCCACACCAGAATTGATGAGCTTTAGTTTTACATATACATAGTATAGAGTCGTCGCGTCGCTCACACAAAAAGAAACCGAGTAGTTAGCCCCTTGAAAAGAAAAACCCTTGAAATTGTATAAAAAACAACTTGCGATATCCTCCGTTGCCTAGAAATTATGCACACCATTCTCATGCTTAATTGTACACATATTTTTGTATCTTTTACTATATCTGCCTATATGTTGTCGATTGTGTGCGTTGTATATGTATATGTTTAACACAAAAGTTTTTAAACAACTCGATTGTATGTATATTACACACTATTACTATGCTATATATACTGTCTTTGTATGTTCTGTAGCCAACCAACCATAAGATAATGTATTTTCCTTTACAAAAATATATTACAAATACAGATAGAGGAGTTTGTAATAATTATCCAAACAGAGCAAAACGGGGCATTTTAATTGTACAAAAAAACAAAAACAAAATATAATAACAATAATGCAAAACCAGAATCAGAGCAAGTCTGTGTTGCAATATTAACAGACGAAGAACAGACAACGTAAACAATTAACCAGTTCGAACAGCTGCTGCCCCTAAAACATAGTTTAATCCGAGATATTTATTTAAGTGTGTACTGTACAAGACAAGCAAACTTTCACATGACAATGATCATTGCAATAAACCTAATCGACAGTTTACAAATTAAAGATATTCACCAAGTGATTTCTTGTATTGGTTAGAAAACTGGGGATGTATTTAAATCAAATGGATAACATATTATATCGACTTTAAATTTTGTATAAAAAATAATATCAATTCTCTGAATGATTCGTATGAATTGTATTTTAGAGCGGCGAAATACACAGGAAATGTTGCTGAGAAAATGTTGCCAGGAACATTTTCAGCAACACCCATTGATGTTGCTCGTATTCAGTATGCAGAGTAACATTCCTTAGTTTTTCGTAAAAAAATGGAAGTTTAAGGTTTTCTGATTATCTGCCAAATTTGCCACATCATTTTTTTGAAAACTGTAAACTATTTTCACATTTGTCACTATGCAATAGGCCTTTGAAACTGATTATTAATATTTAAAATAAAAGGTAAATATGGCTTCAAAATAAAAAAGATAGTCTACTTTAAGGGCTTAAGGTTTTATTTGTAAGAATTATAATGGCTGAATGATTTAGGAATGGTTTTGTCTTAAACTATTATTTTGTTTCTTGAAACCTGTGTTAAAACCAAGTGATGAAATTTATTTTTTTAATCTTCAAATAAGAATAACACCTTCCCGATCTTTAAAAAAAATATTTTTATATACATATATCACTCGCAAGTATTTGAGTCAATCAAATGGTCTTAAATCTAAAATGTGTTCCAAAACTGACACTATATGGCTTAATCGGTGATTTAGACAGAACCCGCTTAGAATTAACTACCTACACAAGTTCCCCCCACCGGAACCCAACTCTCCCCTCCCGATCCTAATAATTATATGATGTAAAGTTAAAGTATTTTGTTAATAGCTGTAGAACATAGGCCACAATGGGGTTGGCCCCCGACTTTTTCAGCCGCTGTCGTATCATTATATACGCCGCGATGGTGAACAGCAGATAGAAGCCAATCAGACAGGAGAGTGACCACACGTAGTGCATGTCCTCGAAGCCCAGGAAGGCCAGCAAGACCTTGGACTTCTTGAAGGTGCAAAAGATCTCCGTATCCTCGCAAATCGTATCGGCCCGTCCGTAGTCATAGAGGGCGGCCACAAGACCCTCCATGCCATGCCGAAGGTAGCTGAGATGCATTATGTACCTCATTAGGGGCGACACATAGCTACCCCTTCCGTAGCCAATGCCGTGGATGGAGAGCAGGATCAAGGGCACTGCCAGCACTGGGCCCATGAACATGGCATTCTGGAAGGACACAGGACGCAGGATAGAGGCATCTCTGTGAGGGATAGTGACTTCTGAGTAACTTACCACCAGGCTCAGTCTACTGGAGATCAAAAGGCCAAAACTATCGGATGTCAGGGCCGTTACAAAGGCAATCATGAACAGCAGGGCGAAGCGGAACAGCTCCAGCGGCTGGCTGGACATTAAGTACACAATGGAGAGATAGATAACGGCTAGGACGAACATGGAGGGCAGCTTGGAGCAGACCATGGCGGCGTAGTAGGAGCTCAGGCGATACCACTGGTTGTTGTACTCCCTCTTCAAGAGATTGATTTCCGTGGGAACTGAGGGAAAGAATACTCTTTGATTAGTGTACCATGATCCCCAAGGATCGCCTACTTACAGTACAGAAGCACTGGCATCATGGGCAGGTACAGGTAAGCTATCACAATGGTGAACATAAATCCGAAATTGAACAGAGCCTTGGAGGCCGAGGTGCCCATGCCGAAGTACAGTGAACCCACAAGCAAGGCCAGCACTATGTTCATGTAAAACTTCAGCTTGATGTAGGACTGGGAATGGGAATGATGTAAGAATAATGATTTCACTTCAACAGGTTCCCTCACTCACCTTGTCCCTCCACATCTGCAGAAGCATCCGACTCAGCAATAGTTTATACTGCATCCACCAGCTGCACTTGGCCTGCAGCAGCTTAGGACTGATCTCCTCCTCAAACTGATCCATTTCGTAGAAAGAGGATGCTCCCGAAGTGGTATCCGTTTTGGTGGGTGTCACCTTGCCATCCTCTGCCGCTGGTGGAGACCAACGAGTCACCTTGCCATTACCCACGGCCTCAACCATGGGCTTGTGATACGAGCTGCCATACTCCAGGCAAGCCACTTCGATGATAAAGTCTGCCGGATTGTACGTAATGGGACAGCTCAGACCCAGGTGCTCCATATAGGGCACAATGTTGGCTCCACTGCCCTGGTAGATGCACTGACCCTCTGCCAGAACATATACAACGTCCAGCATCTCAAAGATCTTGGCGGAGGGAGTGTGGAGGGAACAGATCACAGTGCGTCCGCCCGCGGCTATGGATTTCAAGAGACCAATGCACTGAGAGCTGGATAGGTCATCTAGGCCTCTGTAGGATTAAGATGAGTATATTATCTATATATATTATTTTTCCTATATGTTAATGCACTCACGTTGTGGGTTCATCTAGAAAGATGACAGGCGGGTTGTTGACCAGCTCGAGGGCAATGCACAGACGCTTACGCTCCCCTCCGGACAGTTTGGGTGTCATGGTGTTTTCGGATGTCTTAAGGCGCAGCATGACCAGGATTTCATCAATCTATAAGAGGGTCAAAGGGTTATATGGTTTATCTATCTATCAAGAGATATATATTTAGCATAACTCACCACTTCCAGCTTTTGCCTTAGATTAAGTTCATTACCCAACTTGAGGTGGGCGGCCAGTAGCATCATTTCGTGCACCGTAAACTGAGGATCCAGGACATCAGTCTGCGGATTTATAATATAAATAAAAGATAATATTGTATGCTCAATACATTTAATAGTCAGAGGAACTGTGGAAACCTACCTGCATTATGTATCGAGACATTTTACGAAAGACTCTCATATCCCTGGGATTCTGGTTGACCAAAACCTCTCCAGAGGTGCTGGTGGCGCTAAAATAGTCGATTAATGAGGTCTTAATTTATGATGATTATTGCTTTAGTTCTACGTCTTACCCAAATCCCGCCAGCAGGTTTAGCAACGTTGTCTTACCAGCCCCCGAGGGTCCCATAATTGCGGTGAGCTCATGAGAGTGGAACTCCCCATTGACTCCCCTTAGTATGGCTTTTTTCTGAGAAGCTGCAGGAAAAGATCAAAATGATTGAAGCTCAGGTGGGTCTGAGTAATGCCTTCCACAGAGAGTAGAAAGGTGGGAGGGGGGTTGCTTAGAACTATTAACTATTGGCATGCATTTGATCGCTGTTTGGTATAGCATTAAGGCGGATAATTGCCTCTTAAAATGTGCATTTTAAGCTGGGAATATAATCTAGGTAATTACTATGGCATCCACCACCTATTATCGTTTCTAATAACTCATTATCAGCACACAAGAATCACACAACTAGCTGGAAAAAACTCACCCTGCACCTGATCCGGCACTTCATAGCTCAGTTCCGTAAACTGCAAGTTAACCGCTGGCCAGGATGGCAAGTACTTCAAACCATTGACCGACTGGAAGTCCTCCGAGTGTTCAGGAAGCTCCAAGCTAATGGCATTGATGTCGCTGCTATACTGATCGGAGCTGTGCTGGGAGCTGCTTGTCGTTTGCATCTTGGTAGTTTCACTCCTTTTTTGATATCAACTCATCCCATCTACATACATTTTGTTTAGAAAAAGTTTCAAATTTAATGCGATTGCTTTTTAAAGTAGTTTTAATTGTGGAACTCGCGACGCTGATAACCTTTCGGTGAATGTTTCGGAACGCAATGCTCGAGTCGTTCATTCGCAGCTTTGAGCTATCTGTACGATGGGAACCAATTAGTAATCGCACACAAAAAAATATATTAATTTTCGGCTTGCAATAAACCAGTTTTGCAGTATCTTAATCCCTCAAAGCTGGTTTAATTATATTTTATCAGCACATTGCTATTTGCATTCTTGAAATACTTAGCGCCCTCGCCCTCGCCCTTCCTATTGTTCTCAAAGCGAAATTCGCACTGAGCAAAGACCTATTTTAAATGTAATTCATTTCTACGAGCACGAGCTCGAAAAATAAACTCAGATTTTCAATTGACGGAGGGCAGTACATACACGACCGACAGCCTGCCCGAGTTCTGACCGAATGACTGGACGGCTGTCAGTCTCTGTCAGTTGGGGGGCAGTTGGTGTGAGTAATCTTGGTTGGCTCTGGCTTGGCATTTTGCCGATGACTTGAGAGTTGCACTGTCTGTCGTTTTAGTGATAATGTTATCAGCGAGTCTTATGGCGGAAGCTTATAAAAACAGAGATTCGAGAGGCTAGCTTAAAAGCCGGCTTCGTGCTTGGAGACGGCGCACACTGCGTATGCGCAATATCGCTGATAATTCCTAGCAACTGTTTATCTATGATATATGTATATTTGGAAAGTTTGAATTATGGTACCCTTTATTTCGAGAAGGGTGTGATGAAATTTAATATTATACCATATTTCTTATTATATAATATTATTTCTTCTATTATTATAGGGAAATGCAAATGCGTATGCGCAATATTGATGATAATTCTTAGCAACTCTTTATCTACGATTTATACTTAAAGAGTTTGTTTTATGGTACCCTTTATTTAGAGAAGTGTATGATGAAATTTAATATTATACCATATTTCTTATTATATAATATTATTTCTTCTATTATTATAGGGAAATGCAAATGCGTATGCGCAATATTGATGCTAATTCTTAGCAACTCTTTATCTATGATATATATTTGAAGAGTTTGTTTTATGGTACCCTTTATTTAGAGAAGGGTATGATGAAATTTAATATTATACCATATTTCTTATTATATAATATTATTTCTTCTATTATTATAGGGAAATGCAAATGCGTATGCGCAATATTGATGCTAATTCTTAGCAACTCTTTATCTATGATATATATTTGAAGAGTTTGGTTTATGGTACCCTTTATTTCGAGAAGGGTATGATGAAGTTTAATAGTATACCATATTTCTTAGTATATAATATTATTTCTTCTATTATTATAGGGAAATGCAAATGCGTATGCGCAATATTGCTGATAATTCCTAGCAACTCTTTATCTATGATATATATTTGAAGAGTTTGTTTTATGGTACCCTTTATTTAGGGAAGGGTATGATGTAATTTAATATTATACCATATTTCTTATTATATAATATTATTTCTTCTATTATTATAGGGAAATGCAAATGCGTATGCGCAATATTGCTGATAATTCTTAGCAACTCTTTATCTATGATATATATTTAAAGAGTTTGTTTTATGGTACCCTTTATTTAGGGAAGGGTATGATGTAATTTAATAGTATACCATATTTCTTATTATATAATATTATTTCTTCTATTATTATATGGAAATGCAAATGCGTATGCGCAATATTGCTTATAATTCTTAGCAACTCTTTATCTATGATATATATTTGAAGAGTTTGGTTTATGGTACCCTTTATTTAGAGAAGGGTGTGATGAAATTTAATATTATACCATATTTTTTTATTATATAATATTATTTCTTCTATTATTATAGGGAAATGCAAATGCGTATGCGCAATATTGGTGATAATTCTTAGCAACTCTATATCTATATTATATATTTAAAAAGTTTGTTTATTGGTACCCTTTATTTAGAGAAGGGTATGATGTAATTTAATAGTATACCATATTTCTTATTATATAATATTATTTCTTCTATTATTATAGAGAAATGCAAATGCGTATGCGCAATATTGCTTATAATTCTTAGCAACTCTTTATCTATGATATATATTTGAAGAGTTTGGTTTATGGTACCCTTTATTTAGAGAAGGGTGTGATGAAATTTAATATTATACCATATTTCTTATTATATAATATTATTTCTTTTAATATTATATATAGAACTTTGCTTGAAATATTAATGCAATATCAATAAATCAATTATATGTGTCATTCATAGGGATTTCCGATCAAAGTATCAGAAAGACTATTAAGATTATGTTTGACAAATAATGAACTACATCAAATAAACCCTTGTTTCATTTCTTTATTCTTAATAAATCTGTGTAATGGGGCTAAGTACACCTTCTGAGAGTGTTTGACATAGTGTGCCCTGATCTTCTCTTTACTTTTACAGATAACATGCTCCACATAATACCCTAGAACTGCGCACATAAATATAAACACAAAGCGAAAGCATTTATCGCCATCGTATGAATACGAATTAAAATCGCGCAAGTAGATGGGAATCGTGTGCGTGACCATTGGCCCGCCACTTATGAGAGCGAGCTGTGTCTGTGTGTCCACCGTGTAAACAAATCCCGATTGGTGTTGCTTGGGCTATACCATCAGATATATGTATACCGATTCAGTAGCAGGGTGTGCTCCTCAGTTTACAGGGTAGAGGAGAGCCGACTAGCCGGCAGGGTCTTTGTGTCTTTCGATGATGTGTGAGTAATGGCGCATGCAAATGCATTGAAGCGGCGAATGTTGAACTTTGTTCTCAGTACTATCCTACATTGTATGATGATTAATAAACATGTAGGAGATAGGTATATATCCGAATCACCTAATTATATATATTCCCGCCAGGCATTCGTGCGTTTATCAGGGTATGCATGACGAAGAGTCGGCGGTATTTGGTAAACAAAGCAGATGCCAGTGACATGTTCACATGGCTGTTATTAGTTCAGAATGACTCGTAAAATCCACATAAAGAGTTCATAGTTCACACTGTTATCCAAGGGGCCACCGATCGTTACATGGCGCTGATAAGCAGTTGCTCATCTGACCCAGCAATCGATTAAATAATTAAGTCTGTGCGCTCACACCACTCCGCATAGAATGGTAAACAAGTGGCCACCAGTAATTCCATAATTCCCGCCATCGCTCCCGACTTTCAGGTTCAACGAACGCGCCTAGATATGGCTTTTCCGACAGCTCTGGGTAAGTGCAGCAATGCCACTGCTGGTGGAGGGTGGAACGGACGGGAGCTCCGGTGCTGCACTTACTCCACTTTCTATTCGCAGCTACTGGCTCTCCTCCACTCTCTCTCTCTCTCTTTGAGAGTCGGCAACCACAACCACAACGCAGAGGAGGCGACTTGTTGCACCGACGACGGCAGAAAAAGTACTGAAAGCGAGCACAGGAAGAACCAGTGAGTGCAGCTGGCCGGCGAAGCTCGTGTCCCCCACCTCAAGGGAGAACTCTTCTGCCCTTGCTAGAAGAGATCGTGGGGCTATAGAAACGAGTTTAGCAGGCTTTCAGCAGGATGTGACAGTCTATTTATGGAGTCTTCCAAAGGAATGTTAAGTGGCGACTCCAAATGTGCTGACCCATGCTGTGACCTACCTCAATCCGAATCTCCTTGGAAGGGCGCAGGTGTGACGAGTTACAAGTTAAGGTAACTTCAGAAAATGCCAAGAAATATTAAAAATCATTCCCTTAAATGCTTGCAAAATGATGATTGCTGCATATTAAGAAAAAAAAAACCCATAAAATTTCTAACATATTCGAGACGAAATTGCAACTCATTGCAACAGCCGGCACAGAACGCATGGCAAAAAAAATTAAAGTTACCCAACGCCACCGAAACCTGGATGCTGGCTGGTTAATTTGACAGTACGAGCAGCTGAGACCAATCTCCATCTCCATCCGTTGTTCCCAGTCTCGTGAGGGGCGAGTGACCAGCACCGGCTGGAATTTGTTGCTTTAATGTCAGGCACGTACTAGCCACTTTAATTGCCGCTTTGCAAAAAATGAAAAACCTAATCACTTGCCGGCCTCTCAGGTTCACAATTCAAACTGACTTGCGGTCTTAACGGTTGCCAAAAGCACACAGACTCTCGGGTTAGATTGTATTGCCGGCAGGGGCGCTGGGAATAGCTTTTGTACACTGGGAGAAACTGGTTTTGAATTTTAGGGAATATAACTATTAAGATATTTATACAACGAATATTTTGCATATTTTCAAATATCATAACTTTACTATGTAGTTGTTATAAGGTTTATAAGTCAGCATACTTCATTTAAAATTTAAAAAATTTTAATTTTTGTCAACCCCTTATAAAATTTATATCGATGTTTTTATATGACCATTTCTTGGGCAAATCAAACATTTGCGAATATCATAACTCAGCCAAAAATGCATTTATTTTATTTTGGAAAGCATTCCTATGTTAGTTTTTATTAGGTTAATAAATCTGCATACTCAATTTAACGTTTTAAAAAATTCAAAATTTGGTCAATTTTTTCTTACAATTTTAACGATGTAACCCCTTATAAAATGTTCAAAATTTAAAAAAAATTAAATTTAAGCCGGACAAGCCTTAATCGATTCGGTTGTTGATGCTGATCAATAATATATATGATTTATAGGGCCGGAAATGATTCCTTCACTGCGTTTTGAGCTTCTGACTGAAATAGAATTCCCTCAAATTTAAATATTTAACTAAAATTTTTTATGATAATTTTTGGGAAAAGTTTAGGTTAAAAATACAATAACTAAGCCAAAAATGCATTTATTTTAATTTGGAAATCATTCCTGTGTTAGTTTTTATTAGGTTAATAAATCTGCATACTTAATTTAACGTTTTAAAAAATTCAAATTTTTGTTCCATTTTTTCACAATTTTAACGATTTTTGTAATTTTTGTAACCTTACAAAATTGTCAAAATTTTTAAAAAATTAAATTTTTGTTGGACATAGCTAAATCGATTCGGCTGTTGATTATGATCAAGAATATATATGATTTACAGGGTCGGAAACGACTCTTTCATCGTGTTACAAGCTTCGGTTTAAAATTATTATACCCTGCCTAGTACTAGTCGCCTAGTAATGCAATTAATTATAATTACCCTTTTCCTCGCAATTAGTTGATATAAAACTAAAAATAATACACAATTTCTTTACTTTTGTGTATAATTTCTTTATTTCCTCCAAGAATGCACTATTTATAAATACAAATGTGATTATAAAATATGTATATGTTGCAGACACTTAAATACCATTTGGATTTAGATCGTAAACCTGTATTACAAAGTTTTGTATAAAATAATTGCATATATGTACATATAAAGGGCATATATATGCAAGGGCTTTGCTTTATTTTTAATAAAAAAGTTTTATTCACAGACATTTATAAAACAAATAAATACACATCGACATGTATTTAAATATTCTTCTCTTTTGGCAAAAATATGGGTTATATAGATTTTTTGAATAACTTACGTCCCTATGATTTCCTTACATCGAAGATGTTGTGTTTACAGCGATTTGGTTTTGTTTTGATCAATTTCGAAACTAAAAACTAGGCAAAAATAAATGATAAATGTTCACATGGCTGTTATTAGTTCAGAATGACTCGTAAAATCCACATAAAGAGTTCATAGTTCACACTGTTATCCAAGGGGCCACCGATCGTTACATGGCGCTGATAAGCAGTTGCTCATCTGACCCAGCAATCGATTAAATAATTAAGTCTGTGCGCTCACACCACTCCGCATAGAATGGTAAACAAGTGGCCACCAGTAATTCCATAATTCCCGCCATCGCTCCCGACTTTCAGGTTCAACGAACGCGCCTAGATATGGCTTTTCCGACAGCTCTGGGTAAGTGCAGCAATGCCACTGCTGGTGGAGGGTGGAACGGACGGGAGCTCCGGTGCTGCACTTACTCCACTTTCTATTCGCAGCTACTGGCTCTCCTCCACTCTCTCTCTCTCTCTTTGAGAGTCGGCAACCACAACCACAACGCAGAGGAGGCGACTTGTTGCACCGACGACGGCAGAAAAAGTACTGAAAGCGAGCACAGGAAGAACCAGTGAGTGCAGCTGGCCGGCGAAGCTCGTGTCCCCCACCTCAAGGGAGAACTCTTCTGCCCTTGCTAGAAGAGATCGTGGGGCTATAGAAACGAGTTTAGCAGGCTTTCAGCAGGATGTGACAGTCTATTTATGGAGTCTTCCAAAGGAATGTTAAGTGGCGACTCCAAATGTGCTGACCCATGCTGTGACCTACCTCAATCCGAATCTCCTTGGAAGGGCGCAGGTGTGACGAGTTACAAGTTAAGGTAACTTCAGAAAATGCCAAGAAATATTAAAAATCATTCCCTTAAATGCTTGCAAAATGATGATTGCTGCATATTAAGAAAAAGAAACCCATAAAATTTCTAACATATTCGAGACGAAATTGCAACTCATTGCAACAGCCGGCACAGAACGCATGGCAAAAAAAATTAAAGTTACCCAACGCCACCGAAACCTGGATGCTGGCTGGTTAATTTGACAGTACGAGCAGCTGAAACCAATCTCCATCTCCATCCGTTGTTCCTAGTCTCGTGAGGGGCGAGTGACCAGCACCGGCTGGAATTTGTTGCTTTAATGTCAGGCACGTACTAGCCACTTTAATTGCCGCTTTGCAAAAAATGAAAAACCTAATCACTTGCCGGCCTCTCAGGTTCACAATTCAAACTGACTTGCGGTCTTAACGGTTGCCAAAAGCACACAGACTCTCGGGTTAGATTGTATTGCCGGCAGGGGGCGCTGGGAATAGCTTTTGTACACTGGGAGAAACTGGTTTTGAATTTTAGGGAATATAACTATTAAGATATTTATACAACGAATATTTTGCATATTTTCAAATATCATAACTTTACTATGTAGTTGTTATAAGGTTTATAAGTCAGCATACTTCATTTAAAATTTAAAAAATTTTAATTTTTGTCAACCCCTTATAAAATTTATATCGATGTTTTTATATGACCATTTCTTGGGCAAATCAAACATTTGCGAATATCATAACTCAGCCAAAAATGCATTTATTTTATTTTGGAAAGCATTCCTATGTTAGTTTTTATTAGGTTAATAAATCTGCATACTCAATTTAACGTTTTAAAAAATTCAAAATTTGGTCAATTTTTTCTTACAATTTTAACGATGTAACCCCTTATAAAATGTTCAAAATTTAAAAAAAATTAAATTTAAGCCGGACAAGCCTTAATCGATTCGGTTGTTGATGCTGATCAATAATATATATGATTTATAGGGCCGGAAATGATTCCTTCACTGCGTTTTGAGCTTCTGACTGAAATAGAATTCCCTCAAATTTAAATATTTAACTAAAATTTTTTATGATAATTTTTGGGAAAAGTTTAGGTTAAAAATACAATAACTAAGCCAAAAATGCATTTATTTTAATTTGGAAATCATTCCTGTGTTAGTTTTTATTAGGTTAATAAATCTGCATACTTAATTTAACGTTTTAAAAAATTCAAATTTTTGTTCCATTTTTTCACAATTTTAACGATTTTTGTAATTTTTGTAACCTTACAAAATTGTCAAAATTTTTAAAAATTAAATTTTGTTGGACATAGCTAAATCGATTCGGCTGTTGATTATGATCAAGAATATATATGATTTACAGGGTCGGAAACGACTCTTTCATCGTGTTACAAGCTTCGGTTTAAAATTATTATACCCTGCCTAGTACTAGTCGCCTAGTAATGCAATTAATTATAATTACCCTTTTCCTCGCAATTAGTTGATATAAAACTAAAAATAATACACAATTTCTTTACTTTTGTGTATAATTTCTTTATTTCCTCCAAGAATGCACTATTTATAAATACAAATGTGATTATAAAATATGTATATGTTGCAGACACTTAAATACCATTTGGATTTAGATCGTAAACCTGTATTACAAAGTTTTGTATAAAATAATTGCATATATGTACATATAAAGGGCATATATATGCAAGGGCTTTGCTTTATTTTTAATAAAAAAGTTTTATTCACAGACATTTATAAAACAAATAAATACACATCGACATGTATTTAAATATTCTTCTCTTTTGGCAAAAATATGGGTTATATAGATTTTTTGAATAACTTACGTCCCTATGATTTCCTTACATCGAAGATGTTGTGTTTACAGCGATTTGGTTTTGTTTTGATCAATTTCGAAACTAAAAACTAGGCAAAAATAAATGATAAAGAACCCAAGACGCTTCGTTGATAACTAACTAACTAGATAGTTGTGTGTAGGTACATTGAAAGCTTTAAGAACCGAAAACAACAAACAATAAGGTTCGAGGAGTGCCCCAGATTAGCGCACGGTCTTCAGCTTCCAGCGCAGGAAGAGGTACGCCGACACCCTCAGCACCACGAAGATCACGATCAGGGCCACGATGTCCAGCGTGAAGTTCGCATTCACCATGTCCAGCTCCTCCAGCGTCGTAATGGGCGACTTGAAGTGGCAGTAGGTCTGGAAGCACCTCAGCTTCTCGCGTCCATAGCCATACGTGGCCAGGGCAGTGCCCTCGAATCCATAACGAATGTAGGATAGGTAAGTGATCCATCTCAAGTACACCGGTATAGCGTCGAAGGAGACGAAGAAGCCGGAGAACAGGAGGAAGGGCACCGACATCACGGGAGCCAGGAAGACACCGTTCTGCACATTCATGGCAGCGCCAACCACCAGACCCACGGACTGGGCCACGAACGAGATGAGCAGGCAGGCGGACAAGAACATGGAGAAGCGGAAGAGCTCCCAGGGCTGTGAGGTGAAGTAGTACACAATGGACACATAGATGACGCAGAATATAGCCTGGAAGGAGGAGAGATAGTAGTTAGTAAGGGTATCCCAATTCAGAATACCTTAATCAACTCACTTGGAATGGCAGATCAGCCACTGATATAGCCAAGTAATACGACTTCAGTGAGTACCAGCGATTAAAGTTTTCCTTTAACAGAACGGGCATCTCCAGAGGGACTATAAATTATACAAATAATATATTAATGTAATATATATGAATCCAAATTCAAAGGGTTTACTTACATGACAAAATAGTGATGGTCATGGACGTGTACATGAGGAACAGCATGTTGAAGAAGAGGAAACCCAGGTTACTCAACACCTTGGCTCCATCGTTGCCAATGTCATAGTAGAGAGCGCCAATGAGGAAGCCCACCAGAAGATGAGCAAACAATCTCAGATACATAAGGGTCTAAGGAATAGAAAAAACCCTAATTAATTATCCTGAAGAGTCTACCACTCATCCCCCAACTCACCCAATCGCGGTAACTGAAGAGCAGAGTTCGCTTCAGAACCACCCAGAACTGGTGGAACTGCGAGGTCGGATAGCGTTCCGGCGACGTGATCTCCTCCGTTAGCAAGGCCGTCGTACAGTTCACACTCTTCTCCACATCGATCATGGCATCGCCCTTCTCGTTTGTGGTGACCACAGCGGAGCTGGCATTGCCATCCTTCACAATATCGTTGACCATGCCATTGAGCAGGCCATTGTTCAGGGTCAGATTCTCCTCGTACTTGCTGCCGCTGACATTCGAGGCATCGTTCTTGTCCAGAATGGCCTTCAGGTTCTGCACCTTCACCAGATCGTTGCGAGCCTTCAGGTTGGCATAGTCCGCCGAGGAGCGGATGTCCCGCTTGCCATTGTCGATGGCCTCCACCAGCTTGCGCGTGTGGTCGCCATGCTCGCCGCAGGACACCTCAATCACATAGCTGGCCGGATTGTGGTAGCTGGGGCACTCCAGGTTCAGGGTGGACAGGAAGGGCACCAGCTGCTTGGTGCTGCCCTGGTACACACACTGGCCATCGGCCAAGGTGTACAGCTGATCGAACATCTCGAAGAGGCGAGCGGACGGCTGATGGATGGTGCAGATCACAGTGCGTCCCCCGGCGGCCAGCATCTTCAGCAAGTGGATGCACTGGAAGCAAGTGGAGCTGTCCAAGCCGGAGGTTGGCTCGTCGAAGAACATGATGGGCGGATTGCTGACCAGCTCCAAGGCAATGGAGAGACGCTTCTTCTGGCCACCCGAGAGATTGCGCGTCATCGTGTACCGGTGCTCGCTCAGGCTGAGAGTCAGCAAGATGTCATCGATCTACCGGAGAGACAAAAGGGGAATTTGAATTGGAATTGGATTTGGGTTTTATTTTTGGTCACGCCGCTGGCTGCCATGACTTGCTGGAATTTATTTGTAAACAAAGCACAGAGCTGAGCGGAGCTCCCCCAACTCAGAACTGGTTCTGTGTTCGAAAATAGCTTGCCATCTGATTAGAGGAAGCCTATGATTGAGCGTGTCCAATGGCCAGACTTCCAGACTTTGGCTTACCATTGAATTCTTCTCCGGCTTGGTGAATTTTTTGCTCAACTTGAGGTTCGTCGCCACCGTCATGGCTTCCTGGACGGTCAGATTGCCGTGCAGCTGATTGTCCTGCATGATGTAGGCGGACAGCTTCCGGAAGGCACTCAGGTTCCGCTCGGCGCCATTCATGGTGACGCTGCCTTCGATGCTCGAGGTTCTGGGGGAGATAAAAAGGATTGAATTGAGTTCTTTTTATGACTAAGATAAGCCCAGACCATTGCTTCTGTAGGTAGATATATTCCCTTGTACATATCCTGCTTCCTGTTTTATTGTCAAAAAAAAAAAATCCTTCTTTTTGTGGTTTAAAACTCCACAGATTTATTCTGGGCAACCCTGCTCTCGGATCTCTCCTTGTAAAAGACGTTACTCCCCGTCCTGTAGAGTTTTCTCACCATATTTTTCCTGGCTTCCTGACTTGTTATCACCAGAATAGAGCTACTATAATTACTTAAAATCAGCAAGGTATTTTATTTTATTGTATTTGCTATATCTACGCATGGACACTTGTTTGATAAACCGAACTGTCGATGGAGTGGGAATCGAAAACGACAATGTAGTACAAAGTCCAGCAAACCAAACTCAAGAAGTGTATGGAAATAGCTGAGTAAGGCGATAGCCTGATTACACTTCGATACGGTCGATATATCATGGAGGGAAATCGGTCTTTGCTCCTGGTAACAACCGTAACCAGTTGAAATGTTTATGATTATTAGACGCAACAGCTGAATTTAGCGTTTTCAATAAACGAATAAAGATAAAGAAGTTGCTGTTATTCGAATAAATTATATAATTTACAAAGGGAACCTCCAAAGAGGTTCCGAGCCGAGTGCGGAAAGGTCGGCGGGTTCAAGAGGGACAGAGAGAGGGAGAGAGTGCTTATCAAGTCACAATTATTTCTGTTGATAATAAGCGACTGGCTAATATAATTGTACCCGCACTCGATTCGCCATATTCTGGCCCCAAGGTCAGCTGAGTTTTTGTTTTTTATTATTATTTTTCCAGAGTGTGCGTGCCTTGATGATTCGGACTACGACTTGTACTCATATACCTTGTTGTGCATGCAAATTATCAGTTGGAAGTAAGGGAAACTCACTTGTAGCCAGACAAAATGTTGAGCAGGGTACTCTTGCCAGCGCCCGATGGTCCCATGATGGCGGTGAGCTCCCCCGACCGCAGGCGCCCACTGACGCCCTTCAGAATGGTCTTGGCATCTGTAATAAAGTCACAAATACATCTGATTAATATATGTTATTACTATAAATAGTCTGCAGAAGGGGGCTTACGTCATTGAGCCTCAAGTACCCGCACTTGAAAGCCCCCGAAAGAAACTATCAAAGAAGCGGCTCTGCTGCATGGGTCATTGATGGAGGCGAGCTTGAGGGGTAAACAGAAATCGCAAAATATTTGACAATCAAAATGACGGAGCCCGGTCATTGGCCCCCCTATTGATGAGCTTTTGTTGTGCCTTCCACCTCCACTTTGATGTGGAAATGAAAAGAAGCCCCATTACGGAAACATTCCAGCTGTGATTCAGGGATCCGAGGAACAATTGCAGAGGGACCCTTATTCGGAATTCAATTACAATGGCGAACAAAACCAAGCCCCTGAGATGGATACGTGAGTGTAACTCTTGCCGAGTGAATAACTAATTGGGTTTTGGTTAGAGTCTTGGCCAAGATCGGCCTCCATCGCATGGGTAATTTCGCGCATGGCTTCTAAATGGAACTGATGCGGAAGTGGCTTATCAACAAAGCAGCATACCTATAAAGCCATAAAACCAATAGATTTGGCTGCTCAGCGGAAAATGCTAATAAACCTGTTACTTTAGCGCCGGCACGCTTGGTCAGTCTTTGGCAGAAGATTGAATCCATTCATCTTCTGAACCATTTCATCAAAATAAGAGTGTGATTTGAGGGGATTATAGATCCTGTTCATGTTCATGTTATATATATTACAGCAAAGTCATAACAAAATAAATAATTCACTTACAGCGCAGGTTAAGTCACCGTGACCCTCTCTCTGAGAAGTGAAATCTGAGTTTTATTAAGCTCGTGCAGGGGCTGTAATTGCTTTAAGACAGCTTGCTTAATCGCAGGCTGGCAGTGAACCTCAGCTGTCAGTCCAATGAGCAGCAACTAGCTAGTCATAGACGCCGTCGTAACCATCTACGCAATGTCTATGCCAGTCAGCCGAAAAAATAAAAATATAAAAAACTGGGTCTCCAGCTGGGATTACGCTTGACAAGCTCCAAACTGTGAGCCATTCAGTCCGCTCGAGAAGATTGCGCAAAAAGAAGTCCCAAGGGCAGTGCAGTGCTTTGCTCATTCTGCTGCTTGCCCAATGCCAATTACGAACATAATACAACTGCGAGGAGGCCAGGGCATTCCGCAATCTTGACGAGCATCAAAGAACGCACTGAGCAGCAGGTACTTCGCCTCATCTCAACAAATAACGCGAATCGCAAATAGCAAATCGCATACATAGTTTGCATGCCGAAAGCCACTTTAGTTTTGTATACAGAAACTTGGCACGTCTCTCTGGAGGCGGCGTGCCATCTGTGGATCTCTGGCCACTTGGCCAGGTGAGCCACTGGTCAGTGTAAAACCTCAATGTTCGCATATTCTGACCGAATCAATTAAGTTTGATGGCCGACCTTTGCCTTGCTCTCTCTCTCTGGCTATCTCGGTGTGTGTGTGTCTGAGCAAAGTTCGTCTCCAATTACAACTTTTTGCACTGACTCTGACCGCATCCGCATCCCAAAACAGGCTCTGACAGCTGACCAAAGGGGAGTGGAGTGGTGTGGAGTGGTGTGGAGTGGTGTGGAGTGGTTGTCCTTGTGCCAAGGAGTGGGGTTAGTGAGGTTTTTATTGATTGACTGATGTATCCAGCAGATACTCTGAGAACAAAGCAGCTGTGCACGGGGTAGGAATACCCAATCATTGGGAATATTATCGAATTCAAAATGGCCACAGGGGGGGACCACTCCCTGCCCTCTCCCGGGCTAGTGGGAGCACAGACCCAGGTGGGTAGGTTATGACTAAACCCTAAACCAAACAAACACTCGAAATCGAAATCAAACAAAACACAAAAAAGCATAGAATGCCTAGCTCATTAGCAGCTCTAGCCAGATCTATGTATGTAGGTGGTCCCCCCTGACTACGCCTCTGTTCCAGATACACACACACTACACACGGACGAGTACATGGCTAGCATTCCTGATGCCGCCTCCGAGTCAACTTGTTGCTGCGATATTGATGTGTGTCTGACACGGCTTATCGCCCGGAGAGCGAACTTTGGCCAGCTCCAGTGTCGGCTCGTGTAATTGGGAACGGGTTACTCAGTGCTCCGGAGTGCTCCCACTCACTCCCCCTGCTGATACCGTGATACTATGATACTCTGTGCCCGCTAGAAGAACAAAGAAACCAGAAACCAGCACAACGACGAGCCGAAGCGCAGCTAAAGCAAACAAGTAAAACCCGCTGGAGCTAAGGCCGCGGAGGGGGAAGTGCGTAATAGCAGCTGGAAGGCGCTCCGGAGACGTAGCTCACAATGGGACATAATGAGCACCGAGTGGGGAGCACGGAGCACCGAGCACCGCCTGGTCACAAAGAAAGCGAAGGTAAGTGTTTGGGGCCAAGGTGTGCAGTATATGCTAAGTGGGTAAGCGACTAGGAACGAGAATATATATTGTATATACTAGGGGTACTTACTGCTGCGGTTGCCCTCCTTGACGCGGTACGTCAGGCTGTGGAAAGCCAGATCCACGGCTGGTCGCTTGGGCAAGTGCTGCAGGGTCTTCGGCTGGGCGGGCATTATCTGCGCCTTCAGCTGTCCTCCGGCCACAGCTCCTGTCCTGTTATCGTTCAGCAGATTGGCATTATCGTTCTTAGTCATCTTGCTTATTATTATATTCCCTTTCTTTTTTGGGGTTGGAAAAGCAAAGTGCAACCACTGTGGCGGACCGTCTCTCTGTCTCTCTGAGTGTGTGTGTGTGTATTCGTATTCGTAATACCAAATATTTTGCACTGAACAGCTTTATAGCACCGGGTTAAGACGAGTTCAGTCCCTTTCCCGTTCCCGTTCCCGTTCCCGAGTTATGGGTTTCAGGGGTATTCTGGGTTCACGTTCGCGTCCCCGTTCCCGTTCCCGTTCCCGTTCGCGTTTCAACCACCGCCGTGCTGGTGGTGCGGTGAGAGAAATTTTCCACCCGTTGTTGTCGTCTCAGCGCGCAGCGGAACACACACCCGCTTCTCGAAATTTTAGGACTTGACTCGCTCGCGTCGCGATCGCAAATGAACTGGGCAGCAATTGCGGCAGTGGAACAAAGCCAGAAATTAAAAGCGACTGGTGGAGAGTGTCAAGCATGCACACACACACACACACACACACACACAGCGTACACACTGTCGAAGCAGCCCCATTGCTGCCTTCCCTGGGTTAGAGTGGGACGCCGCTAGAGGGGCCAGTTCTGGGGAGCATTCTAGAGAGAGCCAAAGTCTAACTGTATGTGTGAGTGGGGCTCTCTGAATATCTCTCTCATAATCGCTCTCTCTCACTCTCTATCTCTCTTTGTGGTTCTTCCAAGTAAAACAGATTCTTCTGAGGGGAAATCTCAATCCTAATCTTTGGGTTAAGGTACTTCCTGGAAGACAAGAACACGCCAGGTATTGCCTTCAGGGAAGTCTTTGATAACAGTAACTTGTGCACTGATAATCCCGATTATAATCAGGGTTTGATAATACATAGTTTTATGCTGATAAAGATTTAAACTTTATTAAGTAAGTATACTTACTTCTGGGTGTGAAAACCAAAGAAGTTTAGGTACCTAAGCTGTTCTGTACAAGACACATTACAAGTTCAGGGCCCATGGGGCTACTCTCATGACTCATGAGTTATGGCCGCGGGCTTATCTAGGAGTTCCAATCTACCGCTGATATAGGTAGGTATTTTCATTCACTCGTCGATAATGGGGTTGTACTTTGAGACCCATTCGCGGAAAGAGAGAGCTCCTAATGGCTTTTACTCCGCCTTGGGGCCTTCAGTGGCAAGATATGCCATCCGTCCAAGTCTGACAATGTGAGCGCGTTTTTAATGGTCGTGGAACGTGTTGGGGAACTGGTGACACCCCCAGCTTTATGTGGCATGAGGTCATTTGCAACGCGTTGGGCGTGGGAGGTCCTTATCCTAGGACTTGGCAACCGAAATCAGTCATAAATTGTTGGTAATGGACATAGGAGGAAATTAAGAACCAAATGATGTACTATATATTGCATTTTAATCGCATTCGATTATGGCGTGAGAGATGTTATCAGAAGGCAAGGCCGGGTCTGGGTTCTAACAATATTTGCTGGATTTTTGCTGATCTCGGACTCGGGCAAATCACACACACTGCGGTGCTAGCAAGAGAGCGTTGCAAAACTAAGTAAAGCCGCGGGAAACCGGTTTTTCGCGGTCTTATTGGTTTTATAAGTGAAAATCCACAAATGGCAGGCATTTTCCGATTTACGTGATATTTTCCTGGACTACTTACGATGGCAATAGTTATGTAAAAAAAAACCGATGAGTGTTTTAAGTGGAAATTCCTAAGGCAAGGCTTATTCAAATCACGGAGATGTCAATTTGCAATTTCTAAACCGGTTGACACCTGTTTGAATGTTATTGCAGCTTTAACTCACAGGTTATTGTTCTCCAAAAACTGCATCCAAGTGTGCTTATTCATTGTGGCAGCAGTAGCAGCAGCAGTATCAGTCTCTGTGCAACAAGTGGCCTTCACAAACTCCGGCTAAATGGTCAAATAACCAAATGGCCAGCTGTAATGTCAACGGGCCAGTCTGAAAATAATAATAATTTGCGTTTTTATGGACTTGTCCATGCTACAGCGCAGTTCGTTCGCAACTTAAACCGACGGAGACCCGACACTTGCGTGGCGCCTTGCGAAAGAAAACTGATGCCGGCCATCCAGTGGAAGCGGTGCCACGCAACTGGAAAAGCGTAGTGCGAGCGACGATGCAGCTTCGTTGCAAATGCACATATACATAAACAGGAGGCGTCAGTTGGTGGAAATTCGCACTCACACCACGAGTTTTGTTGCTGACTTTTCTTTATTTCTTTGCGCTCTGTAAATGTAAACTAATGTATGGGGTATGTTATAGCGATTATAGGTATGAAATCTAGATGATATAGTTTTCTGGTCTTAGAAATAATACTCTTAGAAATAATACTCTTAGTCAGTATGTTAATTTTGTTATTACGGAAATTAAAATTATAAAAAGAAGAAGCTTAAAATATCCTTCAAATTTAAATGATAGAGCAACTTTACTATTTTACTCGTTACAAATAGATAAAGCTAATAAAGCTCCAGCAACTCAGTCTAGGGTATCGTTAAGTCGTGTCCTCTAGCGCTCTTTCCTGTTTGTTTTTTGTTATGGCAACCTGAAGCTCGGCCAAAGTTATGTCAGCCGGCCCCAAACCAAAACAACAAGCTTGTTTTCCCGCCACTTGGCCTGGCACGACGACGACGCCGACCAAGGAGAACGTGCCAATTGTTGCACTGCGCCAGCTTAGCTGCCCCTTGTCTTGTCTATTTTCCAGGCTACCTCTCTCCCTTCCAGGGGAATGAATGCCCCGGAAAACAGAATCTTGACAACGCCTTTTAATGAGCGGCGCCTGTAAATCGAGTATACGTCGTGTGTCTCCAATATGTCGGAGCCTAAAAGCAGGCAACACTTTTTGAGCATTTCGTTTGTGGGGGGATCCAAATCAATATTTTTCTGCTCCTCAGAGTTCATCGTTTGGTAAATAACAGCTGATACCCTTGAGTTGTGTCCAGTGAACTTTGTACTGTAGGTGGTGTACATTTGTTGCAAGAGAGAGAGAGGGAGTGAGAGCTCTCTCCATGCGCACAACAAGATGCGGAACTGTTGCTCTCTCTCTTGCAGCTGCATACGATGTAAAAGTAATGCTGTAACATGGCAGAGGGGGGGAATGGAACGTTTGTTTTGTTATGGAAATAGCATATATATATAGAGAGAGAGAGAGAGAGGAGCAGCTAAAGAGCGCAGGCGGAACAACAGTGCCTGCCAGAAGATTAGCCCCACTGTGCCTTAAATATAGAATTATTTATTTCGAGATATGCCATTGCCCCCCAGGTGTGCTTCTAGGTGGTTCATTGTTCTTGCTTTTCTTTTATTTATATTTCATTTTCGTGGCCCTGCATAGTTTGCAGTGTAGCGAGACAGTAACGGTAGATTTCGTCTAATCCCCAAGCCTTGAAACATTCATTCTGCGCCCGCTCTCTGAGAGATGTCCATTCCGCCTCTGTTTTGGGGCCCGACCCCCCCGCCGCCGCCGCACTCTCTGGGGGGCTCTGCCGCGGTCGCTGCCATCGCCAACTGCACACAACGCGATAAAGAAAAACCCGAGGAGGCGTACGAGCCGAAACGAAACAAAAAACGAAACGAAAAGCGGAAAAAAGTGAATGTTGTCGCGCTAACTGTGCTCACAAGCCTTCCAAAGCTCACATTGGTAGGGTGTCCTCAGCAGTCGCTCCGCAGCAGCAGCAGCAGCAGCACTGAAGCAGCAGACAACGGAAAACAGAAGCAGAAGCAGAAACAGCAACAGAAAACTGAAAAACAGAAACATAAAAAAACCGAAAAAACAGAAAGTCCCGCTAAGATCTGATCCAAAAAAACCCAGTGAAGACCTGCAAGTCGAGACGTAACGAACAGTAAGTGCCGCCCGCTGGAAAAGCCTGAGGAAACTCATATAATTACATAAAAGTGACAGGCAGCAGCAGCATCCTTGAGCTACTGCGCACATACATACACAGAGAACTAAGAAAGAAAGTGTGTCCTTTTGTCCTCTAACCCCAGCGTTTCCCCTTGCTCTTCTCCTCCCTCTCGTTTCCGCGCCCACCCCGCAGGATCATGGCATTCCGCGTGGCCGGCCTCTTCCTGAAGCGGGAGCTAGTGGCTCCCGCCGCCCAGCAGCTCCGCCTGCTGCGCACCTCCAGCACCGCGCGCTCCCAGTTCCTGGCCAACTCGCCCAACACGGCGCTGGACAAGAGCATCCTGCAGCGGTACCGCAACCTGGAGACGCCCGCCAACCGGGTGCAGGCCACCTACCTGTGGATCGACGGCACCGGCGAGAATATCCGCCTCAAGGATCGTGTCCTGGACAAGGTGCCCAGCTCCGTGGAGGATCTGCCCGACTGGCAGTACGACGGCAGCTCCACCTACCAGGCGCATGGCGAGAACTCGGACACCACCCTCAAGCCCCGCGCCCTCTACCGCGATCCCTTCAAGCCGGGCAAGAACGATGTCATCGTCCTGTGCGACACCTACAGCGCTGATGGTAATCCCACGCCCTCGAACAAGAGGGCATCCTTCCAGGCGGCCGTCGACAAGATCGGCTCCCAGGAGCCCTGGTTCGGCATCGAGCAGGAGTACACCTTGCTGGACGTGGACGGACGTCCCTTCGGCTGGCCTGAGAACGGCTTCCCCGCGCCCCAGGGTCCCTACTACTGCGGCGTGGGCGCCGACCGTGTCTACGCCCGTGATCTCGTCGAGGCCCATGCCGTCGCCTGCCTGTATGCCGGCATTGACTTTGCCGGCACCAATGCCGAGGTGATGCCCGCCCAGTGGGAGTACCAGGTGGGACCCAGCAACGGCATGAAGGCCAGCGATGACCTCTGGGTGTCGCGGTACATCCTGCAGCGCATCGCCGAGGAGTACGGCGTGGTGGTGACCTTCGATCCCAAGCCCATGGAGGGTCAGTGGAACGGTGCCGGCGCCCACACCAACTTCTCCACGAAGGCGATGCGCGCCGATGGCGGCATCAAGGCCATCGAGGAGGCCATCGAGAAGCTGAGCAAGCAGCACGAGCGCCACATCAAGGCCTACGATCCCAAGGAGGGCAAGGACAACGAGCGGCGCCTGGTGGGTCGCCTCGAGACCTCCAGCATCGACAAGTTCTCGTGGGGCGTGGCCAACCGGGCGGTGAGTGTGCGAGTGCCCCGCGGGGTGGCGACAGCCGGCAAAGGATACTTCGAGGACCGCCGGCCCAGCTCCAACTGCGACCCCTATGCCGTGTGCGGCGCCCTCGTCCGCACCTGCCTGCTGAACGAGTAGAGGAGGCCGAACGCTGGTGGGCGTTGTTGTACATAGCATATTGTTGAACCTTGGAGTATGCCGATTCCGAATTGGATTTGGATTCGGATTCGGATTCGGTATCGGTGGAGCAAAAAGACAGGAGACAGGCACGAGCAGCGTGCGGATAGCATTTAAGACACTGGGCGGGCTGGCAGGAGGACTCGGAGGAGCAGCAACCGCAAACCGAGCAACATTCTGCCATAAATAATTTACAAATTATGTATACCTTATCTTTGCTTTAATCTAAATAATAAATACCCCAATGTAGCCCTACGAAACGCGCTACCTGCTGAGGAAAAGGGGAAAGGAAAATCCATTGGTTCCGGCCAAAATCCATTTGTAGACTCTAAAAGTTCTGACCTCACTTGTTGATGAAATTGAATATACAACACATATATCACTGAAATTGGACGATATCGATATCTAACATATTATCATATTCATATCCCATATACACACACACACACAAGTTGTTTGTAGTAGAAGTTTGTTGAATGCAATTTTAAAGAGAAAACTTTTAGTATACATTATATAAAGCCTAAATATATATAAGCCTCTTCACTGTTCGCTTTCTATATGTACTTATCTTATAAATGTCTCTACAGAATTCCAATGCAATTCAAATAAACATTTCGCGTAAAAGCACAAAGTTGTAAACAAAACAAACCCGCACACACATTTACTAAATTCGAATTTATTTTTGCAAGCTTTCAAAGGCCTTAGCAAACAACAACTACGACTGGCTGCAGCACAATTTCAAAATATAGAATGTTTTTTGTTTTGTAAATAAGTGCGACGACGGCGACCCGAAGCAAGACCTTGTTTTTAATGGAAACTTTTCCACCAGCCGCAGTCCCTCGTCCCCCTTGGCTGACACTGAAAGTTTTCCGAGATTAATGCGTGTGCGGCCTGTCGCCTGTGACTTGTATAGGGAAAATATATGTAATCTACGATACATATAGGCCTCTTTCTAAGATATGGCTGGTGAGAGGAAAGTTTTCCACATCTGATGATGCCAAGGGAGTGTGCCTACCCCCCAAGTGGCAACAGTGTGCCTAGGGTCGAAAATGACAAAGTTTAAAATCGGATAAATCAGCGGAAAGCATTTCTACGTTGGTTTTTATTAGCTTAATAAATCTACATACTCAAATTAAAATAAAATCTTTTTGTCGATTTTTGACAATTTTAATGATTTTAACCCCTTATAAAATTTGGAAAATTTTAAAAAATTTAAATTTTGGTCGAAGATAGCTAGAAAGATTCGCCTGTTCATACTGATCAAGAATATATATGCTTTATAGGGTCGGAAATTACTCCTTTACTGCTTTATAAGCTTCTGAGTAAAATAATAATACCAATTTTTGAGCTGATATTTATCTATATTTTTATATGACAATTTTTCCCTAGAAATCAATTTTTAATATCTCATAACTCAGAGAAAAATGCATTAATTTCAATTCGGAAACCTTTCCTATGCTTAAATCTGCTTACTCAATTAAAAAAATATACATTTTGGTCAATTTTTGACAATTTTAATGATGTAACCCCTTATAAACTTTTCAAAATTTTGAAAAAATTAAATTTTTGTCGAAGATAGCTAGAAAGATTCGCCTGATCAAGAGTATATATGCTTTATAGGGTTGGAAATGATTTTTTCATAGCACTATAAGCTTCTAACTAAAATTGTTTGTTTAGATTTCAGTATAGAGAATGTAATGGTTATGGGACTGGGACGGGGACTGGAACTGGCACTGGAACTGGGACTGGTAATGACCATGTTGACATTCCGAGGTGCAGCTTGTTTGTGGTGGATTACGGATTACCGTACACGCAAGTGCAATGGGGTCGAGAGCTGGCAAAAGATAAGGCGAAACGGTTTGTCCGGTTTGTTAAAAACAAAAACAAAAACAAAAAAAGTACAACCAACGAGTGAAAAACAAGGCTGAATGCACTGATAATCTGTTGCAAGGGCCCAGGGAAGGGATTACCCATACTCCAAAGATAACCCCAGCCAGATGTTGGTCCGCCCAAACCCGTTTCCATTTTCCCCCCGTGCTTGGGGCTAGATATCATACATATTATACATTAAACAAAACACATAAACAATGATAATCAAGACTCGTAGAACTCGAGATGGAGATCGAATAGAAATCGAGAGTTCCGCACTGTAGACCAGATCATTAATGAGTGCGTAGAAGCAGGTTTGGAATTGGTATGCATGAAACGGGTTCGGAGATGTCAACACCAACGTCTTACAATGCAGGTGGAGATCTGAGGAGATCCAGTTATGCTGCCGACCAGATTTGCATAATATGGAATGATAAGCCACCGCCTAACCGCTGAAGAAATGTTGTTTTTCCAGCAGAGAACACACAATCTTATCGGTGAATCAACTCAATAATACTTAACGATAAGTGTTCGCTATAAATAGTTGCATTTTGCACTGTTTCAGCTTAAGAATATCCGCCATATATACGATAGAGTAACGTGAGTTATGCAACAAGCCAATCTAATTTGCACAAACTGATAAAAGAGGCCGAAAAGCGACCATAAACATTAGCACATCATTTGAATAAAACAGTTTAGACGACCAGCGTTTAAAGTCCGTCCGAGAGCTGCTGGCCTGATAAGACAGACACCGGCACCGACTCCGATTCCGATTCCGACCCAGGCCACCATTATTTGGCCTTCCGCCTGCAAAAGTCTGACCATTATCTGCTCGGCATTTCTGGCGTGCCGGTTAACTCGGTCAACAGAATGCTCCTCCGGTTCCTCCGGTTCGGTTATCATAGGGCCATAAATCATTTCGCAAAGAATATAAACATATAAAAACATTGCGCCTTGCGCTTTGGTGGGGAATTACTTTTAAAACTTAATTGATGTAATCAATGTGGGGCCATAAGTATCATACGTTGGCGGAGGAAACATTCCACCCATTCGCCTTTGCCGGCGAATGTTTAACCAAATAAATATAAATATTCTATAAGAATGGGGCGCACGGCCACGGCCTCTGAACGTGATTGCGAATGCCCCGATCGAGGGAGGGTACAGTGGGGACCGAGAAAGGTGGACGAGATGATCACAGATCTTAAGGAAAGATTTTGTATAACAAAGTATTGATTACAGAGACAGTCTTGTATTATTCTAAGTTAAAATAGATGCATTGCTAGGATCAGTTGATATATACTTTCCATATCAATTTAATATTTGTATCAATTTTAAGATGAAATAGCTATTGATCAGATTGATCTAAATCAATGTTCACCTTCCAGTTTTGGGGTAAAATCAGTTGGGAATGAGTATTTGAAGTATTGAGTTTTGAAATAATAAGTATTATTTATTGTTAATTTAACTTTCAAGTGTTTATTTTGATCTTAATTAATTCACCAATCGATTTGAAGCCAAAACTATTGAAATTTTAACAATAAAATTGATATTTCATTTTATACTCTTTTAAGATATTATAATTTTAATCAGAAGCATCAAACGCAGTGAAGACGTAATTTCCGACCCTATAAATCATATATATTCTTGATCAGCATCGAAAACCAAATCGATCTAGCCATGTGCGGGCAATATTTAATTTTTTATAAAATTTTGAAATTTTTATAAGGGGTTACATCATTAAAATTGTCAAAAATGTGAAAAATTTTACATTTTAAACGGAGTATGCAGTTTTGTTAACCTAAGAAAAACTAACATAGGAGAGCTTTCCGAATTGAAATTAATGCATTTTTGCCTGAGTTATGCGATTTTGGAATTTGGATTTGTCATATAAAAATATCGAATATTTGAAGCTTTCCGATTTCCGGATTCGATCCCATTATTGAATTACAAACTGCAATTGTATATAAACTAAAGAAACAAACATTTTATTTCCGTGTAGTCAAACATTGCGATCGCGAATCGGCAATCGGTTGAGAATCTAGCTTTACATGGCGCCGAAAGTGGGTCAAGAAACCCGTTGCGGGAGGTGAACTCAACCACTGATAACACCAGATTTACAGCCACCATGTTGGGCATTATGGCACACACGTAATGCCATTGGGGGCGACTACGTCACAGGCACACCGGCACCTTTGCCGGCGGAACCTACTGCGGCAATAAAGAGTCAGCGAAAAACAGAGCCTAACCTGTTTATGGATCGCTCCGATCGTTGCTGGGGGGTACATTGTTTATATTTTTATGTGTGTTTTCAATTGGCCAAACCAACTGGCTGTTGAGATTACGCTTTACGGCTCCAGTTATAGCCACGGCAAGCTATAATTGATGGCTCGGATCGAAAATATATGACCAACACTCGAGACGCGATTATAAAACCTGTCAACCTGCCTGCCTGACTGCCTGCCTGCCTGCCTCCAGATATCAGCGGTGTCAGGTCCTGTGACTGATGTCCGAAAGTGAAACGGTCACGTAGCGTCCAATTGGGTCATAATCGAGGAGGATTTCGAGAGAGGTGTTTACTGGGCCAAGAGGCGGAATCACCATTATCTTTGGCGCGTGTCGATATGGCCGAAAGAGTCTTGGCCCAGACAGCCGGCGAGTGCTGCCTTTTTTATCTAGACTATTTATCTAGTTTTCCACTGCTCACGCCATGGCCAGTATTTTGGTCGTGATGGGGGCGGCTCTAAATATAATCTCGAGAACTTACTAGTATATAGTATGGGAAGTATTCTGGAACTGAATCACACGAGTGATTCTTTCCCATTGCTTTTGGTATGGCCAAAGATCTTTCTCCCCTGATTTATGGTACTGATTCTTTCTACTTTCCCTGCTCCGTCTGGGTCTTTGTCTTGGTCACGACCAGCACACGCGAGACGCAATATTTGCGTCATCGCCGCCACACGCGTCTGCCAAGTGATCTCCTCCGCGTTTATGGCCTTTGTTGATATCTGCAGCGGACCGAGTTCAGTCCACCGATTGGCGATCCCTGAGGTAATCTCCGTCGAACCGATGACGGACATGGACACTCAGCCAAAGGTCGTTTCTTCCCGAGGCGCATTATTTTAATTTGTAATTATTATTAATTGCCCAAAAAAAAAGCTTTGATTATGTTTCTAGTGCTATCTGCTAATTGACAACTGAGATAGTGGTGCTAAAGCCACTCTAAACGGCGGAGAGTTGAACAAACAAAAGGGCAAAGACTTATATTCTTGATAAGGGCCTTTTGATAAGCTCGACATGTATAGTATATTTTTTACTGGGAGTTGTTTACCCAGCTTTAAAAAGTGATATCAAGGCTGACTGCCTCATCACACTCCAGTAACGAGGCATTTTCTTTCATATTTATTTTTCATATAATTTAAATGAACTGATTTTTAACCCATATATTATATAGATATTTTCGTGGCTCTCTTTGTTCCTTTGGGTTCATTCACTCTGTAAATGGCTCATGCGCCGCTCATTAAGCAGCCCGAAAAATTTATTGGGAAGACCTAGAAGAACCCAGCCAGAAGTTGCTCCATATTGATAGGGCTAGCCTCGAGGGATCGATAAATATAATTAATTTGGGCTAAGGCTCAGGGAACTCAAGTACAAGATAGCAAGATTAATGTGCTTAATAATATATGACCATTATATGACCATTTTTTCCACAAAATCAGATATCAAAAAACTCATAACTCAGCCAAAAATGCATTAATTTCAAATCGGAAAGCTTTCCCATGTTAGTTTTTATTAGGTTAACAAATCTGTATACGCCGTTTAAAATTTAAAATGTTGTCCATTTTTGACAATTTTAATGATGTAACCCCTTATAAAAATTTCAAAATTAAAAAAAAAATTAAATATTGGCCGGACATGGCTAGATCGATTTGGTTTTCGATGCTGATGAAGAATATATATGACTTATAGGGTCGGAAATGACTCCTTCACTGTGTTTGATGATTGTGACTAAAATTATAATACCCTGTAAAGGTATCCTCGTTATTGTTTTTATGTAACATTTGTACAAAATCTGTAAGCCATAAATTTTCAATAATTCTGTTAAGTATTAACAATTTATTTGAACATACGTTAAATTCCTTTGAGATACTAACAATAATAAGAATCAAATTAGAAGTTGGTTGAGTTTTAAGCAAATTGTTTCCCCATTTTTTACAAAAAACTATACACTTTATACTGTCAAGAGCTTTTTTTATAAGTATTCGAATTATTTTACTTACAAGATACACAGATTCCAGTATCTCTTAGCATACTTTCCCTGCAATACGAATTGTAATGGCATATTTTCGGGCTTTCTGATACCAAATCAAAGCTATTTTTTAAATATTTCTCTGCTTTATTCATTCATTGGCCCCACACGATCTCTTGACCACCTTCCCTGCCATAAAATACGTGGACAGGGGTCTCAAGCGACCCTTGGAGCCCAGCTCCTCAAACAGACCACCCTTCACGGAGAAGGTGTGCTTGGGCTGGTAGAGGAGTCCCAGGAGCGGATTCTTGGGACTGACCTTCATGTTGCCCATGCTGTAGGTGCCAGGGACTAGGGGACAGCTCATGGAGTAGTTACTCTGCTTCAGCATGTTGTCCTTGACGGGCTTGAAGAGCGGCACCGAGTTCATGACATTCTGCAGATCGCACAGCTTCATGGTGGCATTGTAGATGGTGCGAGCCTTCTCCTTGGCCGAATGCTGGAGGATCAGGATGCGGGACACAGGCGATGCTATCTCCTCGTTGATGGTGGTCACGGAGGCAATGCCGCTTTGGTTGGAGAATGTCATGTTCACAATGAACCGCGGTCGGTCATCCGTCCAGTTGGCATGGGTGAAGTATATGTAGTAGCAGCTCTGATTATGGAAGTTATAGGACTAACTTTAGATAGGTTTATCCCCTGGTATACCCACCTCCTTGCTCCCTATGCCGCTGAGTTGCAGCAGTACCAGCCAGATTGCAATGGACACCAACGTTCTCCTGGTGGCACGCATGATGCCCAAGACTGATGGCCAGCAATTGCTTGGTTTTCCAACAGAGAGAATAATAAAACAATTACCCATTAAAATCTCATTAGTCTGGGATTGAAGTTTGTATTTGGATAATATCACAATATACAAATATTAAATTAGTATAATATATCAAACTTTTTGGCCAAACTCAATATCTCTCTCAGTTTCCGGCCAATACGCTCCGAGCCCGCATTCTTCAGCACATCGGCCAGTTCCTTATCACCGGAGGATGAGGCTGAGTCGCCGCCATCCGCCAGTATGAAGCGGGTCATGAAGATGGCATGGGGAACCTGGATGTACGCCACTCGCTTTACTTCCGCCCGGAACCTGTGGAGCAGCGATAACCATTAGCTGGGAGGGTCTTCGGATTTCATTACCTCGTTATCTCACGCCGTCAAGCTGTAGCTCGTTGTATCAGCTCCCACACGGCGCAGGCAAGCCACAAAGGCTTCGTAGTATGTCTCCAACATGTGTTCGAAATGTAGCTCCAAGATAGCGGTATCAACACTTGATAACAGGAAGGCGATTATGTCATGAACCACGGAATCAAACTGGGCCGTCTGGAAGTCGATTATTTTCAGCCTGGAAGGCGTTCCCGAGGGCTCTAAAGAGATAGCGATAGTACAAGTCATTATCAATATAAATTCCTATCGCGAGAAACATTATGATTGCTTTTGATTAGGTGATTTCGATGGAAGTTTCTATTGCAATGTAGTTTGTTTTGAAAATATTTCGAAAGTCTAACTAAATTTTAATAATGATGTTCTGCAAATTTAATAGGTATCTGAGTCTTTCTGTTCTATATCTTTAAACCCAGAGAAACATCTAAATATTGATTAAAGATCTCTATGTATAGTTTGGTAATACAATTTTTAAGTTTCTGTTGCAAATGGTTGCGAAATTATTCTTTTGGCAGAGCTATCGTTATTCTTATATGCAACCAGCGATTCCAAATTGATTATTATCAAAGTCACTTTGTACTTTGTTGTGAGAATATGCATTAATCAAATACAAATCTATAAATGTATAGGATACTAACCATACAAGAACATCAAGTTATTGATCCAATAGTCACAGTGAATGATGCTGGTAAAAGGTCCATCGGGTCTATCGGGCTCAGCGGCCAGAAACTCAAAGAACTTGTCCGACAGCTCCTTCACACGGGCCACCAGCTCCGGATCGTTGTTGGTGGCTTTCCGAATGTCTTCCAGGGTCTCGGCCTTCATGATGGCCTTCCACTCGGGAGCAGCGCCATGCCAGTCGAACTTGTCGAAGAAGGGTCTCACCTGCTCCCGGAACACCTTCGGTTTCAGCAGTCGCAGTACCACAGGAAGAGCATGGAACTCGGCCAGGTATCGGAGAGCTAGAAGAGTATGAGGTAGGTCATAGGGACGCAGTCTCTGGCCGGAAACAAAGCCGCTGAAGCGTAGATTCTCCAGCACCAGGACGGCGTCTTGATCCACCGATTTAGAGCCTGGATCGAGAGATATGCGAGAGCCAAAGTAGCGGGGAAAGCCATCGAAGTGGCTCTCCTCTGGGATGCCAGCCTCCCCTTGAAGGGCCACCAGAGCCGGGGCCAAGACCTGGTAAACGGCGTTCTCCGTGAGGCAGGTCCGTTCGGGCTGAAAGAACTGCCAGTACTTGGGATCGGTGGGCGGCACCTTGGCCACCAGCTGCTGCTCAAACGGTTCGCCTCCCGGGGAGCTCTGCAGCTGAGCCTGGATGGCCAAGAGAACGCTGCCATAATTGTCGCCAGGTTGAGTCAAGTTCCTGGCCTGGTAGCCAAGGAGTCGGGCTCCTCCCAAGTGAGGTTCAATCACCTGACCGAGATTTTGTATCTCTGGCAAACTCTGTGTCGCCTTCTCCATGTTAGCAGCACTTGTGACCACAATCTTGCCGAGAGTTTAACTACCAGTAGTGTGTAGTGAGAGCGCAAACAAGGCGCTGATTAGGTGACTGATAAGACTGATATACAAGTGCCAAAAGGGGCAGAGGGGGCGCGTTCTCCGTTCAAGTATTTATTTCGGTCGCGATCGTGACATTGCGGAATTAGCTCTATTAAAATATATTAAACTTCTTGCCAAGACGCAGAATAGAGTCGAATTTCGTCACAATTGTCTTAATGCCTGTGTTCTTGGACAGCACGGAAAAATCCATATCTTTGTAGTCATCGGGTATGGTGCTGTTGTCGGCCAGGATGACCTTCATCATGAAAAGGGCATGCGGCAGCTGTAGGTGGGCCACACGCTGGACTTCCTTAAGGAATCTATTGGGGGAATTGAGGGAAAGATAAATGGGATGTTCTCTTCTCCAGGTAGGGAATCGAACTTACTTCTCGTATGTATAGCCACTGGTGTCCACATTCACGCTCTTTAGGCTCTGGATGAATGCCTTGTAGTATATGGTGAGGAAGTTGTAGTAATTGTCCTCCAGGACCTTGTCATCCACACTCGAGAACAGCAGGAAGATGATGTCGTGCACCAAGGACCCGTACTGAGCTATCTGGAAGTCCACTATTTTCATTTTGATGGGAATTCCCTCCTCGTCTGTAAGAAACACTGCTTGAATTTTCGAATCTCCCAAAGAGTATTTCCCTTCTCACCGTATTTCACCATCATGTTGTTGATCCACAGATCGCTGTGCACCAGGCTGGTGAAGAGGCCATCCTCCTCATCCTTCTCCGCCTGATAGGCATCGTATGCATCCTGCAACTCCGTGACTCGCTTCACATCGCGCTCATCACTGGTCACGGCCCGAATGTCTTTCATCAGCTCCTCGTCCATCACCTTCTTCTCCTCCGGACCTATGTTGCCGTTCATGTTGAACTTCAGGAAGTAGGGACGCACATATTTGTCATAGACTTCCGGTTTCTTGAGGCGCAGGGCAATGGGCAGGGCGTGATAGCGCGCCAGATGGTTCAGGATGAGCACTGTGTGGGCCAGATCATAGGCCTTGTGTCTGTTCCCCGGCTGATAACCTCGCACCGTGACATTCTCCTGGACCAGCACGGCGTCCCGGTCCACCTTCGTAGCTTTGGGATCGAGGGAGATGCGGGAACCGTAGTAACGCGGGAAGCCGTCAAAGAGCTCAGCGGGCAGAACGCCCGCCTCCAGCTGCAGCTTGTCCAGCTCTGGGGACAAATACTGATAAACCGCATTCTCCGTGATGCAGGTTCGTTCTGGCTGGAAGATCTGCCAGTACAGGTCGTTGGTCAGCGGCGGCAGCTTGGCAATCAGCGGCAGATCCCGCACGGAGCCGTTGGCACTACGGATCTGGGCCTGAATGGCCAGCATGACGCTGCCATAGTTGTCGCCCGGCTTGGTCAGATAGCGACTCGTGTACGACTCCAGCGTGGAGCCCTCCGGCAGGTGGGGCGCGATCACCTGCGGCAGGTCCGTGATCTCGGGCACTTCTCCCATGTTGCTCCGGGTACTCTCTTTCTCTCCGTGGTGGGGATTGTGCTGCTCCGCTGGCTATGAGCGACTGAATGGGATCGTGTGCCAGGTAACCGAAGGTATTAAGCACGCCAACTCGTGTGTACGGTCTATTTGTCGAGCTCCGAGCGATGCGAAATATTGGCTCAAGTGGTTTTGATAACGATTCAAGGGTTGTCGACACGGTACCCTCTGTACTCAGTGTCTGTAGTTCGGCTTATCATTTTCGCTCAATGGAGTGAACCTGAACTTGAGCTTTTACTATACTTTAATTTCCTGTCATAGCGAAAGTCATGCTAAAATTGTAACATTTGGAAGGCATGACTTTCTTTTAGTTGAGACCTGGGGTATCTGGCATTCGATCAAATCTCTGGGCTTCCACTTTTTGTGTCCCAGCTAGCCTCCCCCTAAACAAATAGCTGCTCTTGATTCATATCAACACGGCCGGCCATGGTCATGTTGATGATGAATTGTGCGAAGCTAGTTCTACAAAGAACAGCTCAATCAGCAGCGACAACAATCGGCAACATCTGCGAGAGGCAAGTCTAATTAAAATGTCTGCCTTATCGCCGATGACGCTTATGGGTCGTTTTTAGGCAACTTTTTCTGATTTGGCAGACATAACGGCGCAATATTTGAATTCTAACTCACCATTGCTTACCACTCAGCCGTTTAATCGATTATTTAGTGTGTTTATTCATTTTATATATTTTTAATTTAATTATTTATTTATTTATATACTTTTTATTTATTCATTTAAATTTTTTCTATTGAAGCCGCCAAATTTGAATTCGAATTTAAACAGAGGATAAATTTCCGCCAAAATAAACTCATGCGCTGTGCGTAAAACGTCCGCTAGATGGCGTTTTACTATTAAAATAACCGACACATTTAAATTCGTTAAGTTCCATTATTATAATAGTGCTTAAACCGTTAGATGGCTTTTGTAAATCCTCCTATTGCTGCTTTATTTTCGTCTGAGAAATGAGAAATATATAAATTTGTACTGACAATGTCCCAATTTAAGCCTCGTTTTTGCCTACAAAGACAAAAAGAAAAGCAACAAAGTATTTTATTAGAGCAACATTTTAGCTGTACATAGTTTAAGTTTAATTAATTTAATTTTGATTTAAGTTTTACTTAATAAGAACAAGAGAGTGCATTAGTTTGACTTAATTAAGTTAACGCCGAAAACAATAAACTGAATTAGCATCACTAGTGGATAGTAAGATGGCATTTTGTCACAATAGTAAAAAATAGCTACATTGGCATTGGTAAATGAGATGCCTTTTCGTCCCAACAGAAAAAAATATCTATATTGGCATCACTGATGATAAGTGAGATGCCTATTTATCCCAATAGAAAAAATACCTAGATTGGCATCCCTGATGGTAAGTGAGACGCATTTTTGTCCCAATAGAACAAAAATAGCTAGATCGGCATCACTGATGGTAAGTGAGATGCATTTTTTTCCCAATAGAAAAAAATAGCTAGATTGGCATCATTGATGATAGGTGAGATGCCTTTTTGTCCCAATAGAAAAAAATAGCTAGATTGGCATCACTGATGGTAAGTGAGATGCCTTTTTGTCCCAACAGAAAAAAATAGCTAGATTGGCATCACTGATGGTAAGTGAGATGCATTTTTGTCCCAATAGAAAAAAATAGCTAGATTGGCATCACTGATGGTAAGTAAGATGCATCCAATAGCTTACCATCAGTGATGCCAATCTAGCTATTTTTTTCTATTGGGACAAAAATGCATCTCACTTACCATCAGTGATGCCAATCTAGCTATTTTTTTCTATTGGGACAAAAATGCATCTCACTTACCATCAGTGATGCTAATCTAGCTATTTTTTTCTATTGGGACAAAAATGCATCTCACTTACCATCAGTGATGCCAATCTAGCTATTTTTTTCTATTGAGACAAAAATGCATCTCACTTACCATCAGTGATGCCAATCTAGCTATTTTTTTCTATTAGGACAAAAATGCATCTCACTTACCATCAGTGATGCCAATCTAGCTATTTTTTTCTATTAGGACAAAAATGCATCTCACTTACCATCAGTGATGCCAATCTAGCTATTTTTTTCTATTGGGACAAAAATGCATCTCACTTACCATCAGTGATGCCAATCTAGCTATATTTTTTTCTATTGGGACAAAAATGCGTCTCACTTACCATCGGTGATGCCTATTTAGCTATTTTCTTTGCTATTGAGACAAAAATGCGTCTCACTTACCATCAGTGATGCCAATCAGCTATTTTTTTCTTTTGGAACAAATTGGCATCTCAAATATTATTTGCTATTGGGACAAAAATGCATCTCACTTATCATCAGTATTGCCAATCTAGCTATTTTTAATATAGGGATAAAAAGGCATCTCACTTGCCATCAGTGATTTTTTCTATTGGGGAAAAATGGCATCTCACTTAGCATCAGTGATGCCAAGACTCAAACCATATTTAGTTCAATTCTAGGCGTTGCTTAGCAGGAATTAAAAAAATTAGCCTAATATTATTATTATAAATTTCCTATTTAATTAATGAAAAGGTTTTTTTGATGCTATTTTACACATAGAAAAATACAATTATTTATAAATCAGTTTCTTAATTTTATTCCTAAAATACATATTTAACACATATTCATCATATCTTAAAATATTACACATTTAAAATTTATTGTTTCATTTTACAGATTACTTTTACCTTAAATGGTGGGAAATAATCGTTATTTTAAATTCAATTTCAAATATGGCGGCTAATTTCGCAGTTTTGCGTATAACATGAATCACCCTGTGGATTTTAAATACGTTCCCCTTCGGAACTAGTTCATGTTAGTGAATCCGATATTAATCGGCCAACTGTGAACTAGTCCCAAGTAATCGACTTGAGTTATCGACCATTTTCCATCTTCAGAATCATACACAACTCTAATTTCCAAAACAAAATTTATTTATTTACGATTTTATGAATTAAATAACATTATGGACTTCCAATCGTTAATGCAGCAGATGTACAACAATGCTGGGTGCATGCCGATGATGATGCCACCATCACAGAACGGCTATGGATACGGCCAGCAGCAGCAGCAGCAGCAGCCTTTCTGCCCCTTCCCGGTCAACAGCACCGTCGACCATTTGGAACAGCCGGAAGAAGATGATGAGGACGACTTTGAGCAGCGCACTCTGTTCTGCGGCAATCTGGACGAGCGCGTGTCGGAGGAAATACTGTACGAGGTGTTTCTACAGGCCGGTCCCATCGAGGAAGTGCGCATTCCCACGGACAACACGGGCAGGCAGCGAAACTTTGGCTTCGTCACGTACCAGCACTTGTGCGCGGTGCCCTTCGCCCTTCAGCTGTACCAGGGCCTGGAGCTGTACCAGAAGAAGGTTACCATTAAGCAGCAGGGCGCCGACAGGGCCAGGCCACAGCAGCAGCAGCAGCATTCTCCCTCCTTTGGCCCGAATCGCCTTCGCAATCCATTCATGATGGAGCCGCCGCCAACGGCCATGGCCTCGCCTCCCTCACCGCACCATTCCCGCAACCAGACTCGGCACACCATGCACGGAGCGAAGCCCTACGACCGCAAACCGGGCGGAAAGAATGGGGATCAGCGACGACGCAGCGACAGCTCGGTGATGGAACGCAACCGGCCGAAGCAACAGCAGCAGCATCACCAGCACATGCAGGGCGGTAGCCGGCGTTCGGACCAAAGGCACAACCACAACCAGCGGCGCCTGCTCTGAAAGATTATATACGTTGTAACAAGGTTTTATTAGTCTTTACGAGATTAGCTTAAGAACTCCTAGTTAGAAATGTCGATTAGCCGCCTAAAACTATGGTACTCCACCACCTCATGCACGTCTATTTCTATGAATCTAATCGAGAGAATGTGCGCCTTAATTATACCTAAGCTGTACACATATTGAGCGGGCTCGAGGGGATCCACTTAGCGCGTGATTCCCCTCAGCGTTTTCTCCACATTCCGGTACGTGCGCGGCGGTATCACCTCCAACAGCAGACGCTGATATGCTTGGTGCTCGGACAAGACGCGGAACAAGGACTTGGCGTAGCTGCGCGTTTCCAGACTGCCCTCTAGCAGCAGATTGGCCCCCACCACGAAGAACTTGTCGCGGTTCTCCCTGCCCATGGCGTACACCCGATCGCTGCCTAGTCGCTCCACCAACCGGAAGAGCAGCTTGGCCGTGGTGGTGCGTACCAAGGCATGCTGGTGCTGGGCTCCCTTCGAAGCCAGTATATTCAAGATCTTGGCAGGCTGGGCATGATCCACCATCGACTCCAAGGCACGTGTGGCGTCAGCGCGCAGAAATCGATTTGTGTCGGCCGTGCGGTGGAGCAAGGCACAAACCAAGTCGTCGCACTCCTGCTGTAGACTTGAGGACTTCAAGGAGAAGAGTTCGGACGCTGCTTGGCAGGAGGCGCGGGCCACCTGGGAGCGTAGATTGCGCACCGAGCGGGTCAGCTGGATGCAGGTCATGTGCATCTGATTGTCCAGAGTGTCGCCGTGATAGCGGATCAGACGCACCATGCTCTTCAGCCCGGCCACGTTCTGCTCCCAGTTGCTAGAGTCCAGCTCGTCGAAGGTCTTTAGCAGGGCATCGCGCGGCTTCTCGAATCGCGCCATGTTCTGCGGAAAGAGCTCCGCCTGGGACATCTTGATGGCCTGCTTCACCGGCGAGACGCGTCGTCGTCCGCGCAGGAAGTACGCTGTCTTGGACTTTTGCTTCAGCGGCGTGTGCTGCTGGTTCTTGCCAGCGACGCTGGCCATCACCTGGGAGCCAGATTCTGTGGTGGTGCTGGTGCTAGTGTCCAGCGAACCCTGCTTCGAGGCTGGTCGAGGTGCGTACAGCGATTCCAGGGAAACGCAGCGAGAATGAATCACTATGTCGTCATGCGAGATTATGGGCTTGGGACGCCTTTCGGGAGATTCCACTTCCCTGGAGGCCACCGGCTCCTCTTGCAGCTGTCTCACAGGTGTGGTCTCCGGCGGCGTCGACTCTAGCTCGTGCTGCACTTCCTCGACAACCACGAAGCTGTTGCTTTCCTCGATGTCCTCCTCGATGGGCAGGGATTTGACGGACTGAGCTCGCGACAACTGCGGCGTGGTGTCCTCCAGCTGCGTCTTAATGCTCTCCGTCTTGCTGTGCAGGCTGTTCACGCTTCCCTGGCGCTTGAGTGCATCCTCCTGGACAGCCGGTTCTGGTTCGGTCTCCTCCTCCTCGATGTCATCCACAACCAATTCTCCAAACGCTTCCAGGGGATTCCGCTCGGGGTTGAGCACTTCCGACCCTGCCTCCAGCCGCTCGCTGGGACCCATCTCGATGCCATGACTGTCACAGGACTTGGCCGACGCTGTTGATTTTTGCGAGTAGCTGGTAGACTTTACAGAGAGAGGGGAGCCATCGCCGTCCGTGGTGTCTTTGACCGCTGTCGCTCCTTTTGCCGTTGGTTCCCTGTCGCTAAAGGAAGAGAGAGAGAAGAACTGGGTTAGTGTATATAACTCAAGACACGCTCCAACGACTTACAACTCCTCCTCAAACCCGGTAAATGCTTTGTCTATGTCCGTGTCCGGTGTCCTCAGTGGCTGAAACACTGTGAAAGTGGACTTATCGTCGACCAGCTGGCTTTCCGTATCAATTTGCATCGATTTTCTGCGGGACTCCGTCGGGACCACCGTCGTGTCGGTGCAGCAGGTGCGGCAAGAGCCGCAAACCGAGCTGTAGCCACCGGCGAAGGCGCCCGCGGCCCCCTGGCAGATGCAGGCCCTGACCGATTGGAGGAGACTACGTGTCCTACGCAGCAGATTAGACGTCTGCCCGCGACAGGACAAGGCATTCTGCATGTTTTTTTATCCCAGACAATTTGAATAATTTAATCCTAGTCCTGGTTAGAGTTCCCCACTGGCATAGTCAATGCTATTCCTTGGCTAACCGCAGATGTGACGACCACTTCAGGCAAGGCGACCGAGCAGACTGTTTTGCAGCCAAAAGTCACATTTCCATACCGGGGAATCCAAAGTGAAAAACCAAAGTTGCAAACGAAAAACAGGACATTGCGTTTTCCAAGCAATCACACGAATGGACACGGACACACACCACCACAAAATGGCCAAGAAGGGCTCTCACCCACTGGGAAAGGTCGCAGGATGGTCTAGCCACAAGCTCTTGAGCGAACTGGGCATTGGTCTCGCGCAGTAATGGTATTTGCTAGGCGTCAGGCCTTACCACCTTAGACTTAGTCATCTTCGGGTGCCTTCGTTCCGCCACGAAGTCAACCGAAATGACCACCACAAACAGGTTTCCAAGAGGTCCTTACAATGGTATAAGTATTAAGACTGTTGCCTGGAATTTGTCGCACTCTTCAAATCTAATCTAAGACGTGGGAGGAGTCCTGCTTAAGGAGAACTGCTTACTAACTATGACTTTACTTGGTGGAATAAGTTTGCTGTTCAGTTTAGGGGAGTCTCACTGTAAAACCCCCTCCAGGATAGCACTATCCCCCTTTGCCACTTATACTTTTAAGCTTTTTTCATGGTTTGGGTGGATACTAGAGCCTGGCCAGTGGTCACTTGAAGGTTTATCGCCGGCGACGACGTTGACCGATGTCCCCTGCCATATTCTTAAATTTCAGCAACGCGAGACCCACTGCGCATTTGAATTATTTAGGTTACAAAGCCGCGACACCTTTAAGTTCAGGCAGGTGCGTGTGCCGGCCGGCCGATATTCGCCACCGGGAACTACACACACCCCCGCCTACCCCTTAATGAAAGGGTGGCAGGTGAGTAGCAGAGTAGGGCGCTCAAAAATGTAGGTTAACATTCGCACACAGTCGGGGGTAAATGGTAAATGGTAAATGGTCTTTGATGCCGGTCCCTAATTAAGATATGGCGGTGACACTTACACTGATTTAGCGGAGTCGGCGCACTCGTTATCCTTGGTGGAAAGCTGTCTCCTGGGTTCCTCGCTTGATAAGCCTGGAATCAAATTTAAACAAATTAGTGAGGGAGCTGGGACCCAGGGAGATGCCATCACTTGCCTGGAGCTGGTGCGGCGTTCTTTGCCACAGTGAAGGAGTTCTGGTGCTGCAGCTTGCTGCGATGCTGGTGCTGGGCCTTCGCAATGACCTTTGGGAAAGCGGTGTAGGGATAGGTGTTCCGCTGCATGCTGCGCATCAAGTTGTTCTCAAAGTCCGTGTGCTGGTTCATGGCGGGAAATCTGGGAGGATAAATGACATTAGGACAAACTCTTGAAGAGACCTTATGGGATGCACTACCGGGAATTTAATCCTGGTACGTGACGAGATGTCAACTGAACGAAGCTGCTTGTGGCGCTTCCACTGCTACAGGTGGTGGTCGTGCTGTCAGTGCTTCGACCATCCATCGAAGTGTCTGAGCAGGCCTTGGCCACCAGGCGGCGATCCAGAAAGTTTGTGTGGTTTCCTAGGTTTAACAAAGCAGCGATTAATATGGGGTAGTAACTAGGGTTTCCAAGGGCACCTCACCGTTGATAGTCTTAGCACCAAAACTTAGTCTCTGTGAAAAGTCCTGGGAAAAGGAAATAGTTACTCAATTGATCCTGGGAACAAGGACTTGCACTCACTGTTGCTGTTGGGCTAGTTATGTCCAAGGTTTCAGGCGGCGAGTGAAAGGAGTGGCGATACAAGCTCTCATTGACTTGGCTGAAGCTAAAGGTGGAAGCACAAACAATTAATGAAAGTCAAAAAGTCGTTGTGTGGGTTTTGGAATAAAAATATAGATATGTGATTATACCAGATTTAGCTAACTTCTGAAATAATTTGTTGTAGGCTCGTGACACATTCTTTAAGATATTAGAAAGGCCTATATTGTTTATTATAAATTTGTTTATATACTTTTGCTATGCTAATTATATTATAACAATATCGGTTTAAAGTCCCTAAAAGGCAGCTTTTTCAGCCCATTTTTGGGTCATAACTTGGCCAAAATGCGATTGACTAGCAAAAGGGACATATATTTCGGTTCGTTATTCAAATCTTTATTAATTATGCATAAAATTTTGAAAAAATGAAACAACAAATTTTTTGCCAATTTTTGAAAATTTTAAAAGGGGTTACATCATTAAAATTTGCAAAATTTGGCCAAAAATGAAATTTTCTGTAATCTAAAAATTTAAATGCAGATTTATTAACCTAGCAAAAACTAACACAGAACAGCTTTCCAAATTGAAATTGATGCGTTTTTGGCTTAGTTATGGAACTTTTAAACTTCAATTTGTACAAAAAATTACCATATAAAATTATAGATTTATGAAATGCAAATTTTGTAGGTCTTCCTGGGGCTATAGGAAGCCAAAAAAGATAGTGTTGCGACAAGTAAAATATATATATTGCGATTCGCCATTAAAATATCTATAACTATTAATAAAATATTGAAAGAATTTGAAAAATGTGACGAATTTTAAGAAAAAATGCAAATTGTCCAATTTGTCAGATATTAATCAATTCAATACAATATTACACAAATCAAAATGAATCCCTTTTTGGCTTATTTATAACCGATTTACAATTTACAATTTTTTACCCATTTTGGAAGGCTATACAGTTTTTGCTTTTCCAAAGTTAGCTCTATTTCTGGTTTAATCTGGATGCAGAGAAACCTTTTGTATTCAATGATTTTCCTAACCTACCTCGGAAACATATCCTTCTTGTCCTTCCCACCGGCACTTTCCTGGACCCCACGTTGGCTGCTCGCCGCCCGCATCCGACGCCTCTTAATGGTGTTGGGGGAGGCGGATCCCTCGCCCTGGCAAATCCAGTCCACGTCCGCTCCCGATCTCCTGATCCCCGGCTGGTCGGTCTGGTTGAAGACGAACAGGACAGCACTTTCGGGCGTAACTATGGGCAGCTGGAGGCGGGAGAGGCGCACACTAGCCGCATCCAGCATGAGTGGCCCAAGATCCACACTCTGGGCCATGTCCGAGACAATGGTGAGAACCTCCTTCTTGGAGGAGATGTCCGACAGGACGGCAAGGACCTCCAGAGCGGCCTGGCGCACACGCCGCTTGCGGTTGAGCAGGGAGTAGACCGCCTGAGCTGTCAGCAGGTTGATGTCGAAGCAGGTCCCAGGAAAGGTCATCAGGGCGAAGATGGACATTTGCAGGGCGTGGTCCCGAAACTAAGCGAAAAGGTTATGCCACCGATTTAAATAAGGTTCACTCGCAGGGAAGACCCTCTCACCTTTGAGCTCTTCGCGTGCAGAAACTCCGGAGCCGTGAGCTTGGCCACAATGGTGCCCGCCGGCAGGCGCTGCATCAGCGCCTTGCACACTCGATTGGCTCCCGCATTCCCCTGCCGGCACAGTCCGGTGAGGATCTGGGGCGTCCGCTCCTCCAAGTTGTCCAGCGGCAGGCGAGTGATCAGGTTCACCAGCAGCTCCCGCTTCAGCTCCGCCACCTCAAAGTGCCGCTCCGATGAGAGCAGGGTCCGCAGCAGACTGTCCAGATATGGTTGGACCAAAGCCAAAGTGCTCGAGGAGCTGAGGGCCAGCTCCAGTTGGGCGATGCCCAGCAGACGATTGCGCCAATCCTGGAAAGAGTTGCGAATAAAACAGGTGATTACATTATGGCGTGGCAAGTGTTTATATATTTGGTTTATGGCCCATTTGGGCTAATTTGGCAAATTCGAAAATGTATGCCAGGGAAATTATTGCTGAAATTGTAATGAGAAGGAGAGTGAGAGGAGGTGGAAGGGACCATAGAATAAATGTCATTCTATGAGGGGTTGTAGGGTGCAGGATAATCGAGGTTTCGCTTTTGAAAAGTATCCCTAAAGTATGTTAAAAAAAGTGACTGCTCCTCGAGCTTACCCTCCACCGAAGATATCCTGTGAATCACTTTTAAAGTTATAACCAAGCTTACTCCCTTTGAAGTACTTTTTAGCTCTATCATCAAGTGACATTTTAATGCTCAAAAATACTACTTAATTCGTTCTGCTCAAGTCTAAAAAGCACATTTTCGCTACTTGTATTTGTAACGCGCTATAATTTCGGTTAATGTTATTTTATATATGTACATATATATATTTTTGCCTCGGACTGACCCAGTTCTTGACACGCTCTCCGGCACGGGAGCCTCCTTGCCCCGGTCCCTCCACCCGGTCTCCGGGACCAGCGTCTTCATCAAACTCCGTTCCGTAACGTCGCTGCAAGCTGGGCGTGAGTTATGGTTCTTGCTCTTGTTTTCCGTTGAAAATCGCGTGCACTTAAATGATTGACCGGCCCGGCTATAGGGCTTTAGCTGACGGACCACCAGACCAGACCAGACCAGACCTGGTGCTCTTTCTCTGCTGCAGTCCCATCCAAGCACATGCAATTGTGTTACCCGGCGGAATCCCGAAAAGTTTTTTGCCCCCCACTCAAAAAGTTGGTCCTGATAAGGGGGAACACATCTACCGCGTCCCGAGTACTGTTATTTTGCTGACGCACTAGCTCTTAAAAAATGGTAAATATGTGACTTAAATGTTCCTTACTTTTTTATTAGTTCCGTACTCGCAGGTAGCAGCAGAGTCTAACCCCAATTTCTGACAGAGTGAAGCAGCAGTTATAATTCTTTATTTTTGGTCACTGGCTATGGACTCGAAAGGGGTTCACAAATACTTCTAACCCCCTTGATAGTTTCCACTATATGTTTCTCTCTTTTTTGCCCGGCAATGTATACGTCAGGAAATTAATAGGTCATTGGTACAGTGGCTTTGTTCTCCTCCATACCAGGGCATCGATACGGACCGGGGGCCAGTCGCTTATCGCTGAAATTTTCATTAGTAAGCAAGGGGCCCAGGGGGGAGGTCTAGACCCTAGAAAGGGGCATGTAATAGCAACAGCCACTGTGGCACCGGCACCGGCAGTAGGAGTGATGCGTGTCTCGTCCGTAATAAAGCCGGCCGGGCGGTGGCAGGGCAGCCATTATGAAGGCAGAATTATGAACGCATATGAAATTGTACATATCCTAGTGACCCAGTTTGGCCCGGACGCCGCCGAGCTGGGGTAGCGTGCGGCGTAATTTCATTGCTTTATTTTCGGATTCAAATACGGATTCAGAGCGGAGATTGCTAAATGTTGTAGCTCCAATTTTGCTGCAATTACGAAAGGACTTACCCCGGAACGTAGGTCCATCAGCGTCTTGTAGTTGACAATGCCGAGGTCCTCCCAGGACTTGGGCGTGGCCGGCGACTCGGCGGACATCACAGAGTCCGAGCGAGTTCTATGTGTGGGTAGAGTTGGTGAGGGGGATAAGGGTACCATGGTGGGCAGCTGAGTCTCCGCCTCGTCCATGTCCTCCGAACGCCTCTGTGATCTTGGCGAGGGATCCCGCTGGAGGTTGTGCAGCACCTCGATCTGCTTGTGCGGCACCTTGGGGCTAATGTTGTTGCTCCCAGAGGGACTGGTGCTGCGGCTGCGGTTGTAAACAGGAGATCGTGGCGATGTGGAGGGTTTTCCCTCCGACTCCTGTCGCTTGCGCGGACTCCCTGCCGAAGGCTCGTGATCCCTGGAAACACTGGATCCCTGCCGCCTTGGTGAACTGTGTGAGCTGAAGGGTCGTGGCGGAGGCAAGGGCTTGGTGTTATCGGAAGGTATCTCCACGACGAGAGCCGTGGCCATGTCGCTGTCGCTGGCGGGGCTAAGGATGTTCACAGCTGGCTGCTCCTCAACGGGAGAGTGCGATGTATCCCCCAGGACCAGAATGGGTGCACTCTCAGCGGCGCTTCTGGAGTTATTCGTGGACGAGGCGGCGTCACTGTCGGGAGTCCTCATCTTCACTATCTCCCCTCCAAAGGTCACTCTCTTTAGTCCCCGAGAGGGAGTGCTGGGCTCCGACACGCTCTCACGATGCCCAGGCCGGGGTTCATCCAATTCTGAGTCACTTATCACCTGGACAATTCCTGCCTGCACACTGAGTCCTTGGTTGACCAAAGGCCGGCACACCAAATCCGTTGACTCCCCATCCTTGGCATATGTCCGGGCTGGGCTATCGGACTCCTCCGTCTCGGTGTCCGCTTCGAGGAGACGCATGGTCACAGTGTCATCGTTGATTTTGATCTCCGTCTCCATAATGACCTTTCCCTTGTCGGGGCAGGGATGTGCACTGTCCACGTTCTGGGCAGCGCCGCTGGTGTTCCTCCAGCTCTGGTCACGAGGCAGGGCGCGCCAGGCTCCCGTCTTTCCCGAACCCTCAGATCTCTTGGGCTTTCCGGATACGCCGTACACCTGACACAGCTGATAGTACTTGGCAAGGGCATCGCTGCGATCCAGTTTATTCATAGTGTCCTCGAATTCGTGGACTCCTAGTAACTCCCGCATCTTGGAGAGCACCTTCAGGGCGATTTCCTGCTGGGCCAGTTGGTCCAAGTGCTGGACAACCCGCTCCAAAGCCTTCTTAACGATTCGGTGTCGCTGCGGGGTGTGCATGACGGACTGAAGGAGCGCTGGAAGGGATAGCAGAACGCCACAACTAAGACGACCCGGGTGCTCCGCCTCCATTTGCGTCTGCTTGGCCAGGCCGGCGTCCAGAATTCTCGTTATGACCGCCTCGGGCTGAGCGGTCTCGGCGAGATAGACCCGCAGACAGTCGAGGGCTCCCTTGCGTACAGTCGGAGCCTGATGGCCCAAATTCTCCACCAGCAGGACGACGAGTTGCTGCCGCTCCATGTGCTCGTCGGCCTCGTCTTGCATCACCACCAGCACGTCGACGAGGACGCGCAGGGCGTGCTGGCGCACCTGCCACTCGGGGTCCTGCAGGCGCTCGTGGAACTCGGCGAACATGGAGCTCGAGCAAATGGTTTCCGGCAGGCGGCGGGTGCGGAGAACGTGCTCCCACAGCGGCGTCAGTTGGACAGCTCCAATTGGGGCTGCCTCCGCTCGCAGGCGCTGCTGCATGGCCGACACGGACACTGCCGCCTGGTTGTTATTGCTGTCCTTGACTTTACTGCCAAAGTAAGTGACACTCTCGCTGTCCTCGCTGTTGTAATCCGCCGTAGTCATAGGCAGCGGCGGCGCATTACCGCTGCTGTCCTTGCGTTCCAAAATGCGACGAAAGAACATGGTCCGACGACTGTCTGACCAACTGCCTCCGGGCTTATGCACTCGCTTTTAATTTTTAATTGTCACGCACGCCTGCATCCGGTCGTCCCACGTTGGGCATTTCCCGATTTTCTGGGCTCTATTTCACCGATTTTCCACTCACTTTCCACTTGACCACAACAAATCGCTTCAGCTGGCTAGCAACGAATGCCAAAGTTGGCCTCAGCTCGGGGCTTTTGTAGCCAACGTTAAGAGCAACTTGGCTCGAACAACAGCCAGACTGCGCATGCCACCTGCACTCTCCAGCTCCGGCTTTGGCTTCGGCTTCCTCAGTCTGTCCTCTGGGACACGCAACAGTTACGAAGGATCGAAACCCGGCTAGGGGAATCCCATTCTGGAAGGAAATAGTTAAGCAGACTGAGTCACAAGCGAGGGCAAGAAAATATACCATATACAATATTTTAGTTTAATAATAAACGAGGATGTTATACCCTTTCCAGAGTATTATAATTTTGGTCAGGGGTTTTGACCTATAAATCTTATTTATATCGCATCAATATCATTATCGATATATGGGAAAACGTAAAATAATTCGAATCATAGCAGGCATTGAGATACTCGTTCACAGTCTGAAATATATTATATTCACTTTCAAGCCTAAACATCATCGTCAAAGGGCTCCCTGGGGATTGGGCCCCGGATGTGGCGTTTGTGGACCGGCTCGTAGTCAAGATCCCGGAAAACGACCTGCATCTGGGTGCTCTCACCAGGAATCAGGAATCAGGAATCTCTTCCGACAGAGTTCTGGGCACTATCGGGGCCGAAGAGGATACCATATCTGCATAGCACTGCTCCTATCGTCATCGCGCTGCAGTCCATCTGCCGGGGTGCGACCATCAGGGGCCTCCTTCACCATCCGGTACTTGATTAGGAAGTACCGCCTCCCAGCTCCGGATCCTGCTGATTGAAGACGCATTGTTTTGTTCGAGTCTCCTAGGCACGTTGCCTTCGAAAGTATTGGAAACCCATGGCATTGATGGTCCGACTGTCCAGGCTAAACCAGGTGGCCAGGCAGGAGGTCATCATCCACATGTGGTCCATTATCTGGCAACTGAAGAACTGCAACTTGGCCGTCTTGAAGTTGGCATATTGCAGTGCTTAGCTCAGCAGCAGGATAAGCAGGAACAGACTCCTTTTCTGACAATCCAAGGAGTTTAATTACACTGCCATATAGTTGACATAGATGAGAAGAACACCGTAGATGAACAGGTAAGAGTAGTAGTTGATGACATTCGTTATTTAAGCCTTTCCTTGACAGTAACATTTCACTTTTTTAGGTACGACTGCAATGTCGCTATGATAAGGATCTGCAAACCCCAGTAGAAGATGCTCCACAGATCGCGGATTGTAATCTTCGAAGCACTGCCGGTATATGGTCGAAGTCATATCCAGGGGAATGGGGTATAAAATCAGGAAGGAAAAACACCAGGCGGTCAGTACAGACAGGAACAGGATGAGCTGGCTTGGGATGTTGCCATAGCGATAGGGCGTGATGCTGGCCAGGAAGGGGACGGCCACTATGCCGAAGGTTTTTTCTTTTATTTAAGTCATAAAGCTACTTTAACACTACAACAAGGAAATTAAATACAATCTCGGCTGGTTAATACGTATTTAATAACATTTTACTAAAAATTACAATATATAAGCTAGATCTATATGGAAGGGAACATGCGAAGTATTTCTGAAATGAATTTGTCTATGGCTAACGACTAAAGGCAGTTACGGCGGAAGGGGATGTTGGCGAAATAATAAGTTAGGACAATGTTAAAATGTACTTAAATGGCGACATAAATATCAGTATCAGTTATCAGTTATCAATATCAATATCAAATACCAGTAGCAGTAGAAGCAGTGGCTGGAACTAACTTAATATAGCACTCGGAAAAAAACATGTACACAAGTCCAGAAGTTAGGCAATTGAATTCAATGTCGATCCACGTTCGCCACGCTCAGTCAATTCGGTTGCTATTGAAGTGCACTTAGGATGGTTGGCCTTGATACAAGGCGTTCAGATAGCAACTATATATGTATAGGTCCTTAATGTCCAACTATTTGTAGCTTAATTACGGTCTAACTTCGTTACGTTTTCATTGTACATTGCGAAATGAAATGGCATTACTTAATGTCAACACTTTACACAGAAATTTACACATAACTTTAGGTAGGGAGCAATCTATGCTACCTCTTTCCAATAGGAGATGGTATTTTCTCAACACACGCAGGACCTGTAGCTATATCCTTTCTTGGTGCTCCCTTACACATACTCCTCTGGCGGCGCTGGCCCACTGGATGGCATTCTCAGGGTCGACGCCGCTTGGGTTTGCAGCGTCTGCTGCTGATTCTGTTGCTGTTGCTGCTGCTGCTGCTGTGACGGTGGACCATTGGTGTCCGGCAGCTCGGCAATGTCCTTGAACACGCCCATCAGATTCTCGTAGCTGGGCCCCCAGTTGAGGAGGTACTCCCAGCCCGGAGAGGCAGCCCCGTTGGCCTTGCGATAGATGCCGCTGAGGTGGTTTGCTATATCCTCATCGCTGGCCACCAAGGTGCTAAGTGATCCCCGGAACGAGGACTCGAATCCATCATAGGCATGCGGGGGAATGGGCGGTGTCTTCACCACACTGGGATTCCTGCTCGGTTCCCCGCTCAACGCTCGGGCCACGGGACTCCGTCCATCCAGGAGGCTCTTGCTGGTCGAGTACTTGCCATCGCCGCTCAGGCTGTTGTTGTCGTACTCAATCTCGGAGCAGGTGAAGCTGTCGTTGCCGCTCTCATCCGTGGAGGTGGAGCTATGGGCGTCCACGTCCGTGTTGTGCATACCTCCACCCAGCGACATGTGCAGGGCACTGCTGGGCACTCGAGGCGCCTCGCTGCTGGAGGAGACGGCATCCAGGGTAGAGACCAGGCTGCAGGTTCTCGGCCGAGCATTGAGCCTCTCGATCTCCTCGGCCGTCAGGCCCATGGAGGTCTGCGGAGGCGCCTGTTGCGGCACTCCTGGCTTCTGCCGGCTTGCGCTGGAGCTCTGGCCGGAGAGCTGCGACATCACGGGACTGTTAAGACTGCGCTCGCTGTTGCTGTGCAGGGCGTCCTTGCCCACGCCGCCCGAACTGGAGGTGGTGGCCAGCAGGGCACTCTGTAGCGGCTTCCCCGAGATGTCGTGGAGTGTGAGGATACGCGGCTGCTGTGAGCTCAGCTCGGAGCTGGGCGAGAGTCTTGCCAGCGGTGTGCTTTGGTGGGTGCGCGAGGCACTTGTGGGTGGCGGTGGGGGCTGACCGCCCTGACCGCCACCTCGACTGACGAAGGGTGCTCCATGGCGATGCTGCTGCTGCTGGGCGGCGGCGCTCTGGTGCTTGTGGTGCGTGTAGGCGGAGACGGGCGGAGCCGTGGCCTTGTACTTGCGCAAGCCACCCGCCTCCCGGTAGCCCTTGTAATGGTACACAATGTCGATGTCCGAGGGGGCTATGGAGCTGGCGTTCTCCAGATCGTAGTGCTCCGGATACTCGGATCCTAAGTCTACGGAGCCCGCATGGTCTAGGGGCAGCGGATGCAGCGGCGGCGGCATGGCCATGTGGTGCTCCTCCCGTATCAGTGGGCTCTTGCCTACCACCTCTCGCTCTATGATGTCCGGTCGCTGGGGACGTTGCTGCGGCAACTCCGCCGTAGGCGTCAGCTCGCTGCGCTCCTTGAACTTCTTGGTGAGCAGCTCGGGTCCGGCCAGATGATGGGCGCCCACCGGGGGACGCATATGGTCCCCGGCTCCTACAGGCGGTGACGGCGCCTCACTTGGATGGAGATTTCGTGCCAGGACATGGTCCTGTGAAACTGCGGAACTGCCTGCACCCAGTACACCGCCGGGATGCTTGATCTTGAAGCCAGGCACGCCGCAGCTCAGGCTACCGATCTTCTCCTGCTTGCCACGGAATCGATAGATCACATAGGAACCGAGTATGGCCACCACCAGGATGACAAAGAAGACGATCACAAGAGTGATTCCAATGCTCAGGGGATCGGCCACCTGGGCGGCATCGAGACCTATGCTTCCACTGCAGCCGAACTCCACCTTGCCGTGGTATAGAACCTCGGGGAAGATGCTGCCGGATCCGTTCAGGGGTTGCAGCTCATTGTTCACCGTCACATTGGCCACGCAGCCCACGAAGGCCTCCTCGCCGGGTGCTCCGCCCACGCTCAGTGTGGTCAGGTAGGGATCCAGGAAGTCATGCACGCCGGCAATGTCTAGTTCATCTCCCGCCTGGTGACCATCGATGAGCAGCCGCAGGCTCCGGCTTTCGCTATACAAGCTGACGTTGTGCCACTTGCCATCGGCGAGGGAGGAGGGCTCCGGCACAGTCATGTTGATGGCCAGATGCTGCCGCGAATAGTACACCAGTCGACCTCCTTGGAGTGACAGCGAGGTAAACATCTGGTTGGTGGCCGCATACAGGATCAGGCCCTGATCCACATAAGTGCGGAAGAGCAGGCTGAGCATCTTGGGCGGCTCGTAGATCTGGGAAGCGGTGCTGATGTTGTGGCCACCGATGCCCACACCCACCTGCCGCCTTTCCCTGGGCCCATTGTGCGACCAGGCGCTCTTCGAGCTGTACAGATTGTCCAACAGCTGCATGCGTCGATGGATCTCGGACACACGGAACTCCACATAGGCGCCGCCACTGAGAGTAATGGGTTCCAGGGAGTCGGCACAGTCGGGTGACTGCAACTGGCCGCCACACTGGCAGAGGGAACTGGACCAGCGGTCAATGCACTGTCCAGCGAATCCTCCACAGCGCTCAGCGGCCAGGGCTGGCTGGCAAGCCTGGCGATTGCAGCCCGGCAGGATTCCTCTCTGCTGGAGGGGCGTGCTGAGGTTAAGGGCTCGTCCTCCGATGTGCACGCTGTGCAGGCAGCCCACCAGGTCATCGCTATGCACTTGGCCAGGTCGCTCCAGGACGGGATCAGCGGAGGCCAGGCCGCCGATCAGCAGGGGCTGCTTGTTGAAGTTGAGGGTGCTGTGGGAGAATGGGAAGACATTGATAGTTAGATAGTGTCTGTGATGGGAAAAAAACGATACTAAGATGATATAATAAGGCTGAAGCAACACTTGGGATCAGGGAAGGTATATAATTATTGGTATAATTTAATTAAGGGTATTAGATTTTAATCAGAAGCCTATAAAGCAGTGAAGGAGACACTTCCGACTCTATATCTCATATATTTTCTTGATCAGAATGAAAAGCTGAAACGATCTAGCCATGTCCACGTGAAAGAAAAAATGTACATTTTTTCAATTTTTCCAAAAAAAAAGATAAGGGGTTACATCTGATGTTACGTCATTACTTTCTATTACCTACGCTATGTTTATAATATAATGTATTTAAAAAAAGATTTAAAGCTCAATAAGTCTACGGGCAGTGGTTGGCTTGTGTAATTTCTTTGTTTGATTATTTCCCTTTAAGTTTATGATAGTTTATTTTGTTGATAAGTGCTTTCTCCCTTGGAAGGGTCGCAAGATAAACCTAATCATGTTACTTTATTATCTCCTTAAATCTTCAATATAAAAGGGTGCCAGCTTCAGAGAAATTATTCAGTAATCGCAAAATGCATCCACAGTACAGTGCTTTGTTGGGCCTTCTGGGTCTAGTTTTGTTCTTTGGAGCGAGTTCAACTGCCCAGCCAGCTGAGGAAGGTGAGTTACAATCCTTTTTGTATAACTTTACCTAACATTTTTAATTTCTTTTCAGTTTCTCCCAGATTTGTGGACATTAGCCCCAATAGCCTGATATTTATCAATAACATATATTACTACATTGAGTCCTCGGCCCTTAAGAACTGGTTTAATGCCCTCGAAGCCTGCAAGAAAATTGGCTATGAATTAGTCTCGCTTCAGACTGAAGAGAAATACAACGTGTTGGTTGATTTTCTGGTCTCTTCTGGGCAATCACTATATTTTTGGACCTCTGGAAATGACCTCTACACTTTGGGAACACACCATTGGTATCCCAGTAATGTGACAGTCTTAGCCAGCCTTTGGGGAAACAGGCAACCAGACAATGCAGGTGGAGTGGAACACTGCGATGCACTTTGGAAGATAAGTAACAATTACACCCTGAAGGACGACAACTGCAATATAGCTAAAAATTATATTTGTGAGCTGGCAGCTCCTTCTACTTCCCCTTGATTCTTAAACAAAACTATATATTTTAGCACCAAATTCTTATTATATTTATTATTTCAACCTTACTGAACTTGTATTTTATGCTTTTAACTGATTAAACCGAAATATTATTCAATATATTTATTTTGTATTTATATCCTTAAAGGGTATTATAATTTTAGTCTGAAGCTTCAAAAACAGTGAAGGAATCATTTCCGACCCTATAAAGCATATATATTATTGATCAGCATCAACAGCTGAATCGATCTAGCTATGTCCCGCGAAAATTAAAATTTTTAAAAAATTTGAAAATTTTATAAGGGGTTACATCATTAAAATTGTCAAAAATCGATCAAAATTTCAATTTTCTAAAATTTTAAACTGAGTATGCAGATTAATTAACCTATCAAAAACTAACATAAGACAGTTTTCCGAATTAAAATTAATGCTTTTTTGGCTTAGTTATGGGATTTTTAGACTTTGATTTTACATAGAAATCGGTTCATATCTTTTAAAGAATGTGGAAAATTTTACGATACGCTCCTATAATTCCATTGCAAGCTTTCAAGTTATATAAACCAAATAGATCCCACCCAAGTGTGCTCATCCCATTTAGAGTCTGAAATAAATTATAGAACAGTAGTTTCTACTCACCCCACAGGTCCCACTTCGTCGGCATAGCAGCTGGAGTCTCCCGGCGTGCACTCCATGCACACCTCACCCGAATCCGCGCACTTGGCCACGCTCAGGGACATGACGCGTCCATTCCGTGTGGCCGTCACTTTGTGCCAACCCCCATCCGCCAGGTTCTGCCCAGCTATCACCGTACTGATGGCTGTCCGCGCTCCTCCCGAGGAGAAGTATGCCTGGCCATGGACCAGTTCGATGGCCAGGAAGTCGGAACGGCCGCCGCTCTGGATGCCATAATTGTAGAGCAGCAGGGAGTTGGGTTTGGTTGTGGCAAAGACAATCGAGATGTCGTTGGTGGTCACATCCAGGGCGGGGAAGGTCATGAAGGAGAGTGGCTCAAAGCCATAGCTAAAGCGCTCACAGTGCCGTCCGTACCGTCCAGGGGTGCAGTTGCACTTGTAACCGGGTTTGAGGCTGACACACAGGCCGCCATGAAGACAGGGATTCGGACGACACGAATCAGAGACGCTCTCGCACTGATTCCCGCGGAATCCGGGCCGGCACAGGCAGAAGTAGGAGGAACCATCCGAGCTGCGCTGGCAACTGCCTCCGTTCCGGCAGGGCTTGCTCCAGCAGACGTCGCTGCGCTCCTTCTCGCACTGCTTCCCATCCCGGTTGGCCGGACATACGCACTGGAAGTCGCTGCCCAGTCTGCGGCATTGGGCCTGCATCTGGCAGGGATTGGGGAGGCAGGGATCCTGCCGCCGGCTGCACTGCTCCCCAGAGAAGCCGCTGGTGCACTGGCAGCTGTAGTCGTGGATAATGCGGGGACCACTCAGCACCAGCGTGGGACTGTCCACAATGCTGAAGGTGTGCGTGTCCAGCAGGCGGATGGTGGCGCTGCAGACACCTCCATTCTCGCACACATCCGGCTCACTGCAGGGTTCGTAGCCAACGATGACCTCCTTCTGCAGGAGCTCGGACAGAGCAGCCCGCTTCTCCCGCAGGCGTTCGATGATCTGTCGCGGCTGCTGGTAGCTCCTCTTTGCCGAGCGAACTGCCATGAGAACCTCTAGGCTGGTGGCATTGCCGCCACCGCCTTCCAGGAGGCTGTAGACCAGCACTTCGCCTTCATGGCTCAGTCGGGATTTAAGCATCTCCATCAGCGGACGATAGTGTTGGGACAGGAAGTGTGAGGCCGTCATGTTCCTCACCAGCAGGGACACAGTATTGGCCAGAGTCTCATTGCTGAAGCTCTGGAAGCTGACGCTCAGCTTGGAGCTCACATCGCCGTGCTTGCCATCGTTGCCCGTGTAGCCAAAGGACGACGCGGTGGGCGTGGTGTGCGAGGTGGTGTACAGATCACAGGCCCGCAGGATAGTGAGTTGATTCTGGGCGAGATTCTGCAGGCGGCAACGATAGTCCCCAACGATATCGATGTCGTTGGGTCGCACATCCGCCAGCTTCACATTGGACGGCAGATCGCCGTTGAAAAGGCTTACAGCCACTTGAAGATTCCTGCTCGTGGATGGATTGTCATTCTGGTCCAGCACTGTGATCCGCAGGATGTGCTGCGACCGCTGCCTGGGCTTGCCGCTGTCCTCCACTTCGATCACAGCCTCCAAAGCAGGCGTAACCTCGCGATCGAAGCTAACCGTAGACTTGACCAGGCCCGAGCTCCTGTCCACTTGCAGCCAGGACTTGTGCTTGCCGCCCACCAGCTGATAGGTAAAGGGTCCACCATTCCGCGGGAGATCCGGATCACTGGCCGTTAGGGTCATGATGGACGTGCCAGCCGGCTCGTTCTCGGACACGTAGCCTGTAAGGCCTTCGGGTGTGAAGGTGGGTCCATTGTCGTTGACGTCGTCCAGATCTATGCGCACCGTGGCACTGCCCGTCTGCGGCGGCAGTCCCGTGTCTATTGCTCCAATCACCAGGTTGTAGGTGGCAATCTCCTCGCGATCCAGCTGGGCTGCCGTGCTGATCTCCCCCGTCTGCACATCGATCCGGAAGCTCTGCTTGAGGTTGCCATTGATGATGGAGTAACTGAACTGGTTGTTCTGCGGCCGCACATCCTTGTCGATGGCCTTGACGGTGGTCACTTTCGAGCCTATTGGCGCCGCCTCCGAAATCGTGGAGGTGTAGTAGCGCTTGATGAACTCCGGCGGGTCGTTGCCGTCCTGAATGGAGATGATGACCTGCGCCTCGTCGGTGTCGTTGCCGCGGATGCTGCCATAGTTCTTGGCCATCACCATGAGCGATACCCGATTCTGGGTCTCCCTGTCCAAGTGACGGGCCACATGGATCACCCCAGTGTTGGTATCGATCCCAAAGCCCTTGTCATTGCTGGAGCCCACGAGGAGATAGTAGACGCGTCCATCTTCTCCACTGTCCTTGTCCGTGGCCTGGACAGCGCCGACCCGAGTGCCTACGGCGGAGGTCTCGGAGACATCAAAGTGGAAGGCTGGCTGCAGGAACTGCGGGAAGAACTCATTCACTCCAAGAATGTGGACATAGAGCGTAGCATAGCTTTCCATGCTGGAGTCGGGGTTCTTGGCCTTCAGCTGGAGCGTGTAGCTGCGACGCTCCTCGTAGTCGAAGATGGCGGCGGACGAGATGCTCCCATTGCCAGAGTTTATGCTGAAGAAGTGCCTATCCGTGCCGCTCGGCAGGAAAGAGTAATGGATAATCGCATTCTTCGGGGAGTCCTTGTCGGTGGCATGGGCCTGGAACACAAAAGTGCCCGCCGGCTTGTTCTCGGCTATGTAGCCATGGTATTCCATGTGGTCAAACACCGGTGGATTGTCGTTGACATCGGTGAGGATGATGGTGAGCATGGCCACCGCCTCCAAAGGCTGGAAGCCCAGATCTTGGACCGTAATGTTCAGGTGGTACTCCTGCACCAGATCGTAGTCAAGCTGCTGTCGTATCAGGATTCCACCCGTCTTTTCATCCACACTGAAGTCCTGTCGCTCGTTGCCACCTGAGATGGAGTATCGGAGCATGCCATTGGGCCCCGGTTCCTCGTCCGTGGCACCCACTGTGAGGATGGTGGAGCCGACGGGCTCGTTCTCCAGCACGCTCACCTGGTAGCTGTTGGCTGAGAACTTGGGAGCGTAGAGATTCTCCCCGGTGACCACGATCACGACGCGGGTCTCATCCGACTGCGGAGGCACACCACGATCGGTGGCTCGGACAACCAGTTCGAAGCGTGAGTTGGGGGCCACTTCAAGTCGCTTTGCCAAGGAGATCCAGCTATCATGACGCCCTATGGTGAAGATGGAGCTCAGGTTAGAGCTAACCAAGGAGTAATCCATCTCGCTGGCGCTGGCCGCATCCTGCTTGTCCGTGGCATGGACCCGAACTATACGCTGGCCCGGCATAGCGTGCTCCGGCAAAGGCGACAGGTACTCCTTCTGCTCGAACTGTGGCGGATTGTTGTGGGCATCCACGATGTTGATGTTCACCAGACACTCGGAGTACAGCGGCGGCTTGCCATTATCTGTGGCAAGGACCGTAAGGGCATACATGTTCTCCGGCGAGCGGACATACTGCGAGTGCTTGAAGTGAACCGCCTGAGGAAAAAGTTTAGGGAAACAATAAACATACTCTGTCAGAAATCATTTCTGTACTTACCTTTTTGCTGAAGATTTCCCCGGTGGCTGGGTCAATGCTGAACATGGGCGAGGGCTGCTGCAGGGAGTAGGAGATGACCGAGTTGGGGCCCTGTTTGTCCCGATCTGTGGCTATAATCTGGCCCACCAGGGCGATAGAGTGCTGCAGCTCCGGGAAACTGAAGCTGTAGAAGCTGTGCTCAAACTCGGGTGCATTGTCGTTCTGGTCTTGGATCGTTATGGTGATGGGTGTCTCTGCTCGCCAGGCGCCATCAAAGGCCACCACTTTCAGAACATACTCATCCTGCTGCTCCCGATCAAGGTGCCCGGCCACGGTGATGTTCCCGCTCAGCGGCTCAATTCGAAACTTCTCTCCGGGATTCTCACTAAAAGAATATGTGGCATTCGCATTCGGGCCAAGATCCAAGTCCGAGGAAGTAACACGGATGACAAAGCTTCCAATCTCTGCGTTTTCAGTGACATTCAAGGAGAAGAGACGCGTGAACTTGGGCGGATTATCGTTCTTGTCCAGCAGATGAAGCAGCACACTGGCCGTGCCAGTAAGATGTGGTACACCCTGGTCCACGGCCTCCACCACGAAAGCATAGTCGCCAAGCTCCTCCCTGTCGAGCCTCATCCTTGTGTAAATCTCGCCCGCTTCGGTGATCTCAAAGGTTCCCTCGTAGGAGTTTCTTAGACGATACATTACTTTGCCATTTTCCCCGGAATCCCTATCGCTGGCTCTGACCGTGGCTATCAGCTGTGGAGGCGACTCCTCCTCGAGTACCTCGGCATTGTAGATGAGTTGCTCCATCACGGGAGCATTGTCATTGGCATCCGTCACATTTACCGTGATCAAGGTGACGCTGCGCAGGCTTGGCGTATCATTGTCCGCGGCCTCCACCCAAATCTCGTAGAGATGGGTCAGCTCATAGTCCAGGCCATCCTGTCCCACTCGCAGGACGCCGGTACTGGCATCCACTCTCACGGCATCTCCGGTGTTGCCTCCAGCAATGGCATAGCGCATCTTCCCAGCCGAACCCTTCTTGGGGGATGTGGCACTCACTTTTGTTATGGTTTTGCCCGGCTGCACATCCTCCGGCAAGGTGAAGTGACTGTTGGCCATGTAGGAGTAGCTGGGAAAGAGATCGCCCGGTCGCAGTTCCACCGTAAGGTCGGCCGTAGAGTTGAGAGGGCTGTCCCCTCGGTCGGTAGCATAGATCACAAGGCTGTAGGTTGGAGACTTACTCTTGAGCTCCAGCTTCGTGCTCACCACTCCCGTCTTGGCATTGATCTCGAAGTACTGATGATCCCGTCCCCCAAGCTGTACTGCAGCAAGGCATTCTCGGCCTCGTCCAAGTCCATGGCACGGGCTCCAAACACAAACTCGCCCGTGCTAATTCTATCCGGCAGAGCCACGTGGTAGCTGCTGGAATCGAACTTGGGAATATTATCATTGACATCCGTCACACTGATGGTTAGGTTCACCGAGGAGGCTCGGGGTTCCGTGACGGAGCTATCCTGGGCCATGAGCGTTAAATGATAGATCGAAGTCTCCTCTCGATCCAGGGAGACAGCAGTACTGATCTCTCCCGTTGCTGAGTCAATGTGGAAGCGCGTCATGTGCTCACCGAGCAGGCTGAAGCGCAGCTTGGCATTCAGTCCCTCATCCTTATCCGTGGCCATGGGCCTAAGAAGATGGGTTCCTGCGGGAAGGTTTTCCCTAACGGAGGCATAATACGATTGCAGCTCAAAGACCGGTCCGTTGTCATTTATATCCTGCACCTCCACGCGCACAATGCCAGTGCCTGTGAGCGGCGGTGAGCCCGTGTCCATGGCCACCAGCGTGAGGATGTACTCACTCTGCTGCTCCCTGTCCAGTGGCTTCAGCAGGGCAATGTCGCCCGAGGAGGCATTGATGCGAAACAGATCCGTGTCGCCTTCCTTGAGGAAATAGCGAACCTGAGAGTTCAGTGGCGGAGTGTCGGCATCGTAGGCATTCACGGTGAGCACATAGCCTCCATTCGGCGGCACCGTATTCTCCATAACGCGGGCCAGGTACGGTGAGTCAAGGAATGTGGGTCGATTGTCGTTTATGTCCAGGATGCTTATGGTTAACTCCGCCGTATCACTGGCGGGATTCTCCAGGGCGCAGTCCTCCGCACGAACCGTGAGGGTATAGCGCGACAAGCGCTCATAGTTAAGGTTCTTGGCCACTCGCACCACGCCCGTGTCCTCACTGATGCTAAAGTCGTGGTTCTGATCCCCTAGCACTATGGAGTAGCGGATGCGTCCATTGGCGCCCTCGTCCACATCCGTGGCGGATACCTGCAGCACCATGGCCCCAATGCTGGCGTTCTCCGCCACCGAAGCGGAATACTGCTTCGGATCGAACACGGGACTATTGTCATTCTCGTCCAGAATGCGCACGAGGAGCTGGGAGTCCGTGGACTGAGAGGGCTCTCCACGATCGCGAGCTGTGATGTTGAGAAGGTAACTGGAGCGCAGCTCCCTATCCAAGGAGTCAACGACGCGCAGTAATCCATCGGTGGGGCTCAGGGAGAAGGGCAGAGGCTCCTGATCGGAGTCCGCGGAGTCATGGCCAGTCGCCTCCTTCAGGAGATAATCGATGAAGCCGTTGCGTCCCTCGTCGTTGTCGACAGCCTTGACAGCGATAACGAGCGTGTTGATGGCCACATTCTCCATGATCGAGGTTTCGTTAGCGGAAACGAAGACTGGCACCTCATCGTTGACGTCTTTGATGAGAATCGTTACCTGGAGAAGAGTGGAGTTGAAACAGAGATCAGTCTTGGCTAATTGTAGTTTAGATAAAACGGTAAAGGTGAGGCATGATAACGTAGAAACAGGTTTATCTGAGTCTTGAGACAAGTCACCTAATTAATCAAGGAATAAGAGATTCAGGAAAGGTCGCTACTCTCCCTAATCTATACACTCTCTAGGTATTTTTCTTTTTACTGTTTAGAATGTCAACCTACCTTCACCGTTGACGACAAGCGCTGTTGCTTCTGATGCGCCAGGAACTGCTGTTGCTGTTGTCCGTGGTCGTAGCGTCTTGGCGAGCGGTACTTCAGCTTCAGCTGCGTCTCCTCCAGCTCGCTGAAGGAAGCAAACTCATCGGCGCAGTCTCGAGCGGTGACAGTCAGTGTGTATCCCGATCGATGCTCCCTATCTAGCTGGCGACGTGTGCGAATGGTGCCATTGCTATCGATGCCAAACTCAGAGTCCGCATCGCCCGCTGTGATGCTGTACTCGATGAGCCCATTATTGCCTGTCAAAGGAGTAAACAAAACTAATTAAAGGTCCTTGACTGGTGCCTACAGACTTACCCGAATCTATATCCTTGGCTGACACAGTGACTACCTCCATCCCAACAGGCACGTTCTCAAATACCTCGCTCGAATAGCTCATGGGATCGAACAGAGGAGCATTATCATTCAGATCGAGGACATTGCAATAGACTGTGATGGTGGTTGACAAACTAGGCTGGCCATTGTCCTGAGCCTGCACAATGAGGATATAGTGTTGGACCTGTAAGGAAGTGAACATAGCATAAAAGAAGCTCGGCATAGACTGGCAGACAACTCCTACCTCTTCGTAGTCCAGGCGAGCTGTAAGGGTAAGCATTCCCGTTTGCGGATTCAAACTGAATACATCGTTGGCCCAATCGGAGACCACGCTGTAGGATAGCTGGGCATTCTGTCCTAGATCTGCATCCTTGGCCACTATCTGGCCCACCTGATAGCCACGCGGGGCATTCTCCGGTATGTCAAAGGAGTACACGGTGTCTTCAAACATGGGCGGATTGTCATTGGTGTCGGTCACCTGGGAATTAATAAAGAAACGTGAAGACTTTGCACTCCCAACAAATAGATCCTGGCATACCTCAATTGTAGCATAAGTATCCGTGTACTGCACTCCATCGGACACCCGAATCCTGAGCTCATACTTGAACTTCGTCTCCCTGTCCAGGGTGTCGTTCAGGAGCAGCTTACCCGTGGCGGGCTCCAGCAGGAACTTGCCATCATGGCCATCCATCAGCAGGAATGTCACAGAGCCTATCGTATCCGGATCGTGAGCCCGCAGCGTGGCAATAGTGTGTCCAATCTCCAGATCCTCGCTGACATTGTAGGCGAACGGGGTGTCCAGGAACTGCGGTGGGCTGTCGTTCTTGTCGAGAACTGTTACTCTGACCTGGCGGCGGGAAATAAAGCAAGCGGTTTCGTTGCGTCAATAACACTGACCCACTTTCGGGGGAAGAGGACTACTACCAACTGGCGATGCCATCCAGCGGAAACTAGTTCCATATTTGGCACTAAATGCACAGAATATTCCATGTGCGAGCCTCCCTCCACTTCTGTCGCAATGTCAATCGCATTCCTCATCTCTTTCTCTTAACCTGGCCGGGGCCTGGGCTTGACCCGCTTACTGGCCTGCCTCTAACTCTGGCTTTATGGCCGGGTTATTATACGTGAAGCCAGTTGCTGCCGCCTGCCCTGGCTGAACTTTCGGGTTCGAGTTCTTTATGACCGAGCGAATTATAGTTTTGGCCATTTCCCCAACTGCCCCGGCGGTCAGGCGAACACGAACTAAACTGGCTTGAGCATTACCTCTACAAAGTGTGTGTGTACCTTTGGATGTCGCCATTGTCACCGCAAAAATACATTCATTTCGAATTTGATATGCCTGTGCGTGCAGCATGCAGGTTTTTAGCTCAGTGCATTCATTACTTTGTGTTGAACTTGTTTCCGAAAGAACTTGTTAAATATTAGCCCTAAGTTTGTACGTGGGAAAAAGTCTGATATGATAGCACATACATATTATATATCATTGATTATAGTATGAATAATCAATCGTAGCCATTACTATATCGCCGTCCCTTCAAAAATATAGTAAAGATATATTGACTTCCCTACTTAAAACTGAACAATAGTTCAATCAAAAATTAGTTTAGGCAGAAGCTTGAAACACAGTGAAGGAATCATTTCCGACCATATAAATCATATATATTCTTGATCAGCATGAACAGGGGAATCTTTCTAGGCATATAGCAAAGAAAATATTTTTTGAAATTTTTTTTCTTCATTTTTTTCAAAAAAAGGAAAGGAAAGAAAAATGTCAATTTTTTTAGGTTTTAAACTGAGTACGCAGAATTGTTAACCTCATAAAAACTAACATAGGAAAGCTTTCCGAATGGAAATTAAAGCCTTTTTGGCTAAGTTATGGGATTTTTAAACTTCGATTGTCATATAAAAATAATTGCATAAATTAATACTTATTTTTAAACCCTTGAAGTACTATAATTTTAACAGAAGCTTACAAAACAGTGAAGGAGTCATTTCCGACCCTATAAATCATATATATTCTTGATCAGCATGAACAGGCGAATCGTTCTAGCTATCTCCGACCAAATTTTAAATTTTTCAAAAATTTCAAAATTTTATAAGGGGTTACATCATTAAAATTGTCAAAAATCGACAAAATTTTCAATTTTCTAAAATTTTAAATTGAGTATACAGATTGATTAACTTAGCGAAAACTAACATAAGAAAGCTTTCCGAATTGAAATCTATGCTTTTTTTGCTTAGTTATGGGATTTTTAGACTGTGATTTACAAAATAAAAATGTCATATAAAAATATGAAATATTTGTTATGATCGACTTCCAATTCTATCCAATAATTCGATTGCAAACTACAATGATATACAAACTTCGGCTTCTTGAAGTTATTTTCATTTTAATTTATTATATTGTTTGTATTTCTATCGAACAATGATAAAACATTTTTAAGAAAAAACAAAAGAACTGATCTTAATTTGTTAGGAAAAAACCGGTACAAGATGAATTCCTCCTCCTCAAACATCTTTGCCTTTCTAAACTCATAACCCCGTAGGAACAGAGACACTAACCGATTTTTAAGATACCTAGAAAAAATGAAGAATCAGAGTGGATGGTCGAATAAACTCGCAGTAAAATCACTTTCAGAACTCGTAACTCTCTTGCTAGTCACACATGGAGAACAAGGATCCAGAAGGCCATAAATACGCCAAAAGACCAACAGAGTCGGGAACGTGGACACTCGTAAAATATAGCATCGTGTGCTGAGATGGTGTTAAGTCGAGGTGAGGTGCTGGGCTCTTCGACTTAGAGTAAATAGTGCATTTGTAATAAAATTTATGCAAATTTGTAACACTAGACACCAGGAACCTGGAGAAGAGCCAAGGAGGCGATGGACACGAGAGACGCATTAGAGAGAGAGGAAGATGCGGAGTCTATCAGCAAAAGACCATTTTGCAGGCCGGCTCAGAGCTTGGCTTGAAGTGTGTGGCGGCTAATTGAACTAATTTGAGCTGTGGAAAGCGGGTGCAGCAGCTGCAGAAAATGTAACCATTTGTCAATCCGCTTAATGGGCCCACGAAAGGCCCATGGAGCACATGACACGACGCGATTCCAGAAAAGAGCCACGGATGGCCATAAATTTGCTTGAAATTCCAGCCCAAAGATCGGGATTCAGGGGACATTTTGATGGACATTCGTGAGCTTGTTCGCTAGCTTTTATTTATTTACTTTTTTTAATTGCAATTATTTGCAAAAGCAGGCCAAGAATAATGAACGAGACTAGAAAGCTGTGTTTACTCAGGCAATAGAACCAGGGAAAAGCACCTTACTTTATGCTTATAATCAAAAATGTCTCACTAAATTGCTTTTTCTTGAGGCTTAGTGGAGGAAAATAGGAAACCAAGTGAAAGAGATGGTGATCGAGTATCGATTAATCAAACCTTTTAATTTTAAACTATTCACCTGATTAATACCCACAACGAGCCCTGGGCTAATCTCTAAATCTGTCACCGATTTAAGGACCGGATGAGGGTACCCGCGACTCGCAAATATTTAAAATTTAAAATGGAAAAACATGACAATCGTTTTAAATCAATGCAACAATGAATTGATTGAAACACTCTTCGCACGCGAGGCCACTAAAGCATAGTTGCTTGTACTAACCGCAGTCCCGGGGCAGCTTCGTGCACGAACCTGGAACTGGAACTGGAACTGCTCTCCTCCATCCTCCATCCTCTCGTTCGCCGCATCCCCTCCAGATTTGCATGCGTGCATTGTTGGCATACCTACGCATACAACGTGTCGGCCATGAACACGCGGAGGCTGCAAAGCCAGGGAAGGAGTCAGGGAAGAGCCAGAAGAGCCCCCATCAAGGGCAGAAGAATCTGGAGCCAAAGAGTGAAGAAGGTAGCAGTCTCTCTCTCTCTGCTCTGTTCCTGTTCTTTTTTTGCTTGGAGAAACCAGTAAAAGGTTCACGAGCGCCTGCAGAGTGAGTGGCTCGGGCAGTTGAGGTCCACGAATACCCTTCGACCGTGCAAGATGGTCCTCTGCGTATGCAGAGACCCCGTCTTGAGACGCGTAAGGTACCCCACCCGGCATAATTAAAGGCATCTGCCAATGAAGCAACTTATTATAATTCTATCCCTGCGGCCCATTTATCCGGAGCTTCGGTGCTCTGTAAAATATTTTCTCGATACACAGGTCTGTCTGGTTCGGGATGATCCCCCCGGGACCCCCAGCAAATTCATTCAGCAGAGATAGCAGGCTCAGGGCTCAGGGACGAGGAGACCCCGACTCTGGCCTGTTAATTTGCATCTTCCAAGGGGCACAAATGCGTGCCAGGCCAGAGAAGGAGCTCTGGACTCCGCCAGACTCAGCTCCAGCTGAAGTGCTTGGCGTGTAATCAGCATTTCATATCAGCACAAGACATTAAAAGCGCATTAGTGCGGTCTCGACTTGCACTGATAAGCCCTTGGAGACTGCCCCAGAAATGGCCGCCAAGGCAATTCTCCTTTGAGCCCTCCATATTCTCATCCACTCTCGAGGTGCCTTTGGGGCACCAACTAAAAGAAAAGTCGGCCCTCCCGAGTAAGTAATCAGGATCTGATAAGATCGTACATGAAGTAAGAGCGAAATGATCAAAGTGAATATTATGTAGCGCAAATTCTGGTTAATTTTCCAATAAGTTTCAAATTTTTGTTATAAAAATGTGAGTGAAACTAAAATCATATGATTATTTATAGAGTTAAGATCTCAAAATCAAGGGACTATATATGCATCTAACCAATTAAATAGTTTCTGTATAGTTTTTCAAATCCCCTCTTGCTTGTTTTAAATAGTTTCTATATCAATAAAAAATCCCCAAAAACTCACCATTGTCCTCGCTGTCCGCGGCTGGCCTCCAAGAGCAATGGCATAGACCTCCACTTCGTAGTCATCCGGTCCCGCTTCCCGGTCCAACTCTGCAGCCGTGGACAAAATGCCCAGCTTGGCGTCTATGTCGAATAGGCGATCCACCTGACCGCGTGCAGCTCCACTGGCCGCCGTGACATTGGTGACAAAGTACTCGATCTCAGAGCCCGCCAGGTGAGCGCTCACCGTCAAAATCGTTGTGCCAATGGGTTCATTCTCATACACTGAGCCGGAGAGCATGTTGCGCTGCTCGAAACGCGGCACAGAGGCTTCACTGTCACCACCAACTGCAGCAGATCCCGGAGTGATGATGGTGATGTAAACCTCGCTGCTGCGGCGCTCGCTTTGCACCGCCTCATCGGTGGCCTTCAGGGTAAGCTGATACCGCACCTCCGGCTTGTACTGCGCTCCGGGGGTAAAGGTTATCACGCCTGTGTTCCGCTGAAGCCGGAAAAGGTCCTGCTGCCCGCTGACAATCTCGTAGGTGACCAGGCCATTGCTGGAGGAGTCGGCATCCTTTGCCTGAACCTGCATCACTGCCAGTCCCTTCTGGGAGGTGAGGATCTTTTGCGGCAGGATCGCCGCATTCATGGAGACAAAGACGGGGGCATTGTCGTTGATGTCCTCCACGATCACAGTGACCAACTTTTCCGTGGAGAGCTGTCGTTCTGAGGGCTGAGCCCGATCGGTGGCCACCACGGTGAGACGAAAGGTGTCGATGGTTTCTCGATCAATCTCCCTCAGCGTGTGGATCACACCAGTCTCGGTGTTAATGCCAAAGTGTCGTCCTGTCGGGAGCTCCGGCTCCTGCTTGCTGATGGCGTAGCTCACTTTCCCATTGAGTCCCGAATCCGGATCGTCGGCGGTAACCGTGACTATGGGTGTCTTCAGGGCAATGCCCTCCTTGATCTGTCGCACAATTGCCGTGCTGGGAAAGATTGGCGGGTTGTCGTTGTCGTCCACCACCAGAACATTGTACAAAACAGTGGTGGAGAGCGAAGGAGTGCCGCAGTCGGAGGCGGTAATGTTCAGGGTGTAGCTGGTAATATCCTCGTAGTCCAGGAGCTTGTGGAGATACAGACTACCCGTCAGGCTATCAATATGGAATGTATCCCGGCGATTTCCCGCCGATATACTGAACACCACTTGGCTGTTGACACCCTGGTCGGCATCACTGGCTCGGAAGCGCATCAATTCCGTGCCTGTGGGGCTGGTCTCCAGCACAGACACCTCGCTACTGGATTGGGTGAACTCCGGGGCATTGTCGTTCTCGTCGAGCACCACAACTGTGATGGTGGCATTGGAGCTTAGGGGGTTCTTGATGGCCGCATCCCGAGCGACGACAACAAGGTGATGAATCTCTTGGGATTCCCTGTCCAAACTGCGCGCCAGGGAGAGCTGTCCCGTGGCGCTGTCCAGGCTGAATTGACCCGCTTCGTTGCCCTGGGCCAGTGTGTAGTAAACGTCACCGTTCAGCCCCTCATCCGCATCCTGGGTGTAGACGTGGGTAATGTGCGTCCGTTCGGAAGCGCCCTCGGAGATGGTTACATGGTATGGCGCACGCAGGAATTCAGGTGCATTGTCGTTGACATCCGTGACATAAACCATAATCTTGACCTTGTCGTGCAGCCGTGGTATCCCATTATCAGAGACGGTGGCCTGTAGCATCAGTAGATTTTCGGTGGGAAAACCCCACCTTGCACCACGCTCATCCTCCGTTTCGCTCTCCAAGTTGCGATTCTCCTTGACAAGCGACTCCCGATCGAAGGGACGCTTTGTCTTGATGAAGCCGTTCCTGGTGTCTATCGTAAAGTCCTGCGTGTGTGTGGTCAGGGTGAAGCTGAGCTCTGCATTCCTCCCAATGTCTCGATCCACGGCAGTGAGTTTGCCCACAAAGGTGTCTGCCGGCGCATTCTCCGGAATGTCAAAGGTGAACGAACTATTTGTGAACTGCGGCGCATTGTCGTTCTCATCAATCACATGGATCACCACGGGCACCACCGAGGAGCGGGAAGGCTGGCCGGCATCCCTACAGGATACAGTCAGTGCATAATAATCCCGCTCTTCGCGGTCCAGCGGAGCTCGCACAAACAGGAATCCATCGGGAAAGACACCGAACATGAGATCTTGGTTGCCCTCAATTATCTCGTACGAAATACGTCCGTTCTCGCCCAGGTCAATGTCTGTGGCGGGCAGGGCAAAGAATCGAGTGTTCACCTTGGTGCTCTCCAGCAGGGATGTCTCATAGGAGGTGTGATCGAAAACGGGCGTATGGTCATTGACATCGGCTATGTTCACTGCGAGACTCAAGCGACTCGAGAGAGGCGGACTACCTGCATCGGTGGCCATTAGCTCCACTTGGAGCACAGATCCAGGCTCCGCTCTCACAGGCCGCTGCAGGTAAAGCACTCCCGTGACAGGTCCAATGCGGAACTGCTCCTCTGGATTGTGCGTCAAGCTATAGGTGATTCGGCTGTTGATGCCCGCATCCCTATCTCGCACCCTAGAGAGATAGATCTCCTGTCCCACGGCCGCATTCTCCGGCAGAGAGATAGTGGCTTCCGAGTCCCGATCCAAGGCAAAGATGGGTGCATTATCGTTAAGATCAACGATGGCCACATTGACAATGCATTGACCGTACAGGACAGTGGAAGAGCTGCTGCTGCTGCTGGAGCTGGCCAAGATGGTCAGCCGATAGTGGGCCTGCTCTTCGCGATCCAAGGCGCGGGCGGTGGTAATGCGTCCTGTCTTGGCATCAATGGCAAAATTCTGAGACCTATCGCCTTCGATGATGTCGTACTCGATGGGCTGCGAGGGCTTGCCCATGGGCAGGGGCTTCATCTGCACCACCCCCACCTCGCGGCTGCCGGGCTGCTTCTGCTTCTGCTGCTGCTGCTGCTCGTGATCCTCGACCATCTGGAACTCATAACCACCCGGTCCCTGACCGCACTCTAGCGTCTCCGCCTTGGACTTGAGCACAATCTCCACCACAGCATCCCTCTGGCTCCTACGCTGGCCTGCATCACGTGCCGAGACCTGCAGCCTGTAGCGGGGCTTCAGGTGAGCGGAAGAGGCCGTCGTGCCACGCAGGCTGATGGCCCCCGAGCGAGAATCCAGCTGGAAGTAGCCCTCTCCACCTGACTCCAGCTTGTACTCAATTAAGGCATTATCGCCGGCGTCTTGATCTGAGGCCGTGACACGGAGCAGCATCCTCTCGCCCTGCTCCGACTCCCTTGCCATCTTGCCATCGATATCGGCCTCGGTGAGCGTGTAGATGTAGTGCCTGGGATAAAACTCCGGATCGTTATCGTTCGCATCGGCCACGTTGAGCCAGACGGTGGCCGTGGCCGACTGGGGCGGCGAACCCTGATCGCGGGCTATCACCGGTATCTCGTAGCGAGCCATTTTCTCACGATCGAGGGCCAGGCGCGTCGTTAATTGGCCCGTTAGCGCGTCGAGGGCGAACTGGCGCGGATACAGGCGCTCCACGCTGGGCGCCAAGCTGAATGTCACCGAACCGTTGGTGCCCTGGTCGTGGTCGGTGGCCGTCATCAGAGCCACGAGTGTCTGCGGGGGCGCTTCCTCTCCAATGGTCACATTCTGCTGACGCTGCCCGAACTGCGGTGCCTCGTCGTTCTCGTCCAGCACCGTCACCTTCAACTGGGTGTAGGCAAACTTGGGATTGGGGCCTCCGTCCCTAGCGGAAATGCTCAGCTCGACGCTGTCACGTACCTCCCTGTCCAGGGGTCCGGCCGTTACAATCAATCCCGTCAAGGGATCCATGGCGAACCACTTGAGCTCATTGCCCGAGAGAATCTCATAGTGAACCTGGGCATTGACGCCAGTGTCCTCGTCGGTGGCCGTAATCGAGGCCACATAGCTGCCCGAGGGCGCCAGCTCACTGAGCACCGCCGTGTACTCGGATTTCTCGAACACGGGCTCATGATCGTTCACATCATTCACGCAGATAATCAAGTATCCTGTGGTAGTCCTCGGCGGAGTGCCCTTATCCGTGGCCACCACGGAGAGGTTGTACTTGGCGATCTCCTCCCGATCCAGGACACCATTGGTGCGCACTATTTGGAGGTAGGACAGCGTCTCCAGGCGGAAATGACCCAGCTCGTTGCCAGACACTATCTGCGTGGTGGTCTGTCCATTGAGGCCATAGTCCGCATCTGTCACGGATATGGCTGCCACAACGGTTCCATTTTCCGCATTCTCGTCCACATTGGCCATCCGCAGGGTGGGCGGAAAGTACGCAAAGCTGATGAAGGGATCGTGATCGTTGTTGTCCAGCAGGTTGACCGTCACATAGGTGCGCCCATCCTGGCGGGGTGAGCCATGATCCCGGGCAAACACCGTGAAGACGCAGCTCTTTTGGTTGGAACCCTTGACATTCGTCTGTTGGGGGCAGTTCACTCGATCCGTGGTGGAGATGACACCAGTCTCTGGATTCACGGTGAACTGGTGCTCCGTCTCGGCCAGGTAATAGGTGATCTTGCTGTTGTCCCCCAGATCATTGTCGGAGGCCATCACAGTCACCACAGGAGTGCCTGGTAGCGCCGTCTCATTCAGGGACACATTGTAGTCGCTGTGGTCAAAGATTGGCGGATTGTCATTGACGTCCAGAATGGTGACGTTCACCTGCAGGAAACCCAGGCGCGGCGGCGTGCCTCCGTCCCTTGCGGAGATGTTCAACTGATAGCTGCCCTGTGACTCACGATCCAGGTTACCCGTCGTCTCCAGGTGCAAATAAGAGTTGTCTCCACTGGGATTCGTGGTGGTGGCCAGCCGGAACTTGTTGTCCACGTTGCCGGCCACGATTTCGTACTGATCCGTCACCCCGTTCTCGCCCGCATCCGCATCGGTGGCAGCGTCGATGAGCAGCCGCGTGCCAGAGGCAGCGCTCTCCGAGAAGGACACGGCAATGCTCGGCTCGGGGAACTCGGGAGCGTTGTCGTTGATGTCCAGCACCTTGATGCGCACCTCAATGGGATAGGTGGGTTGCGAGGAGAGCACCACCAGGTCGTAGTGATCCCGCATGCCCTCGCGATCCAGCACTACATTGGTCTTCACCTCGCCCGTCACCGGATCCAGAGTAAATTCTCGCGGCGGTTCATTGAAGCGATACGAGAACTTGGGCTTGGTGGGTATAAAACCCACCGAGGTGCCACGTGGCTGTCCCTCCAGGACCTCGAAGTCCGCACTGGTGTCCACAGCCCGGGATTGCATTTCGCCCGAGGGCGAGGAGGAGCTTCTCCTCCTGGGGAAGGCGGCATACTGCTCGTAAGTGGTGGCATAGCTGCGGCCACGTGGCGTCATCAGCTCCAACGTGGGCCTATCATCACCGGAGGATAAGGAGGAGGAGGAGCAGGAGGACTGCGTGACCAGGAGCAGGAAGAATAGCAGGAGCAGCAGCGGGTGCTGTCCATGGCGCCCCTCCATCTTGGCGTAAGCGGATGGAAGGCTTTATGTCTCTTTGTTTACACTGAACTTTTCACTTGTTTGTTTATGTTTTTTTCCTTGTACTTTTCACACATTTACTCTGACTTTTTGTCACACTTTTATGTCTTGTAGCTTACACTGAGAGTTCATCTTGGAATTTGAGTGAATAATGGGTACACCTCTCACCTGAAAAGAAGGGAAAACAAAAGCGAATTAATGTGTTGTTTCAAAATGTTATCTGGTAAAAGGACAGTTTTAAGGTATTAATTATTTCATAAAATATATTTTAATTGGTTTGTTGGCATGCTTAAGTTTTACTTGTTTAGGTAATGCTTTCAATTAGCAGCTTTCATGCCCCACGCTTCACGCCAGCATATAAAACAGCTATTTTATACTTCGTTGAGCATAAAATTGGACTTGAGCCTCAGACTCAGCTCAGAGCGGTGGTATATGAGGCGCTAGAGCGTAAAACTGACAATAACTGATAAGTAACTGAATTATTTCAAGTACTTCTCATCATATATGATGAGTACAAGGCATACTTCCATATTATATAGAAATCTGGAAAATGTATCTTTGCGGAAACAAAAGACTTAGGCAACGAACTTGCCTGGAAGGACACCGCAACGAACCCTGTACTATTGATAACTAAACTAAGTTAGGAAATATGCAACATTTTCCCCTCTCCCTATACACTTTTCCATCATTTATTGACCCCACCCTTTTGGCCTAATCCCTTTAAGCCAGCCCACGCACCGCTCCAGTGCCAGAATTTTACTGCGGGTCCCCGGACTAGAGTTGATTGAATGCCAGACTCCTCCCTGGGCTTTTAGGAAAATCTAATCAAGATTTAGGCGGCGTCTATTAATCAAACGAAATTCCGAGGAGCCAGCAGCAGCAGGCACCCAAAAAGAAGGGGGAAATTTCCATTAATAGCATGCGTGTCAGCTTTTCGGACCAAATTAATGCTTTGTGGGCAATCTCTTGTTAGCCGGAGACGGAATCTCTAAGAACTGACAGAGAGCTCTGAAAACCAGCTAACTGATTCGTATTTCGTATTCGTTTTAACACTCTGGCTTACAGCATCCAATCCGCAGAGGGATGGATGATGGACTAGAGAGCACCCTAGATGGTCTATAGTCTATATTTATTTAATCACACAGCCAGCTCACGATGCTTTATTTCTTATAAATTAATTTAAGGCCAAGCTGAGATACCTCAGCTGATATACGTAACCCTCAACCCGTAGTTGGGAGACCCGCAGAATCTGTCAGAATGTGGGCTGTGGATCGGTTCAGTTCGAAACGAATCGAATCGAATCGGATCTCTTTCTGTCTCCTAAAAATGCGTCGTAAATTTCGTTTTTGTTGTCTCAACTGAAGCTTTTCAAGCCCCTCGAACCCGTTCATTAATCTTCGAAATCTACCTGCTCTAATGGTATTGTTAGCTCTGCTCTCTGTTCCTGGCAATCTTTTCAGTTTTTTCATCTTTTTTGTCTCTATCAAAGATATTTTTTGATGTGTCTCAGTGTGTGTGTTTTTTCTTCTTTTCACACAAACACACGCATAGAGGTAGAGGTATCGAGGAAGGTCTATGTCCGTCTCCAGTTTCTATCGCATGCCTTTGGCATTAGCAGTCCTCTTTCGAAATCGTTTCCTCGAATTTATAATTCAGAAATGGAAGTGTCAAGAGTGGATTTCAATAAATAAAAGGATATTTAATGGGGGTGTGCATAACTTGAGTGAGTTTGCCTTTATTTACGAGATATTTCTATAGATTAAAGCGGAATATTTGCATCTTAAAGGAGTGTGTTTCAATAAATAAATATATATTATAGAAGGAAAACATTCAATTGACTTGTTTTGAATCATTAGAGGGAAAGTTCTAGTGATTAATTAATTAATACTTGCACTTCTCAAAGGAGTTATGGAATTAAGTTATTACCAAGAAAAAGTTCCAATGATAACATTGAAATATTTACTCTTTTAAAGATAAAAACTTGTGTAAAGCACTTTTGATATTCAAACCACACCCTGCAAAAAAGGGTTACTTTCATAATATACAGCGGAAACTAACATTTTCCCCTCCTCTATGAAAAGTATTACTTTCATTAGCTGTTCCGCCTTGAACCCGCTACGAAACTCATTTAGAGTTCAATATTCACAGTTCACAGTTGGCAGAGAAATTTAAATACATTTCCAAAAGAAATAAACGAAAGAAAAGCAAAGCCCATTTGTTTGATTGATGTATGCATATATGGCTTTATCCGTCTCCTTTACACTTTCCCATACCGGCAGGCCAGCCGGGCTGTGGCTTATGGGCTATCTGGTTTCCAGGCCATTAATATCGATGCTGCGGCTATTTTTAAGAGCTCATAAATATAGCCATACCCGGCTAGGCGACATTTGCATTGCAAAACTAAAGCCAAAAGCCTCACAACAAAGGGCTGGGAGCCTAGAACCGCCGAAATGAGTAGAACCGAAACCAGATCGAGGTTCTTGGACCGACCAGCATCGTGATGATGCCCCAAGCGGGGCTACTCCCCGACTCAGACTCCGATCTCGATTCGGAGCCTTATTATTATGAATTTTTATTTTATTTGAGCTTTTCACTTTACATCTCACTACAAGCTGCAGTTTGCAGACAGAGGGACAGAGAGTGGAGAGTGTGGGGCGAAAACGTGTTTTTCATATTTCCATATTCATTTACATTTCGCTCTCCGCGTTCAGGAATATTTTCTTTCCTTCTTCGATGGAGGAAAAGTAACGAAAACAAACCGAAAAACGACAATTTTTCAGACATTACGTGGCAGCTCCAACACTCACGAGCAGCCCACGTCTATAATAATATTGTATTATAATAATCCAACTATTAATCTTATTTGTCCATGATGTATTTTTTGATGTACGTTCATATTCATCGAAATACCACTCTCCACCGATGTGGTTATGAATGCATTAGCTTTGGCTTTGACTCAAAACTGAAGCTGAAGCTGAGACTGAGGCTGCGCGTGGGCTTGGGAAAAGTGATTTGCGTTCCGCTCGAGCTTATTGATTTTATGCAAATCCAGAGTCTGGATGGATTCTCGAGGGGAGGGGACTGGACCCGGGACTAAGTTCCGAAATGGAAATGGAAATCACACAAGTAGAGGAGTGTAGTGCCATGGATGTTTATGAGTACCTACCATTTTTCCTCACATTTTTACATGCATTGTGGTTGGTTGGTATTGGTGTTGGTGCACACACACACTCACTCCCAGGAGCACTCACGGACACACACACGCAGCATATTTTTTCTTTTTTTTTATATATATTTTTTTCTTTCAGCAAAACGTGTTTTGCCTCATTTTTCGCTCTTGTATATGGCTTGTTGCTGCGGCTGCTGCTGCGGCTGCTTGGAGCAACGTTGTTGGAATTTTTCACTTATAAAAATTTGCAACGGCAACACACACACACACACCGAACGATCACACACATACACAAACACTGAGGCACTGAGACTGCACTTTGGGGCAGCGCAAGGTTTGGGGACACTGAATTTGTGGCCTTAGCCAGCTGGCTTATCATGCGGGGTAGTGGCTATCAAAGGATGGATGCACTGCATCAGGAGACACGAAATCTGGGTGCACTACCTTCACTTTTGCCTGTCAAGCGCTTCACGCACGCGCGCCTTTCGGAGCCAACGGAGTCTCGGAATCGGAATCGGATTCGGAATCGCTGAACTCGCCTCAGTGGTCGCAACGGAACTGAGTAACGAGCCTGGCCCCAGCAGAGATTCGGATTCAGCTCCAAGCCAGGCCTGGGAAAAGCCGTCCAACGGGTTTGTGGCTTCAAGAGAGCGAGAGAGCAAGAGAGCGACTCTCAGGTGGGACTACCTCTACCTCTCTACCTGCAACACATTTTTCACTTGTTGCAGTTTCGTTTTTCATTTTCTTGTTCGCTCTCCAAGAGAGGCGTCTGGAGAGCCGCCCCTCCGACTTAGGCCATAATGCTGCCCGCCGAGTCTTCATCTCGTCTTGGTCTTGGTCTTGGTATTGGTTGTGGTCCAGTCCAGTCCGACGAGATTCAATAGCCACCGGCGACCCATACACAGCGACAATAAAAATTACTGTCCCGCTCTCTGGGGACGGGGTTACTTCTTGCGACGCCAAGTACGCAGAGAGAAAAACAAAAGCAAGAAACTATAAATATAACAAAATATTACATAATAATAATAGCTACGAACCTATAAAAGATATATGGTTTAAGACATTCAAGGGAAACCAATCTTTACAATGCTATTAATGGAGACTTTTGAAACTTGACAGCAATGTATATTGATGAGGAAGCATCTATACAACGATCTCTCCTTTTAGTCCTTATAAGCAATACATTCTATCCTATTCTTTTCTAACATCTAATATATAAACAAACCCTAACTAAAGGATTTTTCTAACTTTCTCTGTCTAAAGAATGTGGTTTGGTACTATGCTTCAAAGAATACTATAGATCTAAATACAATCTTTCAAAGATCAATGATCACTTAAATCAAAAAAGGAATGTTAAGAATAGGAAATAGGAAACCTTTTATAAGGTTTTAATCTATACCCAACCCAAACTCACTGGAACATTGTTTCCTGTGCAACCCACTCGCTGTTTGCGTTGTTGTGCTCAGTCGTGCTCACTCGGTCCCACTGCAATCCTCCAGCGGAGCGAAGGTAGAGGAGCTGGAGAGGTAGGAGCACCACCAGCACCACCACACTCCGGCCGCAGGTTCGGTGCTTGGAATTATATGAAATTCTTGCACAGCTCGCTCTCTCTCTCTCTCTCTTCCAGAGAGATTGGCTCTCTGTTTGTGGGCACCTTTTTATTTGGTTACTTCCCTGGTTCGCCTCCGATCTTGGGCTGTAGAATTTTGTTTAGCATAGAAACTGGTTTCAAATTAAAATTATCGCTGGTCATTTTTCTTATGGTTAGTTGTCGTTTACTTTGCCGTTGTTGTTGTTGTTCTTGCTCTTGCTCTTGCTTTTGTTGTTCTGGCTGCTGTTGGTGGTGCCTCATTTTTTGTTTTGTTTTTCTGGAATTTCGGTGTTTGGTGTTTGGGACCTGCGTTTTACTTCCCTTCGCTGCCCCAGAGAGTGTGCTGCTGCTGCTGCTGCTGGTGCGATGGTGGCGGCGATCTTGCTGGTGTGAATGTGAACCTAGCTCTTGGTCTTCATCTCCTCCTCCTTCCTGCCATGCGTGTGTTGTCTTGGACACTGGGCGCCCTTTACGTGAGATATTACAGACTGAGAATAATACATTATAACTTTAACTATTTTTCAAGTGAATTATATATTTACCCTTAACAAAACTCACTGAAGGTACAACTTGTCTCAATGAAATCATCTCTCTTAGAGGCTGTTTTAGAATATTACTTGTCTCTCTTTAATTCTTTCAGTGTCTCCCTCGAGAATGGGTTGCTGTCTGGGCCTCTTGCTGGATGCTGCTCCCTCCTGTCGGATGTCGCTGGCTGGCTCTGGCCATCTTTATTCTTATTAGGCTGGAAATTCGAATCTGGGACTGGCTGAATTCCAGGAATGCCTCTGACAGCACTCGAAATATCTAAGCGAGGGGCCAAATCCAACCAACTCGATCTTTATCTGTGTGAATATTTAGGGGTTAACCTAAAACCCTATGTCCTAGAAGCAATAGTTATCTCTGGGAAAATTCAGGGGTTCTACTTTACGCTTGTTGGGAATCTCTGGCTGTCTTGTAACACTGTCACCGTTGGGGAAGTAAAAAAGAGCATCACAAGAGTTTTGCCCGATTTTATTTCTTTATGAATGTCGTCGTCGTCTTGGTTGCCTCTTAAATGCCACAAATGCAGCAACAGCAGCAGCAGCAGCAACCGCCCTGGTCCGGTCGCATTCTTATCTTTTGAGAAATATTACAAAAACACGCAAAGCCCAGGCCAAGTCCTGGCTTCCTCTCCACCAAAGCCACCAAAGGCAAACCAATAAAAATAGCTGAGCCTACCACTGTTGCTCTGTTCGTCGGTCGGTCCATGTGTGTTTATCGTTGCCTTCGTTCCATTTCCGACTTCTTCCCAGCGCCCGAGGCGCGGGAGATGTCTTGGAGTTCGGCTTCAAGTCCAGTGGCCAGTTGCTGAGGATGTCGTAGGTGTGATTCTACAAGTTCCGATGATGGAGCGAGGTGAGGAAAAGGGGATTTTTTAATACCTATAACCTCTTAATGCTTTAAAGCCTTGTATAAACAGTATTTAGGTATTCACTTAACTTAAATAAGAATTATAAAGACAATCAAATTAAAGTTATATTAACTTCCGCTTTAAATTAGAGTCGTGTTTACTGGAACATAAATTCCTAATTTTCCCTTTCCCACAGTCTTTTCTTGGCTGTATAATTTTTTGAATTGAACCTGGCGCGCTCTTGGCCAAGCCCAGTGCTGTAAACAGTCACAAACAGTGTTGCAAGACGTTTTCATAAATACTTAACGTGATGTGCCTCGTTTAAAACTTAAAATCGTTAAAGAATTTTATGGTCCGAAGAGGTTTCTTCACTTTGAATAAACTCTAAATAAAATTAATATTAAAAAAAAATAAATAACAATTAAACGCCACGTTCTCAATTCTTAAATCAGACCACCATCAACTTCATGAGTTCTCAGACATAAGGGGACTTGATAAGTGGGCTTATCTCGGTGCTATCCATGATTAGCCCCGATTAGATAATGATTTTTGTCTCACACTTAATTTATTTGATCTTCCAACGCTGCGGAAAGGAGCGAAAAAACACAAAACAAACATACATACATACGTTGAAGTACATACAATTAGCCCTAAGAATGATGCTAGCATGGGTTGGTTAGGTTGAGTTGGGTCTTAGTTACCTTGACTATGTATACTGGAGTGATTACATACAATATCGGGGGAGTATATGGGTATTGCTAATGCTATTGCTAATGCAAGCTGCAAGCTGCAAACTGTTCCCAAAAGCAACCCCCCACCCGAGGATCCTTCCTCTAATCCCGCTTCTTTTGTGCGGCTGTCTTTTTGGTCACTGGCGTAGCTGCTGCCGCTTCGGTTCCAGCCGCTGGTGCTTCGATGGCTCCATTGGGTGTCGCTCCCGCCACCTTCTTGGCATCCTGCTCCATCTCCCCGGAGAAGCCGAACTCGTTGACGCGCTTGAGATCCACGCGGTACTGCCAACGTTGGTAGAGGAACACAAAGAAGATGATATCGTCACGGAAGCAGCCAAGGCGATACATGGTCGGCATTTTGATGACAAAAGCAAAGATGTCGTCGATGAAGGTGTTGAGGAACTTGTAGGTCATCATGCGCCACGGCATGTGGGCCACCGACTTCAACTTGTAGTTGATAAACAACTGCGGCGTCATCAGGATGAAGCCAAAGGTCAGCAGGTAGCCGTACAGCATGTTCAGTACGAACGAGTACCAGCCCTTGTGCTCGTTGTAGATCAGAGAGTATACAAAGTAGGCCACCAGCAGCGGGAAGCAGGCCCAGCCCAGATACTTGAAGGCCAGCTTGTCGTACTCCTTGGTGGAGCTCTCCGAGTAGGAGCCCTTGTCGCTCAGGGTGATGCGCGGCAGGATGCCGAGCAGCTTCTGGTCGCGGTCGTAGTTGATGTCTACCACCTTGTGAATTTTCCACACCTCGATGCCAAGGCCCACGAAGCACGAGATGCGGATCATGAAGTTTGTCTCGTTGTCCAGCACGTACAGTAGAATGATCAGCGACTGGAAGACACCGAAGAACACCGAACGCACGGACAGACCCTCCAGGGACTTTCGATTGTTCCAGAACTGAATGTCGTTCTTAAAGGCTAACAGCTCGAACACAGAGTGCAGAATGGACACGGCCACGGTGATGCCCAGAAGGTAAATGTTCGTGTCCAGCAGCGTCTCCTTCAGGGAGTCCTGGTCCTCGTCACTCTCCTCCGGCTGGCTGGCGGCCATCAGATCGCCCAGCATATTGCCGGCCCACTTGTTCTTCATCTGCTTGGCGGCGTACAGCTGCCACTTGAACATGCCCAGCGGCTGGAAGGTCAAGTGCAGCTCCAGCTCCGGCGTGGTCTCATTCACCGGGAAGTACTCCCGCTGAAGATTCCAATAGTCATTAACAAACACTATCGGCAGGTATGTCTTGCCGCCATCCACAAACTTCACGTACTCATCGAGAGGCGCCGGCACCGAGCCCTGGGCCCAGTTGGTCTGGTCCACCACCAGGTTGACCGTGAGATTGGGATGCCAGTGTGAGACAATGGTGTCCTTGAGATTCGCATGCTTCAGCTCATGCTCCAGCTTCTCCTTTTCGCTGGCCAGCAGGTTATAGTTGCGGTTCACACGCAGTTTCTTAAACTTATTGAGCTGGTGCTGCTGGTGGCCCATGTGCCCGTTCTTCGCGTAATTGCTCGCTTGCGGATCCGGACTCTCGCCCGATCGCGTCACAAAGGCGTGCAGATAGACGCTACCGTTGTTCATTACATGCTGGCTGGCCCGCAGCTTCAGGCTGTGCGTATAGATACCGTCACCAGTTGCGCCCGAGGTCCAGTCGCCGTAGGTGAGGTCCTCCTGCAACCACAGTAGGTTCGCCTTCTGCTGGAAGTTGACCACATCGGGCTCCTCCGACAGCCACACGTGCAGGTCAAAGTCCGTGCCGTTCTCGAAGAAGTTCCAGGCCGTGATCTTTGGCCCCGCATTGGCCACGCTCTTGTCCTGCGGACCGGCGGTCGGCTGCGGCCGCCGGAAGAAGGAGCTCACAAAGTAGATGATGAGAGCGCGCAAAATTAGCGACTTGGTCATGGCGAAGAAGGACTCCATGCGGGTGGGCTGTTGCTGCTGTTGTTGTTGCTGCTGCTGCTCGCCGCCCGCATCTTGGGCCAGCTCAGCGTTCCCATTGCCAGCCACCACCTGGGAAGAGAGAGAGAGAGCAGAAGGTCGGTGCAGGTTGAAGGGAGTTCCTTGTTCGAGGCTGTGGGAAGTAGGCCAGCCTTTGTGGAAGGTTGTTGCTTACCGCGCCATCGGCCGCGGCCTGCCCCTCGCCTGCTTTCGACATAATTTGAGGCGGATCCACGTTTTTTCTGTCACTTTGCAAAATTTCAGCAGCTCGCGAAAGAACGTTGAAAACCTATCGAGTTAAATTAATTTTTCAGCTGGCTATCGTCGACCACCTATCGATTGCGCTCACCTGTTGCCTATCGATGGCGGCGTGTTCGCTATCGATAATCAAGCTTCAAGTATTTCGGGCATAAAACGATGTGTTTATAAGTGTGTCGACTTCTCTTCACATTTTTCGCCCTGACTGGACTACATTGCTATAAAAAAGTTTTACCGTGCACACAATCTTGTGTCAATCTTTAATTTTAAGAGTTTCCTTGTCTTAGCATTGTTTAGAACCAAAAACGCATACTAAACTCCCTGACTAGTGACGGCACAGTAAACATCGATGGTCGAAAAAAGCATCGATGATTTAGAACATTTGAAAAACATTCATTCATCGATGCAGATTTAGCAGAGTTCTCTTGTCTTAGCAGTGCTTAGAACCAAAGGCGCATACAATTCCCTCTTGATAGTGACGGCACAGAAACATCGATGGTCGAGAAAACATCGATGATTTAGAACAATAGCAAAACGATGTTTTCATCGATTTGTTGGGCACCACTAATTTCCAACCGGTCACACTAAATATCTCTTTTCGAAAAAAAAATTGCACTTGGTAGCACGTTTCCTGAGGTAAGATTGCTGAAATATTGCCGAAATGGCCGTGAAAACCCGAAAGCGTGACACAAAACAAAGTGCAGTGGCTTGAGTGACCCGCCCGTGTGTTGGGGCAGTGGTAGAGCTAGGTGGGGGCCATTTCGCCGAGGAATACCCGCCTGCAGGTCGGACCTAACCTCGAAGCACGGCCACAAACACACAATGTGACGCTTTCGGGGCATAGTTCTATATCTTTTGGGAATAAATTTGGACTCATTGTCTTTGTGTTGTGCTTGCAGCAACGACGCCGCCACCATGCAGATCTTCGTGAAAACCCTCACCGGCAAGACCATCACCTTGGAGGTGGAGCCTTCGGACACCATCGAGAATGTGAAGGCCAAGATCCAGGACAAGGAGGGCATTCCCCCAGATCAGCAGCGTCTGATCTTCGCCGGCAAGCAGCTGGAGGATGGCCGCACCCTGTCCGACTACAACATCCAGAAGGAGTCGACCTTGCACTTGGTGCTCCGCCTGCGTGGTGGTATCATTGAGCCCTCGCTGCGCATCCTGGCCCAGAAGTACAACTGCGACAAGATGATCTGCCGCAAGTGCTACGCCCGCCTGCACCCACGTGCCACCAACTGCCGCAAGAAGAAGTGCGGCCACACCAACAACCTGCGCCCCAAGAAGAAGTTGAAGTAGACGACGACGACGAAGATTCAGCGGGTCTTCTTGCTCCTGGCGCTGCTCCATGGTTAACCATCTAAGTAAATATATGTACATTGTGTGAAACCAATCTCCGAGAGAAATGTAATTGTATTTGCCACAAGGCGCAGCGCATTTGCCCCATTCGTTGTTCTTTCTCTGCTCGGTTGTCACCGCAGAACGGGTTTCCTCGGGGAGACTCTTATACTGCCCGCTCTCTGGCATCTGGTTCTAGTCCGCGTCCAGGAAGCGGGCCAGCGACCGCAGGTAATTGATATTCCATCTGCCGGTCGAGAGGGAGGAAACCCTAGGGGAACGGGCACTGGGATGGGGTCTATCGCCACGGATGGCTGCAACTCAGACCTACTTGGCCACGACGACTTCGGTTCGCTTCGAATACAGTTAATTGGTTTCATTGACCGCCGAGAAAGACACTTGTCCAGCTAGCGGCTTCCGTTGCCATCTGCAAAACTGGTTGTTCCCACTCATCCCTCTCTCTCTTTCTATCTCCCCCTTGGTGTTCTTTTTATGAATCTCTTAATAACCCAAGGGTCACCAAAAGCGGGCGCTACCTGGTGACGGCCCCAAAGGGTTCTCGGCCCCGTGCGAAAAGTCCTGATAAACAAGACCCGATAACAACCAAGGGCAACGGCAGAGAGGAGCAGATGCAGGAAGGAGGCCCAAATTGCGGTCAACATTAATTAAAAATACAGCGAGGGAGTGAGTGACCCAAGGCAGATGTCCCAGGCGTTGCCGAATTCGGGGAGGAGAAAGAGGAGGTGGTGGCTGCTCCCAGGATGTTGGGTGGCTGCCGCCGGGCGCGAAAGATGAAACTGCGGATCGAGCAGAATGCAAAAAAGCTAACAGGCAAGGGTTCTCGCGAAAGAGTGAGAACGAGGAGAAGCAACCTTTGCCACGGCCCTAGGGGGGCCGCAAGCAGTGACCATCAAACTTTTAACAGTGAAGGTCCAAAACAAAGTTACAGTAATGGCACATAAATGCGGTACAGTAATGGCAAAGAAAAAGATATGCTGTGGCGGCATAGATATTTTAACATTAAACTCTATATATTTTGATATTTCAAAATGTAATATATTAATGTTTCAATATAATATTAAGGGAAAATAATTAATATATCTCTTGATATATTTACAACCGCATATTTAATTGTCAAGTGTTTTAGATATTTGGAGGATGCTGGTTACCTGAACTTATAAAGCCTAAACTTATAATTCTTATAATTTTATACAGGAAAACACTTTAATTAATGAAAAGAGAAAAAAAAAACACCATAATGGAAACCAAAGAGAACTAATTTCTTAAGGTAACTAAGCCTCAAGGCTGCCCCCCAATCTCACGGTGGACCACGTACTCCGAACATGTCTCGCCCAAACAGTATAAAAAGGTGTTATGTGCGGGGTTGGGGGCGTGGCACAAACGGGGGCAAAAGTATTTTAAAAATTAAGGCGCTGCCGCCAGGAGGGAGCTGCTCGCCTGCTTATTTATGGGTACCGGGTCCTGCTGCCTTCAGGCGGCCAGGAGGAGCTCGGAAAATACCCGAACAGGTTCCGGCTCCTGCTCCGGCTGGCTGTCCAACCAAGTGCGTGGGTTTCGTTTTTAATTTTTCCAGAGGCGGAGGCCAAGAAAAGCTACGCCACGCCACTCCACGTCGTCATCCAACGGTGTCTTTTTGTCTTTTTGGGGCGACGCCGCCTCCGCCATTCTAGGGCTTTTATGGGCCCCGCTCACAGTTTACATAACAGATGTGACCAGAATAATTAAGAGAGCGTGGTCGTGGTCGCCACTCGCCTTCGATTCGACTGACCCAAAATGTCCCCAGGCCAACCCATCACATCGTCCTGCAGGCAGCTTCCCTGTCTCCGCTGGTCAGCCGCTGGTTTGACACTCTTAACGTTTTTGGGTCCTGCTCCTCCTCCCGTCGCCTGGCTGAAGCGCATTAATTTTTCAAGGCGGTGCTCCCGATCCCAATGCCACTCCACTTTGCGACGAAAAGTGCTCATTGAAAATTGAACGTTTTCCGAGCCTCCTCCTCGCACTCAACGGATCCCGATTCGCCTCGTTTCCATATGCTGGCGGGGATTGCGTGAGTTATGGGCGCCGCTTATGCTACAAAGTCAACTCCTGATTGCCTGGATAGTTTTCCCAATTCCCCGTTTTCCGCCTCGACAGTAAGTTGCTCTAAAATATGCACTTCGCGGCAAGGAATTCGGATTGGGGACGGCAAAGGAGGACTGGCTCACTGAGAGAGCGACCATAAATGGATTTTTCCATCGGGCTAAGAAGAATTTTCAATTTAAAATAAATTTCTGGCCCCGACTGGGGCATTCCTCGCCCAGTTCCTTGATCCAGCAGCTCTCCTCCTTAGCCAAGCCCAGAGCACGCCCCTTTTTCTCTCTCTGTGGACGCAACGCCAAGTGTCCTGGCCTGGCAGGAGGAAGGCAAGGACCCCAGGAGGAACGGCCCAAGATAAGGCGCACAGCCAAACGCTTATAAATTGGGCGCTAGTGTGGAATCCCAATGGTAATGATGTCGAAGGGGCGCGGCGGAGCAGGCGGGCGACTCAACTGAGATGTCAGAAATACACACGCACAGGCCAATAAGGAAATATAAATTGCTCTGGCGGAGCACCGGGCGGCCCCACATATACACGGAGAAATGCAAAACATAAAACTACTTCGGAGTTGAGAATATTTCTGACAAAAAAATATAAATCATAGCTAATAAAGTCATCATTTAAGACGGCTTTTAAGCAGTTCTCTTTTTGAACAGTCAACACTGCGTATGAGTTATATTTTAACATAGGATAGTGTTAAGACAGAGTGACGGATATGCATATATTGTGAGGAAAACTCAAATTTACTATATTAGCAAACAAAATAGTAGTAAGTTTCATAAAAAAATTTATATTATCTTTCCTTCTTTTAATACCCTTGTAGGGTATTATAAATTTAGTCAGAAGCTTAAAAACCAGTGAAGGAATCATTTTCGACCCTATAAAGTATATATATTCTTGATCAACATTAACAGCCGAATCGATTTAGCTATGTCCGAAAAAAAATACAATTTTTCTAAAATTTTGAAATTTTTACAAGGGGTTGTCAAAAATGTTGATTTTTTAAGATTTTAAACTGAGTATGCAGATTTGTTAACCTCATAAAAACTAACATAGGAACGGTTTCCGATTTGATATTAGTAACTTTTTGGCTGAGTTATGAGATTTAAAAAAAAAAAATGATTTCTAGGAAAAATATACAGATAAATATCGGTTGAAAGAATGGTATTATAATTTTAGTCAGAAGCTTATAAAGCAGTGAAGGAGTCATTTCCGACCCTACAAATCATATATATTATTGATCAGCATGAACAGACTAATCTTTCTAGCTATGTTCAACAAACATTTAATTTTTTCAAAATTTTGAAAATTTTACAAGGGTTTACATCATTAAAATTGTCAAAAATGTTGATTTTTTAAGATTTTAAACTGAGTATGCAGATTTGTTAACCTCATAAAAACTAGCATAGGAAAGCTTTCCGAATTAAAATTAATCCCTTTTTGGCTGAGTTATGCGTTTTTTAAGTTTTGATTTGTGAAAAATATTGTTTCATAGAATATAAAGCGTAGTTATGATTGATTTCCAATACTACCTACTAATTCAAATGTAAGCTCAAGTGAATATAAACTTCGGCCTCCTGAAGTTAGTTTTCTTTCTTGTTTTTGATAAGTTTTGTAAGGTTTATACATCTGTTTGTCAATACCATATTTTGTAATATCGGCTTTTCTTCGCTGCTTTTAATTTGAAATCCTCTTTAAGATTCTAATTTTATAATAAGCTTGGAATACATCACGAAACTCTGTACATAAATGGCAACTGCAATACATTTCAGCCTAGCGGAAATCTCCCGATTAAGCCTTAAGCTTAGCTTAGCCTTAAATCTATTTCAATCTGTGTTTATTGACAGACAGGGTGCAGAGCATTCGCCTCAGTGTATTCAGATATACAAAAGACAGGCGAGGAACAAGCGAGCATGGTAAGGCAGTGCGTGTAATTTAATATGCATAAATCGATACTTGGCTGCCTTCTTATACTTGCTCCTCCTGCCCATGTGAATGGGGATTGGCTATAGGCTGCTCCAACTCCCACCAGCCCCAGACCATCCATCCCTTTTGCCTTTTGTGTTGTTTGTGTTCTATTTTGAGCGCAAAATTGTTATTTGTTTTTACGTATTCTCAGCCTTCTTGCGTCCGGAAATGGCGGGAGCTTTGCATATCTACAGTTTATGGCTTTCATACAGTTAACATTTTGCCATAGATAAGCACTTCTGGCACCGCCATGTGCTGTCTCGGAGCCCCTCCCTCTGCTCCCACATCCTCCTCCCCCTCCCTGCTGTATGGCAAATAATTTGAAAAGTCATTTTATTCAATTTCAATTGTGTCCGTGGGGGAGTGTGCGAGGCTGCGGAAGTGAATGCTCTCGATTTCATATGCCTCGATATGAGCGGAAGCCGGGCATGGGCACAGATACAGCTACGAGATACAGCTACAAGATACGGGGAATGGACCAAAGGACAGAGGGGAGGCAATCGGTTAGGCGACATATTGATTTCCTTGATAAATACTTAATAAAAACACACTCAAGTGGCGCATCCGGAAGCGATATATGTATGTATGTCTGTGTGCCATATCCCAGAGAATGGAATGAATCTAATCACATTGCACAGGGCGGAGGCACATTGCTTTAAGATGCCTCGACTTCCTGCCAGGAAGTTCGGGATCAAGTTGGGTCCCTGCGCTTTAAGGCAACTCCCTGCCCCTGCCCCTGCCCCTCCCCAGTCGCTTGGCCAAGTCTATTTGCATTGCGCACAATAACATTTCTATAACTATGCCAGAGTAAACACACAGAGGGGGAGATGGAGACCAGACTCAAGGCATGCCCAAGGAGCAGAGCCTGGGTCCCGCATCATCGACAGCCACAACTATTTTTCTTCCAGCTGAACTTTTGCCTGGCCTTGCATCCCTCCTCCTCCTCCTCCTCCTCCTTGACGTGCTCTATGCTGCTGTGCGATTAACCAG